AGCCTGACTCTCTCTTTCTAGTCTTCGGCTTCTCCTTGTCATCAAGTCTTCCGATGGGAAACCGTCTCATGCACGCAATATTAGAGTCAGAGCGGCCGCCCCCTTCCCGGGAGTGAAGCCGAATAACGATGGCGACCACTTATCGCCCACGAGCATCGTAGCGTGACGACCAGGATTCTTTTGTGGGACAGCTGGCCATCGGATCGCGAGCTGTCCTTCAGGCACCTTCTTACATACGACGTAGGCAAAGCACGGAATGGCAGTGCCGAAACTCGCAGATACGAGTTACATTGGCGCACAAACATTCCTTAGTGTCACTACCACCGCCGACTACAACGTCTGCCAACCGGTACCAAACTCCCATAACCTCTTGGGTATTGTCCATCGTCTCATACCAAGTTCAAGCCCTCTCGTCCTCGTATTTTCTCCTCTTGCGACGACTCCCGTCTGTATCCGTCCCAGACGGCTGCTGTCACATCACACCCAAAACACGGAGAGAGCGAGAGCTGGCTCATCGAGAGAAAAAACAGGGGCCTGTGAGGCCCACCCTTTCCGTCTGGAAGAGCACTTGTACTGGTGGACCGAGCTAACGCCTCCCAATCTCCATATTCGACTGTGGGAAGAAAGTGAATTCGCGTAACATTTGTCTCTTGTTTAAGGCCGTCCTGGGCCTTGAGTAGTCTCCAGCTGTTGCCAGGATGGTGCCTGGCAATGTCGCATTGGCTGTTGCATAGCGGGGGGAGTCAAGGAGGGAAGGCGGGTTAGGGGCCCCTGCGGTTGCATGCTTCGTACTCCGTACAGAATACTCGTACATGGCAGACGTGGACGGAAACGCGTCTGGTCTGGTTTGTCAGGGCTTGACAAGACGCACACGCAAGCGAAAGCCACTTGTTGTCCTGTAGCTGGGTAGTCTCGAGCCCTGATCTGCCCTAAAGCGTGGAACTCGTATGAGCTGAAAATCTCTCCAATACCCATTTTTTCCACCGGTACGGAGTAGCCTCGTAGGCTCCATGGGGGCATCCGTACGAATGTCATCCGCGATCCGGGCTTTTGCAACCGTACTCCGTACTCGTAGTAGGCACCCGTCTCCTGGTCAGTATGAGCACGTTGTGTCCCTTGGTTAGATGCAAGTTTGCAGGTCCGAAGATGGAGTAACTGTGTCGTACAGAGTAGACAAAAAGGTGGTCGACAAGCCGCTGTGAGCGGTACCGCGGCAGCGAATGCCGTCTGTTCCCACTCGGTATGATCGGCAACGGCCGCCAGAGGCACGGCCACAACGGGAGGCCAGAAGCCGAGACCGACCAGGACGAACATCAAACTGTATCCGGTACCATGAACAGGCATTGGCAGGAGACTGTGTCATAACTTGCGGCCGTGCCGAGTCGTCATCGCTCACCTACTCTCGTAGGCATTGTGCCATCCACCAGCGTTGGCGGTTCCTGAAACTGCAGCGGCCATGCTGACATGAGGCATGCGAACTCTGGCACGCCTCCTGCTGCGCAGCTTCAGAGATACGGAGCAATACAGGACGAAGCCACGCGGCATGTTATGCTGGTAGTAGCGGGCGTCCTGAAGCTCCTCAGCATCTCTGACCCGCGTTGGCCCATGAAATCCCACAGCGATCAATTCCACGTTGGGTAGATTGCCGCTCTGACAGGCCACTCAATTGATCGTAAGATGCAATCAGCCAGGGCTCGATTCTTCACCGTAAGTGCCTATTTGATGGAGCTGGATCATATACGAAACCGAAACCGACCTTACGGGATGGACAACGTTGTATTCCATTGAATCGCCAATTCGAAACAGGTGATCCTCTTGACAAAGAGGGAGAAAAGTGTTGGGAATCCAACGTCGCATCGCCTCGCAGCCCATCTTCGAATGCGCTTGTACCTGCAGAGGTCCTATGTTGCAACCCTGCGCCGGATGAGAGTTTGGACTGTAGACGAGTCTGCGTCGTACAGTGATGGCACCAATCATATTAAGACTCTTCCACTGCAAGTGCTGTTCCGAGAGATAAAACGATGTGCAGAGTAGAGACAACCTGGACGGAGAACGGTCCTCCAGAAGGACACGAACGGCCCGCTACTCTGTAAAGTGGCCAGACCGCACTGATCACCGTAAAAAAGTATTTATGCTTGCACATCACAGGCCCCCCAGGCATGTCTCCTGCTGCATATCTTATCTGCTTTCGACAGGTTAGACGACCATGGCAATACATCGTGGAAACTGATGGGCCACCAAGGGCCAGGGGCCATGTAGATATCTTACTTGACCAGCTATGCATTGAAAACTTGACCAAAAGGACACAGCTGTCACGGGTGTTGTTCTTTGGTAGACTTGGGCGAATCGAAGCCTTGTCGCATATGGGTGCTGGAAGTCCGCCTAGTTATTTCCCTCTGTTCCTCTCCGTCTCAGGAATCTTACCACTAGACGGTGAGCGAGATAAATGTTCGAGACGAGCGCTGCCACAGCTTTCGGGGAGATCGCTGCTTTACTAGCTAGGCTGATGATTAGGTTGAGACAAACAACACTCCCGCAAAGAGTGTGGCAGCTCGAGCAGGAATCCTGCAGTTCCTTCCGGTATTTTTTTTCTCGAGGATGACCTCCGGAGCTCGGATCTACTGTATTGATGGAAGCAGGTGAAGGGTGAGATCTCCTCACCAAGGCTGACAATTCAAGTCTACCGCGAATTGTCCCCATCTCTGGCAGGGCCCAGCTAAGATCATAATTGCCTCGACGGTCCGGTTTCGGAGGAGCAGCAGAGTTCTCACAAGGCAACATTCTTGCTCTGTGCACCCTGACCTCGGCTCTTGCGGCCCCATGATGTCTCACTCGGTATGTCACGAGGGCAGTGTGTTGTCAGACTTCTTCGCTGCACCTGGACGAGACACGTAACGTTCCGCGGGCAAAACCAGCTGATGCATAAAGGCAAGACTTGCCAGTGAGACAGGCAGGGTCTGGGGGTCTGGAGGGTGGGCTCCGCATGTATGCTTTCTTCATCCGCAGCCGCGGCTCGCTTCCGGGCCTCCCATCCTGTCCTTTGTCTCTTGACTCTTTATTGATCGTCTCGCCAATGCATGCCGGGTTGAAACTCTGTTTTTTTTTGGAACTCAGCCGAGGATGTGCGTCTAGACTCTGCACCCGGGAATCTGATCCGCCGGACAGGGACAACTAGGAGAGGGACAGGGCTTGCTCGCGGTTAGCCCGGAAAAGGGAAGTGGGAGCAGGACGCGGCCGCTAAGATCTTCCATCTGCACATCGGGTATAAGATGCCTATCAGGTCAGATCGTGACTCGGCATGCATTTGGCTCTCCTCTGTACGGTCTGTCGCTGAGGTGGATTGATTGGGCTGTGTCTCCAAGATGTCAGCAAGCTGTTTTTTTCTGCAAGTTGCTGGTCAGAGTCAATCCCTCCTGTCCGGCATCGCCGGCATCCGGCTGTTGTCGCTCAACACTGGTGCTGATCGTTGCGGGAAGATCTTATCCAGCATCACTCTTTGTCTCATCTGCCTAAATGACACACCTATCGGTCTCCGTCATTTTTCCCCATCCGAGATTGGCATGACCCAATGGCAGAAGAAGAGCGCCACGGCATGGTGGCTTTGATCTGCATCCGCCAATCCGAGTGGGTATTTCATACAAAATGACTCTGGGGAAGTTATCAAGTCCCGCCACTACATGTAATAATTGAACACCTCGGGAGTAGCATTATGAGAGAGGGCACGGTGGGGAGATTGCAGGCCAGAAGCAATAGGAAGCTAGCAAAAAGGTAGTACTGGAGACCAGAGTCATGCTGCGTGTCGATGCAGTGGGAAAGACACGGGCACGTGCCCCTCTGTCCTTTATTGACCATTGTGGTACAGTTGTGGAGATTGGAAGCACGAGCGGAAATTCATCTTTGCATCTGAGGAAACAAAAGGAACCACTCGTTCGAGGATTTTTTAGCTTGAAACGAAACAGGAAAGTATGAGGGAGATGAACGGGAAAATGTGATGAACGGGACATCCTTAGTCGATGCGGAGGATGAATGAAGATGAGAGGCAGGGATGCAATGCAACTCTGCTTCCTCAGCTGCTTATTTTCACTGCACGCCAAGAGCGGTGAGGATCGATGCAGTGTGGCAAGTGTCATTAACAGGGAAGGTGCGTAGGACACGACCAAGCAGGTAAATGTATGTGCCTCCTGTGCTTTCTCGGCTTCGTTTGCGGAAAATTTAGTCAGCCTGCGATGTCACCGTGTCAGCACCGATGCCATCGTTTTCTTTTTCCCTCCTCCACTCTGCAGGGGCAATCCGCGGCCTTCGGGCTGGAATCTGAATGCAACAGTAAAAAGAAACGATAGGTGAGAGCAGCGTCTGAGGTGGCGGTGGGTCGCTTTGTAATAAGCAAATAAAGGTACACAAATCTCTTCACCCGAGGCTGCCACCGCCTCTCTCTTCGTACAGGCCACTTGCTGACATCTGGTTGGCTGTCCAGCCTTCAATGCAAGCCACCACCACTTCAAGGCACTCGAGCCGGCCCCGGCACCATGGGACACGTCCAGCTCGGATTCTGTCAGCAGTACAACCACCGATCCGATCGGCCAGCCTAGTCCTCTGCAGCTGGCCTCTTCCTTTGTGACAAGTCAATAATAGTTTAACCTCCCTTCTTGGCACGCCCTCGTCGACAGCTCGGCTTCCTCACCGCAAGCACAGCCTGCTCTTTCTGAAAAGAAACATTTGTATCAATTTGTATAATTCACTCCCTTAGTCGAGCTTGCCAAACGGCATGCGACCAAATTTGTCCTTTTCCAGTCAATCCTTTTTGTTCGCCTTTTACACCCCTTTTTTCCTTTCTTTTTCCGCCTTGCTTGTTGCACTACACCTCTGAAATGCCCATGTCTTCCCACCAAACTTCCCATCAGCCGCATTGCACCGAACAGGAACTGTTGCCTCCAGCCTCTTCTCTATTGGCCGTTCGGTCACATCAGGGGTCCAGATGTCAGCTGCTTTATTCAAACCCCTTAGTTTGGGTATTTTCGGAGCGGGAAATATGCATCCGGCATTGGCTCAAGGTACCACACCCTGCTTCCCTTTGATCCAAACGCGCGTTCCCATTCGTCTTCCAGTTCCCGCGGAATCTTCCATCCTAGCTGTGGGCTGCGGAGCCTCATGCGAACAAGGTGTCGCTTCTCCACTGCTGTTGCTCCATCCACGAAGCCTTCACGCCTATGGAGAATGGCAAGGTTGTTGATAAAATGCATGTCACCAGCCTGAGTCTGGATCTCAAGCTGCGTGGCTTTGGCAATGGCCTCAACTGCATCGAGAGCCTCCAGCTGCTGCGCTGTGATGCTGGGCAGGTTTTCTGGCCGGGGATGGATCGCATTACCCAGAAGGGCTGTCCTGCCAAAGTTCATCACAAGACGGGAGTTCTCATAGAAGAGTATAGGACGGCATTGGAAGTGTGGGCTTGTCCGTCCGATTAGCTCAAGTGCTCGGAAATACCCCGGTTGTCACTTACAAGGCAAAAGGCCAATCGGACCGGGCAAGAAGACGGACAAGATGTGGCTGGTTGACCGCAAGAACATTGTAGACGGTGTAGGCAGAAGCAATAATGCACCGTCCGCCCTGAGAAGCGGTGTTGCGTGTAAGCCACCCAACAATATCGCCGCTCTCCTCGTTGTGGAAGGTCTGATTTCAGGGGAAATTATTAGCAAAGAAGCACCAGGGGTTTTGTGGGAGGCTCCCAAGAGTTATAATACGCACAATTGACTTGTTAGAGTGCCTATGGTGATCAGCACGCGTCTTGGAGGTATTGTCGGCAACAATATGGACTAAATCAGGTTAGAAGTCTTACACTACAACTATGGACGACGATCTTACCAAGCATATTTCCCCGACTGTCCTGGCGGCCTCGCTGCTCGGCAATGTGGGCCTGAATGCCAAGATGCACAAGTGTGAGATCTTCGACGCAGTAGTCCTCCGGCTTGATTCCCCGGACAAGGCAGAACCCTCGTCCCTGGTGGAGATCATGGGCCAGCTTGTTTAGCTCGCGGCACAAACCAGGCAGGGGGAATGTGCTGCGAGACACATGAGCCCCATCCAGTCCTAATTCTAATACGACTTTTAGCTGATGCCTCGACAAGCAGCCCCTCGGAGACATTCTGTTTACCTTTGAAATGGTCGAGGGCCGAGCCAATCTCCCTAACATCTTTAGCGGTGAGATGGTAAATGTAACTATCATCATTTATGAAATCGGAACCAGACCAGGCTAGATCGCTGCCAAGCTGGGCAGGGAATCTAGTAGGAAGAGGCACCGAAGCTCCAGCACGCGGCGCAGAAAGGAGAGCAGCTCCAATTTTAGACGCCCCCTGGTGGGAGAAAGCCCCTATGATGGGACCATGCACCAGACTCGACATAACGAAGGATGGACTGAAAAGTGTGTATGGTTCCTTCACATTCCGTGTTTAAAAAATCAGACTGGCTCCCTATTTCCAAGCTGGACCCATTTGCAATGTTATATAACTTACAAATATGCTTATACTTGCAGAGCTAGGCACGATACAAGAGGCACGGCTATATGCAAGTGTGGGGCGAGTAACGAGTTGTGCTTTAGAGGCTAGAGAAAGTGTCGAGAGGATATTTACCGTGAAGCTTTAAAGATGAGGCCTTGGGGAGCGAGTAGCCAACGAGTGTAAAAAGGGCCTTTAGAGGCTAAATGATAGCGTAGAGACCGTGTCAGCTCAAGGTGAAAGGAAGGGAAGCCTGAAGATGAAATTCTGGTAAGAGAAGAGTGATGGCGATGAGCAAGCAGGAATGCTCCTTTAAATAACTTTTTCGGCAGCCGAGCTCCAGAAATATGCACAAAGATTGGTCATTGCGCAGAGTACAAGATAGCAAGTCCCGGAAAGGCATCCGGCGCCGTCATGGCACAAGCTCGATTTGTGTAAAAAAAGAAGAAGGAACGATTTTTTTTTCAGGGATCGAGAGCAATTTAACATGCATACAGCCTTTCGGTTTATACTGATCTTCTCCTCTCCTTAGAGCTGTATACACACGCCCAGTCGTATATTCTGCGTCTTTTAAAGGGGACCTGCTGTAGGACTAGAGAGGCTCGAAGCAGTCGGATAGCCGCATTAAATGGTGCAAGCAGAACACAACGCACGGTCCACAACAACCGAGTGTGCTACATATAGTATTTTGCTGTGGCCGCTTTGCTTCAAGTTGCTATGGTGGTGGTTTTATCATAAACTCGCCCTTGACTTGTTGATCTGGCAGCTTTGTACTTATAGTTAGCCCTAGCAAACGAAGACCTAAAACCTAAAGGCTAGAACACCTGAACACTAGGCTAGGCTACTACTAGGACACAAAGGCCTAAGGGGGGGGGGTGTACTCTGTAAGACAAGTTCGTTAGTAGTTGATGCGGGCCGAAGCTATTTCGGCGTCATCCGCGCCTGAAACACACGAAGTTGGTTGCTGTACGGAGTACATATATATTGGCGAGGATGAGTGCAGTGTTGTTTGTGCGGTGTGAAAACGCTTGCAAATTCGCGAGCTTGTAAGATACACGGGAGAAGCAGCGACGGGGGCGAAATTGCAGATCGGGAAGAAGTAGTCCCACCATAGCACTCTGTTTGCGTTATATAATTTGCGTGGCAGCGAACGTGACCGCTTGTACTGCTTGTGCGTCTCCTAAAATGCGGTCCCTTTGAGTTGTATATAAATACGTCCTTGTGATCGGTACTACAACTGTTAAAGTTGCACCCGCCGGGAAGTGGGAAGACTGAGGTGGAGTAGGGAGGGTTCATGTAAACCGGATCTGGCCCAAGGCCTCCTGGAAGCCAAAAAAGTCTCTCTTCACGGCAGTGCCTCTTAAAGTAAGTCTGAAGTTGTTTTACGGTGGTCGATCTTGCAAAAGGTTAATCTCTGCCAGAGTCAAGCCAAGGACCAGGCCATCGAGGTTCAGGGAACGTGGACCCGCTGCGCATTGGTCATACCCCGGAAAAGTCTCGGCACCAGGGCTAATGCAAATTGCAATCCCTGTAACCGAAGCGAGCACTGGAAAAGATCGACAAGCCAACGCCAGCCGTGGTTGGCCTGGAGGCACACAGACGAGAGACCGCAGGCTATTGTTGAGTTTTGTGAACAAGCAGTGACAAATCGAACGGGACATGGTCAACGGTATAACATGACCAGGCTTGTGTTTCTAACCGGATTGTATGGCACCTATCTTGCTCTGGTGGAGCGGGGAGAGGGAGTCCCGGCGGACAGACTGAGAATGGGTGACCGAGTGGCATCAGCTGTATGAGGCCATCGGGGGAGGCGAGTGACATTCGGCTGCCAACCGAAGCTCTTTTCTCAGCTCGTTTTCTTTCTGTTGTCTTTAGTCTACTCCGTATTCCGTACCTTCTCCCTCTTTTTCAACGCCACACCCAACCTGTATCGGCCATTACCGATCGAGTAAGCCGCAGACAAGTGGAGAGAAACTCTGCCTCACGTCTGGGCATATATGGTCATGAGAAAATGAGAAGATTGGAGAGGTATGGGGCTAAGAGAGGGTCTTGGTGCCGAAGGCGAATATCGCCGAACGGAGTACTATGTACTCGTACACGTATCTTACTTGGTGGATCGGAAAGATGCGGTTGGCCTCAACAATGACGAATGGTCTAAGCTGCGATGGAACGGTAGAGTTCGAGGGGTGGTTTGAAAACGGAGGGGGGTGTGTACGGCGCAACTAGTCTACTGGTAGTTGATGTGTATGAGAGGATTGAACCAGACAAGCAAGAACATTGAGGACGCGTCTGTCTCTTAGCCGATATACGACATCTCAACGTGGGCGCTAGGAAGGAAGAGCACAAAGAGGAACACAACAAACTGTTGGGCGCTCCTGCCTCGAGAATTAAGTGGGCCAACGCCAGTTCAGCTCTGCCGTGAGGGTATCACTAGCGCATGCGGCGTACGAATACATGCTTTTGAGATACGGAGTACCCAGGCTAAAGCGAAATGGTTGGAATGACCTAGTGTTTTTCCCCTTTGTAACTCACCCAAAGAAATAACATACGAATACCATGCCAACACCTTACGAACATCGTACGAACACTGACTATCACCGCCCTTTTCTCTCGACTCGTAACAAACCTGATGAGCACTTCACGAGGGAATAGCCGAGTACTGGGTACCAATCGTGTGCTCCGTAGAAGTAAGATACGAAAAAGACGTGCAGGAATGGCTTCAGCTGATCGGTGCTCAGTACAACCCTGGCCAAACCATGGAGCTGGGCAGGAGAATGGATACAGGTTTAGTACCCTATGCCCCCCTATGTAATACGTACAGGGTACGATATAGTTTGCTACTGCTTCCCAAGTATATGCACTAGTTACCTCGAGTCCTCTTTCTGGACAGGTGCAGGTTGAATGCAAGGTAAAAAAAAGGTGATACATCGAAAGCCCCAAAATAGCTCTTTTCTGGTAGATGCATATTTCAGATAAGATGAAACTGCTATGTACATATGTATGTAACCCTGCAATCTGCTATGCATCGTTCTCTCAAATGGCCATACTGCGAGGCTGCCAGTTGACCTCGTAAAGTTGACTGACAAAGTAAAAGTCGTCTTCGTAAGCGTTGGAATCCCGCAGATCCTGCCACTCTTTTCCTGCTCGTCGCGTTAGCGTCACACACGTTTCTAGGCCAGCACGCCCTTGCAGAGAGAACGCGCTCACTCTTAGAAATGACATAGCTTCGCGTCCGATAGATACACTGTATGCTCTCCTCATCCAAATTCGTAAGATTTCGAATATCGTCGTCTTTGATGTCATCCGAGAAGGGAAAAGCGCCCTTGTTGCAATAGTGAAAATATGCAAGAAGTGTGGTCGCCCCCATATAGTATTGTTGAACTTTCTCCCGTCTTGCGAATCGCCTCTGATAAATTGGTCGATAGTCAGTAAGGAACAGTCGACAGACGGCTAAAGAAAGGACGCTTACATTCATTCCGTGCTTCCTGGCATAGCTGGCGTCGTGCTTCATCAGAAGCGCCGTGTTATGGAGGAGGATGAAGATGATGAGATATGTGGTAAGCCAGCTTTTGGCCTTGTTCTCAGTTATGAGTTTGTGCAGCCCTTCTAGGGCCGTTCGGCGAGACCGGAATTGGATCTCGTGAATCAGGCTGGAGTCAAGCTGGGCCCCCATAACAGGTGGGATGGGTATTTTCCCGCAAGACGGATTCGTTTCATCGAAAATGTTGGGCGGCATCCCGAGCGTCTCTGGGCCGACAATTTCGAAGGACCTCGTTGTCAGCCGAACTGCCATCCACAGCTCCAGCGTGTCCGAAAGCACTTTCCGTTCTTCAACTGACAGAGGTGAAGGCAACCGTGACAGTCTCAGTGCATCACTATATGTCCACCAGATAAGCTTTCCCTTGTGCTCATCTAGTACGCGGTGGCAGCATTTCGTCAAGCCTTTTTTAATATACGCCTTGTACTGAGGCACGATGGTGTCGGTATCAACGATGGCGTAGGCCGGAATGTCGACAGATCGCACTTCCCCCGTAGGCGTCATCCATGAGCGCCTCAGGCTATCCCCTGCCTTGGGTATAAATTCTCGCACTCGGAACTCCACAAAATCATCAGTATAGCCTTCAGTGAGCCTGATGACTCTGACTTCAGATGAAGCCCAACCACCAATATCATTCAGGACTGAATTTTCTTTCCAACGGAGCGTCCATTCATGACCCTTGACTTGGCATGGTTTTGAGAGCTCCACATCGCCGATCTTGAGACGCAGACATGGGAGCCGCCACGTCCTGCCCAAGGATTTCTTGCAGCCCATGCATTCGCCATGATAGTCTCCCTCCTGGGCGTTACACTGTTCTGTTAGCTACGTCTGCTTCCTGCCATTGTTACCGCCGGAGAAAAAGGGTAGTGACTTACCCGTATACGTTGCATCCGGCACCGAATACAGCTACCATATTTTCTGGTCTGGGCTGTCTTCTCACGCTCCTTTTGATCTTTAAAAGGACCACGCCGGGCCGCCGGTGGCCTGGCACTTGGTTGTGACTCTTCCGTTTCGCTTCCATATGGTGCTGCGGGCACTTGGTCGTGGGGCTGTTGGCTTGTTTGGTATGTCACACTTTGCTGTAGTGATTGGACAGGAGATTGTGAAATTGAAATGTGCGCTTGAGAGATGAATTGTCCTTCAACTAGTGCCGGTGCCATAGTAGTCATAGCTTTATAATCTGCTCTGGTCGTCTTAGTTTCCGCAGCGACAGGAGGTGCCGCAGTAGCAACAGCAGCAGGTACGGCTTCCATTGTCACCCCAGCTGGCAATAAACCCGAGGGGTGTGGCTTTGGAGCTGCCGTAGCTGAAGATGTGTCCACAAGTATCGGGGAGTGATACAGAATTTGGGGATCTGGTGAATGGTTTACCAGATCCGTTGTTACCACATGAAGCGCCCCCATTGTCGATGTTTCTGCCTCTTCACTTTTTGGGAAGCCAAGTTGCCGGTCATTCGGATAATACATAGTCTCCAAACGGGTTGATGGCTGGATCATAGTTGGTTGGACATTTAGCAAAGCTGGAGCCGTGGGCTGCATTGCCGGGTAGCCCTGAATATAGGAGCCCGAATTGGTATCATCGCTGAGCATCCAAGTCGCGCTAACAGGAGATGTCGTATACTCCCCTGCCAGTGCATGGCACATTTCGCCAACAGGGGAGGGTGTTATATCCGCGGAATATGCTCCGCCATTAAACTGGTGGCTTGGCTCAGAGGGCGGAATGCCATGATAATCTATGCATCGTATTAGCAGAAAGCCACACCAAACTAGACAGAGAAGCGCTGAACTCGCACAATGCACTGCGTAGGATTACAACAGAGCAATGATGCTAGGTGAGAGGAAAGCTTGTGTCTAAACCCCCTTTATAAAAATAAAAATAAAAAAACACAAGATGACAGGCTGCAACTCACCGATTCTGGACTCATAGGTGCTCGTTAAGGGACAGTAGGCGAAGCTCCCAAGACACTCTGCTACTCCTGCGGTGGTCGAGTCTAAGAAAGAGGGACCGTGTTGAGAGGGGGACAGCGGGAGTAGCTGCCGTTGATCTCTTTCAAGGGTCTGTGCAGTGGCGTGAAAAGCATGAGGCAATGCTGCCTTCTCTTGGAACGCTCTGTCCATAGCACCACCAGAATATTGAGGCATGATGTGGTCTGAACTGTGCCGAATACGTTTATGTCGGCGGCCTTCAGGAGCTCGGTAGGCTAGTTGCTGCAAGCTTTGTGGGGGCACATTGAGGATGTGTGCTGCTCGCTCGAGAATGTATTGGTCAGAGATTGGTGACGCCAGTGATATGATGTCTGTAACCGAAATCTGCAGTATGTCTGCTGCTTGGCAGAGGATGTGGTGTTGCTCAGGTAACAACGAAGACGAGACAACTTCGTCTGATGTGAGAGAGAAACTATCAGATTGGTAGTATGGTGCAAAAGCGTCTTCGTCATGCGTGAAAGGCCACCGCCTTTTAAGAGAAATTGTGTTGTCCTATGCCACAGTCAGACGATGATCAACTTTTGTGTCACGGCCCCGACTTCAAGTCGAGGGTTGTTGTGTCAAGATATAAGAAAGAGGTTTGGATATGAAGACGTGAGAGGGAGATGTGGAATACACATTATAGTTTGAAGGGGCCGAGCAAGAACGAAACAAGAAATTTGTAGAACGATAGGCATGCAGGCCAGTATCACGAAATAGACGGATGCCAAAAGCATGGCGATATTAAGTGATGCAAGTTTGCAACAGACGGAAGGAAATTGTGGGTTTCTTACCATGATGACGAAAATACCAGGGAGGTGTAATGTACTCGGTGAAGTAGTTCAGTGGGGAATTTAGACAAGGGAAACGAGATATACGGGCAGCGATGAAAGCAATAGGCGAGGCAGAAATTGGGTAACAATGGTAAGAGGAGGTACACCGAAGAGGCTAGACAGTAGAAGCCAAGAAGGTCATGCAAGGGGTGAGGAATTGGTAAGGGGGTGTATGGACCAGCGGGTGGCGAATGGCGAGGATGTGGTATGGCAGATGGCCAGAGCCGACCCAATGAATATCCAAGTGATCTGCTCGAGCAAAGTCAAATGTGACTCCAACGTCGAGAGCGCCGGTCAGAATGGGTGTATGTAGATCTGAGAAGGGCAGCCAGCGGGCAAAGTGGTAGGAGCGACAGGATCGAGCAGAGGTCAAGTTGTGCTTGCATTACACCCTGGCTAGGGCGCCTGGCTAAGCATATTTCGGTATAATGTTCCTATTTTGGGATATGGTTAAGGGGAAGAAAAAAGAGGGGAGGGGGGTGGAAGCGAGAAGTGGGAGACGGCAAAAGAAGAAAACGTGGGGCTTTGATATCGTGGACGATAGAAAACCGGAGGCTGCGTGAAGACTGCAGCAGAATCCGGGATTCTAGCCCCTCTCGAAGAACCCGGCAGACCGGGGGGAGGGGGTATGGAGAAAGCGGACACGGATTAGAGGAGTCGGTCTGAGGGTGGGTTCGTGTTCTGTTGTGTTGTTGGTTATGAAGGAGCACTTGATGCGACGAGGACGGACATGCATAGAAGATTTCTGTGCTCTTTGTCGCAGATGGTCTGACAAGAGGCCGCAAGAAGAGCCGATGAGGCTGGGCGTGCAGCTGCCGGTGAGCACAGTTGAGGCCGTGTTTGAGTCTGCTAGCCCTTGCTGCGTGCGGTTCGCTGCTTGCTGCTTGCTGTTTGCCGTCTACTGTGTGCTGTGTGCTGTGTGCTGTTTGCTGTTTGCTGACTGATGCTTGCTGCCTGATTGATGTCTGCTGCTGCTCCTGGTCACAGAGGGACACGAAACGGCGCGCAGTTACAGCGGCTGCCCGGGTTGCACTTGCGACACGACGTCGTTGTGTTTCGCAATGGTAAGAGTCGCCAGACCGATGGAGCGGCGGGTGGCGGGGACTGGGCTCCGGTAAACTATCGCGGGATCAGGCTACAGGCAGGTCCTCAGTCCAGTTCCGAAAGCGCGGCGCAGCCAGGCGGCTGGGTGGTAGGGTAGGCGACGGCGAAATGAAGGGCGCAAAGCGCAGCTGCCAGACCGACCACGAGGTGCACAGAGATAAGCAGGGAGCGGCAAGGTGAGCGATGAGGCGTTGGGGGCAAAAATGGAGACGGACAGGATGTGGAAACTCGGTGAGAGGGAGGATGTGGTCAGAACGAGAAAGGATTGCAAGTCTGTCGCCCTTTCCGTTGCTGGTGCGCTGCTCACACCGGTGCGGGCGGGCCGGGAGGAAAGAGCCACTCGCTGAGGGCAGGCGCGCAGGTATTATTCAATCGGGAAGGAGGCAGTGGTGCGAGGCAGATGCAGCGGCGAGGAAGGGACGATGTCTGCAGGAGAGGGGCTGTCTCGCTATTCCGAAGGCCGCTATTCCGAAGGCAACATGGAGAGGGAAGGAAGAAGAAGTGAGTGGGAGGATGGGAAAGGGCCAGGAAAGCTGTAAGGGGAAGAGAGGACAGGACGGCCGGAACAAATGGTGAAGAAGGACAAGCGCTCGCAGCGGTGTTTGCCGCCGCAGCCAATTGAAGGCCATCTGGGCCCTCTCCTTCTTGGGGGCTGCCAGTCCTCCCGGATTTTGAAGGCCGTCGCGAGGAGGAGCACGAGGCAAAGGATGCACACGGAGCCGTACGCCCAGAGAGGGTGCGAGGGTGCGAGGGTATCATCGGCCGGCAGACTCTACGTACGGACTACGCTTTCGTACATGGTGCCAATGCAAATCAAAATTGCGCACGCACGCAGACATTACTGGAGCAAGCTAGCGAGTGAAGAAGTCCTCATCTGCCAGTCTCAAACCGGCAGAGGACAGGAAAAACCGGGGCGAGAGGAGAGGCGGGAAATTTGGAGGAGGGTGCTACGTTTCTCTCGTCCTCTCACAGATTTTCCTGGTTACAGCTTGCTTGGGCAGCAGGATCGGTTTGAGTTATACAACGTATTAGAGCAGCTGCAATATGGGTCATCTCCCCACACCCCCCTCGGCCAGACCCCCCGTTTCCATTCGCCTTGCCGCAGACGCACCCATAACTACACATGCTGGCCCACTTCCACTCTCTTTCAGCCGGATTTGGCAGAATACAGAGTAAAGCATCGTGCTGTAGGGTCCGCCACTGGGCACGACAGCTTGCTGGACTGCTGGCTGCGACGGCAGACAGTGACGGCCGTCGGAAGGGGTAGGAACGAGATGATCGGAGGACTGCTTACCAAGATCCAAGACTCAGTTCCCTCCAGATTGCATCGTGCTGATATGTAGAAACGGTGGCACAGCTGCGCCCGTGCTTCAAGGCTAGCCCACGTCGTCCGCTACACTAGTAAATGGAGCCGACACGGGCTCCCGACAGTTTAGGCGGGTGGAAACCGTCTCTAGTGGACAGGTGGCGGTCAGGCTAGTTACATAGCACGCCGTACTGGACGGGCTTAAGGTCGTATTGCAGAATACGGCGAAAATAATGCAATATTTCGTACGGGCCCCTCCCTGCTCGTCGTCATCAATCTGATTTCTGACAGGAGCAGTCCAGGGCGGGCAAATGGGCGCCATGCAATTTGCGGGCCATCCAACCGTGCATTTCCGAAAGCAGGTATCTGAGACCTGGCTGCCAACGGCATGCCGATCTGTTCTCTTTTAGTTGGACGCCCGATAGGCGGGGCGAAGCGAAGCCGAACGGGCCCATTGAGGGCGCTACGAGGACGCTGCAAAACGTATCTCTAGTTACAACTAGTAATATATCTTACATTGTACGGAGTAGCAGAGGCCGAGCCGCTGCGGAGTCGACAAGTAAGACTGAGCATTTGCAAGCGGCATTCAGCGCCACATGGGAGCCGGAGAAGTATGCCTCCGCCTGCAGCAGCAAAAACACAGTCGAAATCCTCGGCAGGATCTCTCTGTCGAGCCGGGAGCCAAGGCTGTCACATGCAGCGTCCCAGACCAAGTGAAGGAGGCCCGCGGAGGCCATAGAGCTAGCCCTGGACTTACGCTGCTGGGCCGCGCACGTGTTGCTGACAATTTCGATGGACCTAGAACGCCCGGCGTGTAATAGGTGCATATTCCTCCTGCATTGTGTAAATGAGGTCACACACCTCGCCTCCACCACAATGCAGGTGGCCTCCGCCAAGCAGTTTCGATTTGGTACCCGCAGAGGAGCGCATCCGTTCCAGTCTTGGCCTGATGCCGAATATTTCCTGACGGCCCGGGCTTCTGTTTTTGTTACTTCTGGCGCCGACTCAATCCGATGAAGAATGGCTAGCCCACGAGGCAACTAGCCGCCTTTTCCTTTGGTTTTTTCTTTTATTAAGAAACGTGCTCTCCAGCCTACCTTCCTTACTATGTACGGCTGAGGGTCCCTTCCCACGCGGTGCTTGCAGCCTTTTTCCCCAGATGCCCCGTTGTTTGCCCCCCAAGAACCTCTTGTCCGATGCCGGGTCCGTTCTAGAATACTTTGGTAGACTTCGAACTTGTGTCAAGACGCAGCCGCAATCTAGTCACACTCGCACACAAAACGGAAGTGGGAGCATTCTGCAGAGAGAGACAGCACTACCTCACTTGTAAGAAGGCGCCAGAAATTACACCTCCTCCATCACACTCTCTCCCACGCAAATGTGCGCCTTCTTCATGCACGCTTTACGTGTCTTGTGAGCATGTGGACGTATGCCATTGCAGGCCTCTTGTACCGACAGCTGCATGGACACACCCCTGTGGGTACGACTTCCATGCAAAGTTGGATGGGATGCCGGGCGTAGCATTAACACATTCTACTCCCACAAATATCTCACGCATCAATCATGCCGCGTGATAGTTCGGTGGCTGCATGCTGGCCTTCTCTATGATACGGCACATAGCAATTGTTCTCCCTCGGCTCTACATCGTACTTGCTTGTCCTAAAGTTGCCGACATCTTGATCGCAATAATCCTAGACACTAATACGAGTGTTTGCATTTGTCACTCGTGTGTAATACATTGCGTCGGCGGCCAGCTCGCGCTTGTCAGCCGAAGGGTGGGAGACAAGGCAGGAAGCTAGAGCGCGACTTCCTTCCGATACCATTTGCCGTGCTTGCCGTGTGTAATCCACCCTTACCTCACTCGTGAGCTGTTCCTTCCTTGGCGCCTCAGCTACTTGGTCTTTCTCAACTTCTTTCTCCGCTCTGCTTTCTTCTTCTCGCAGTCTGCACCCCACTTACGACTTAGCATCGCGAGGCTTCCTGCATGTGGCAACCAGTGACCGACGGCGAGCCCCAGTTCTTCTTGTCTTTGCAACACGTGCTACATGACCCGCCGGGGCGAACGATGCTGCTATCCCGGTAGGTCAGCAGAGTGAGTGAGACTGAAAGAACTAGGGTCAATCTCACGACCAATGACCAAGTCCACATCAACGGCACACATACAGGAGAGTATGATATCCAACAGTCTGCCAACTGAAAAAAATGAAGGGACATCAGTAAATGCGAGCATTGAGATAGTTCTGGGCCGTTTCCGGTCCCAACCATACCACCTCCAGAGGCGAACGGCAAGCATAAAACGCTGGGTGTCAGCAAAACCCCGAGTGCGTCAATCTTGCTTCATAGATACTTTACTCCTTTCAACCAGATCACTCTCGCACCTGAAGCAACTTGGGATACTAAGACGCCTTGGCACCGAAGATTGATCCCGCCGCAAGGTCGAAAAGTGACTCCTGGGTATTTCGCACCCGTGTCCTAACTTCGGACTCCGAGAGAGGCCGCTGTTGTCTAACCAGAGATCTGTGAAGCAGTCCGGCCATCGAGCGCCACGCAGCAAACGACCGCTATCTCTCTTGAACACAACAGACCGGCCCCCTTGCCTTCGGCCATTAATCGCACCCCCTTCCTTGACCGGTTGTATATGCTAGATGCCCGCGCGTTATTATGGACAATGTCGAATTAGGGAGGTGATGACAGTAAGTTCCCTTGCACGACATCGTACCCGCGTTGTCCTTCCTCAACGTCTGCTGACATCTTTTGTAAGTGGTGATGCACGTGCGAGAACAGCATATAATTGGCCCGCGGTGCCCAGGCGCCTAGAAGGGAACGAGCGAGTGGTTTCGAGCCTATGCTGTCCTGACCGACAACGGTATTACCACGTCCGGTATGCCCGGTCGCAAGACGGCAGTAAGTATGATTCGAATCGTTTGCAAAGCTCTACAAAAGAATTTTCCCTTTTGGCTCTGGACTAGATCATTATCGTGGGTTTGGAAATCGGCCGGCCGTCTTATCTTTGTCGAGCAAATGGCCGCCGCACATATCTCCGGTTTAAGCTCTGCATTAATGTGAGAAGGCCGAAAAAGCCAATCACAATTTATGTCTCCGCACAATCGCTGTCGCTTTGAGTGCCTCTCTCCACAGCCATTTTCACCCCGTTCCCTATGCTACCTAACAATGGGCACCCATCTTGGACCTCAAACTTTGCATCTCCCATGCCCATTGTCAAAGTCGTTTAACTGCAGGTAGGCGGAAGAGGAGAATTACAGCTGGAACCCTAGTTTTGAAGCCAGCAACTCTTTGTTCAACGAATCGAGTCGCCGAATCCGATAGGCCAAGACAAATATGGGCAGTAGAGCTGGAAGCCTGACTTTTTACTTAGGAGATTTTCCGCCCTCATCTCTTAATATCCCGTTCCGTCTGCTTTCTGTCGTCCAGTCGGCATGCATCGGGCAATTAGTCGTGCAACGCAGAATTGGCAGCGGAGCATCTCATGACTACCCGAAGCCCCCCAGCACTTGACTTGTCATCTTTTTGTCGGCAGCCCGAAACAGCAGATTGAGAGCGGCATACATGAACGAAATCGGCTTGCAGGCGCCGCCACACCTGCCCACTGGGACAGAAGGCTTCATGTTTTGCAATTACTTTCAGGAATACCGTACTCTGACAACGTCTTCCAGAGCAATCTCAAGCCACTCTCGTCTGCGGAATGGATTTTAGTTTCCGAGCCATTCACGATGTCGTCCATCCCACGGCTGCTTTTTCTGGACCAGACGAAGAGGTGGACTTCCAGTCTGTCCATGAGCAGGAGGCGGGTTTCGCTGGCGGTGAGAGTGGCTGGGAGACGTCCCAGCTGAACCCCAAGAACCGCATCACAAGCCTTGCACCGCTCTTGCATCCCCTGTGGCGCCTTGATGGCAGCACCGGCTTTGGCACGCAATACTATGCCATCCCTCTTTTTCTAGCCGACCCGTCGCCCATGCGCATCGACGTGTTTATCCACGAGGGGGCGTTGTATCCTCCCCTCTTGCGCCAGCTTCTCAACCTCGACAGAGCCTTCTCGATCAAGGATGCCGGCCGCCTTCGGCAGTTGGGCATCACCCAGCATATCCTACGGATCTTACAATGGCATACGGTACACCCAGATGGAGCATTGCACCCGGATGTTGTGGCGAGATACTACCAACGCGGTCCGTTTGGGTCTCGCATTGTCATCGACAATCTCAGCTGCCACATCCATAAGTCTCGCATTCACGTCTATCTCAACTACCCATTGGAAGAGGACCTGCTGCCATATCGAGAGCTCCTGGCAATGTGGGGCCTATCAGGAGAACAGCCAACCGAGCCGAAGTGCGAAGGGAAAGAAGAGGGAGAAACGTCAAAACCCACTGGTTGCCAAAAAGGCGCTCGGGACGCCAAGGGAGCCAAGCTGCCGCCAGAGGTAGATATACATGATGTGATCCTAGTCCGCCAGCTGCACGACAGCGTCTGCGAGGTACACATCAAGGGCGACCCCGAATACGAGACGAAGTTGATCTTGCTCAAGTCTCTCAACAGCAGCGTGAAGTACTTGTACCACGAGCTGCGCACACTTCTCCGGGACGTGCCTGCACACGAGCATGTCATCGGCCGGCCTCGACACGTTATTTCCAAGCCGTGCATGTTCGGTGGAAAGCGCGGCGTCGTCGGGTTCACCCTCCCATATTACCCGGTTGGCACTCTGCGCGACGTGCTGCCCATTCTGCGGCTGAACGGCCGTCTCGCCCTGGATGACCAGCTGCGCTGGGCCTGCCAATTGGCGCGTGCCATGTGCCACATCTGGTACCAAGGCCAATGCTACTACCCGGATCTGCGCCTAGACAACATCGTGCTGAGCGGTGCTAGGCCACCAGCAGGCGACGTTGTCGTCATCGACTTTGAGCAGCGTGGTGTCTGGAGCAGTTTCTCAGCGCCTGAGGTCGACTTTGTCGAGAATCTGCGGATCCTGTCTCGCGACGACGCGGACGTGGCCAGCGCCAATCCGGACCATGTCATCCCAGAAGAGCACTGCGAGCACGCAAAGCAGGCACTAGCAGGATGCTGGGTGGCAGCAGCGGCTGCAGAAGGCCGTCAAGGGGGTGAGGAGGACACCCAGCCCCCCCACGACCTGGCTGCGGTGGCGGCATTCATTGCCCACCTCGAGGACGACACGCGATACACCAACCCGGCCCACGGCTACAATATAGCTTGGATCTGTCTCACGCGGCGCGAGCAGGAGGCTGCCATGGTGTACATGCTGGGACGCGTGCTCTGGTGCATCTTTGAGGGCATGAGTGCGCCTCACCGAGGCGCAGTGTGGCAGTCATATCGCTGGGAGCCGGAGGAGGTGGAGTTTCCGTCATACTTGCGCACGCCGCCGTCGGTGCAGGAGCTGATCACACGGTGCCTGGGCGAGGGCGGCACCCGGGAGCAGAATCAGTTTGTGCGGAGGGGCGGGAAAATTTACATGAAAGAGGAGGCAACAAGCGGTGAGCAGCAGCAGCCGCAGAGCGCTTACGCTGCCGGCGGTTCCGATGGCACTGCCTATCGACTAGTGGCGGACAACCTTGTGAGCAAGGCACGGAAATTCTGGCAGACTCGGTTAGCCGAAGGAGCTGCTTGGCTTCAAGAGCGGAACTGCCGTCTGCTGCAGGATAAGGCGTCAGCCGGCGGCGATGGCGACAGAAGCGAGACTGCATACGGCCGGCCGACTTTGCGCCAGGTGTCCCAGTGCCTAAGCGAACTGCAGGGACAGCTTGCATCGTGACAGGGTGAAAGGATGGCCGGAGCGAAGCGGGCGGGACATGACGGCTGCCGATCATCTCGATGCACGCTTTGGAACGGTCTGGAATAATCGGGAAAAGGGGTCATTCATTTGTAGACACATTTTCAGGGACGGTCGCTTTGTTCAACAAAAGTGTCATACCCGTACTCGTAGCTATATATCTATCTTATCAAAGCAAATTTTCTTATACTTTTTCGTCCAGAGCTTAGCAGGATGCTTACTAATTGTGGCTGTTGTCTGCGCGCAGCAAGTTAGTTCTCTCCCAAAGAGCGATTACTCAGACAGCTGGTGATTTTTAAAAGATCTCCAACTGCGATCGTACATGCTAATAGCTAGCGTTTCTCGCCCAGAGGTTAAAGGTACTCCGATATAGATTTCCAGATACTAAAACGCTACCAAACCCAAATCCTCCCATGGATCCTCTCAGAGGCTTCCATACCCAATAATACAAGCCATACAATAATCCAATGCTGCAAATGCGGACTCGCTGCCATTATTTACTTTTCGCAATGCCAAACATGAAACAGGGTTGAAGAAACTGCTACGGTTTCTCACGATTCCCGCGCTCCCTAGGGCCGAAAACGGGGTCTGGCGATGCACGAGACGGCGGATGTGAGACCTGAGAGTCCTGTGGCGGTTGGCCGTTCGTCATGAGCAACTGGTGGCCCTCGATGCCATGCTGCGGTACCATGCGCGCGCCATTTGGCTTGGGGTCCCTCTCGGCAGGGGTCCAGGCGAGGTAGTCGCGACGGACCTCGACGTAGTCGTAGGCAAACTCGCCATGCTGATCATCGTCCATGCCCAACAGCTCGGCCTCTTCGGAGGCGCGCAGATGCAGGCCAGGAATGAGGTCGATGATCTTGGCCAGAATGGCAGACACGGTGAAGGCGTATGCGGAGCACGCGACGAGATAGGCGATCTGGACATAGAGCTGGCGCCAATGGCGGTTGAGGAAGCCGCCGGAGACGAGGCCCGTGTTGACGCCGTCGAGGCCGATGATGTAGTCAGCAGCGAAGAAGCCGTTAAACAAGAGGCCAACCATGCCACCGACACCATGCTCAGCGAAGATGTCGAGGGAGTCGTCGATGCGGAGGAAGAATTTGACTGAGCTGTCAGGAAAGAGCACAAAAGAGCATTGAGCGGAGGGGCAAGGAAAGATAGAACAGTACCCTTGGTGGCAAAGTTGCAGGAAATCCCCGTGATGACTCCGAGGATGATGCTCGCCCACGGTGGGATATAGCCCGAGGCGGGTGTGGCAGACACGAGGCCGGAGATGGTGCCGGAGCACCAGCCGACCAGCGACCACTTGCGGGCGAGGCGGAAGTCGAGCAGACACCAGGTCATGGCGGCGAACATGGCGGTCAAACACGAGTTCCAGCAGGCCATAGTGGCACGCAGATTGGCGCCAAAGGCAGAGCCGCCGTTGAAACCTAGCCAGCCGAACCACAACAGGGTGGTGCCGAGGGTGATGAGGGAGATGTTGTGGGGGCGGAAGTTGAGCATCATCTTCTCGTTGCGACGACCAAGCACCCAAGAATAGGCAAGTGCAGAGGCGCCGGAGCCGATCTCGACGGGGCCACCGCCAGCGTAATCGAGGACGCCGTATTTAAAGGCCCAGCCATTGACGTTCCAGGCCCAGCAGGCGATGGGGCAGTAGACGATGGTGGCCCAGAAAAAGGAAAACACCATGGCTGGCACCACGCGGCCACGCTCAGCCGTGGCACCGACAACGAGGGCGACTGTCACGGCACAGAACTGCATCTGGCAGAAGGAGTACAGCAGCTCTGGGATCAGCGGTGAGCCGGGCGACGGTGTAGCGAGCGTGTTGCGCAGGCCGAAGTGGTGCAAGTTGCCGATGAAGCCGTTGGTCGCGGTGCTGCTAAAGGCCAGCGAGTAGCCCCAGAAGTACCACTGGAACACGATCACGCTGAAGGACATCATGCACACCCATATCAACGACAGGGCCGACTTGCGCCGTGCCAACCCCGAGTAAAGAAAGGCAATGCCTGGTACCATGATGAGGACCATGCATGATGCCACGATGATGAACGCCTGGTCGCCCGATTGATACCATTGGTTCAGGTTCTCGGTTGCTGCGCATTGTTAGCAGCAGCCGGGGGTAGGCAGCAAGAGGACGCACTGGAATCGCCGCCGGTCTCGGCGTTGGTGCCGTTGAAGACGGCCGGCGCGCCGACCCATGGATACGACATTGGTGCTGACGGATTTCCTGCAAGAGCAACTTGGCGACATGAGAGAACCAGGCTGGGGATGCAGCAGTGCGTGAAGGCGTAGAGGCGCAGAGCCGTAGAGACGTGAACAGGGATAAGAAGTCAGGAGACAGTCAAAAGACAAAGGGGAAAGCCTTCGAATAAGTAAAGGATGAGAGACGAGGAGGAGCTAGGAGTAATATGGAGAACGGGAAGAAAGCTAGTGATGACGAGAGAGCGAGGCCGTCTGCCATGCGATACCAACCTGCTGGAGAAGCACAAATTGTATTACTCCGTACCCGTAGCGAGATACGAGTAGGCCGACCGTCCATACTCGTAGTGCTGTATTCGTACGGAGTACCTGATGCTGGTAGGGTGAGAGATATTTCTTTCGCCCCCGTTCCACTCCAGCGGCAATGCCTAGCGTGGAGCCATCATCTTTCATCAAGACGGGCCCGCCGTAAACCCCACGTCCAGTAGGGGAGTTGTGTGACTGTCTGTCTCTGGGCGTAGGTCATGGTGCGTGGTTTGGATAGAGCATTTTGGGAAGTGGGAGTACCATGTACGGGTACTCGTGCTTGTCTGGGCTGGGCCAGTTGTATCGGATGTAATAAGTAACGGGGCCGAGAGAAGAAGGGTATCAGCAGAAAGTGGAGGTACTTTGTAGAGAGCTGGCTAGAAGAACGCCGCAAAGCGGATTCGTCTCGCGTTTTCGAACAGTGGCATTATGGCTAGGAGAACAAGACCTAAAGTAAGGCCACGGCTTAGAATATCCTCCCTTGATTCGCCTCTATGTGTATGTCTTTCAGCACCGTCTCCTCTTTTTGCGGGTGTTGGTCTGTTGCAATGATTGTTCCGCCTCTGGCTTTTGTTTGCTTGTCAAAACGCGCACAATATGCCAGCTTGTCGTCTGCTTGGCTCAGAGCTCCGACCGAAAGATGCATAACAACGACCATCGCTTATAGCCCAACTGCAGACAAGTCATGCTCGTACCCGTAGTACCAATGTTTCAGACCAGTGAATCTTGGTGTCCAGTATCAGCAAAGTTCTTTCCGGGCCTTTTCAGAAAGCTGCTTCGATATGGCACGTTGTCGTCGAATTGCAGCTTATGGTCGACCGATGGAGCTTTTGGGACCAGGGTAGAAAAGCCAGGCCCCGGACACTAGACAGAGTCAGGCTTGGCCTTTAGCGTATTCTTTCTCTTGCTGCCCATACGGAGTATACGGAGTATATTCTGTGCTATTACCCCGTACGGAGTACTTGTAATCATCTCCTTCCGCTCTTTCCCCCCGGAGGAAAAAAACACCCCCCCACTGTGCAGGAGCAGCTGCCGGCGATCAGAGTGCGGAGGGCTTAGCTCCCTTTTCACTATTGCCTAATTCGTCATGTTCGACCTTTTTTTTCTTCACCATCAGGCGACCTCGTAGAAATCATCGCCGTCTTCCCGCCCTCACTCTGCCATCACCCGTTCAGCTTTCATTATCGGACTCTCCCGGCCACATGTGATTGAGTGCCAAGGTACAGCCGCTGATGCTCTATACGCCCTGCGCCCGTCATTGCCCTTGCAAGTGCGGCTCGGACCCTCAAATCCCCCAAAACGGCTTATTTGTTACTTAATAGTTATGTATCGCCACCACAAACCGTTACAAACGGCCTGTGTTCAGCCAGTCCTGGGCGTGCGATAAACCTGGCGTGCGGTAACTAAAAAAAAACCTGCGCACACAGCTGGACCAGAGCTCCGGGATGAGCCATTGACCAATCGGCAGTCGGCTTTGTGATAACGCCTTCGAAAGAGTTTTGCTCACACACCCGGCTAGCATGTTCCGCCTTCTTCTTGGCCTACCCCTTGGTCTCTTGGGGGTTCTCTTTCATGTTCCAACGCTAAAACAAGCTTCTACGACGATGCACCTGCGCAAGCCCTCGTGTTCCCCACCTCGTTCCCCTGGCACGACTCTGTACGAACACATCCGCGGGCCCCCTGGAAGGCACTTGAATGGTTGTCTTCTTCTGACAAATTTCGTCACTGAGCCGGCCTTCCTAGCTCTGCCTTATCATTCCAATACGAGGGACGAGGCGTCCAACGTCGAGTTTGTGTTGGTCAGACATGTTTGGCAATCCTTACAACAGACCGACACCCCTGACAGATCGTATCTTACATATTACCCTCACATCCATGCAGTACATCCCCAATAAGCCGGGCAGCGTTATATGCATGCGAAAGAAAGTAAGTATGCGTTCTTTCCAATTTCTTTAGCACCTCTCCCTTTGGGGCATAGCTGTTTTTCTTGTGTTATTATTCTCTTCCTTTTTTAGGCTGATCGACTTTTGGTGCTGCCGCGTTTGTCCCCATGCGGAGCAAAGAGCTTACTCGTACAGGTCAGAAAGCCTCATGCACTGAATGTCTTACGCAGAAAACCAGGCAGGTCGGGAGACTGTCCTGTCTTGACTTGCTATCGCAGAGCAAAGAAAATATGCTCATCATCAGGCCAACGGCCTCGGCGACTCCACCTATCATAACGCTCTGAGTGGCGCGATTACCTCCCTCATATTTTATTTTTGCTGGGCGGTTCTTCTACAGGGTAGAGTTTACAGTGCTTGTCGGCCCTCACAAACTACGCCTCAGCTCACATACCATCTGACAAGAGACATGTTCGCTTCCTCCGTGAGGGCCTGCCACGAAATTTGCCACTCCGTGAAAGACTCGACCGCCTGCGTGGGATGATAACTACTGCTTTTACTAGCAAAATTCAATCACTTAAAAGTAATTAACGAATTTCGGCTGTTCCTGGCAACCTCGACTTGTCCAACGTGGCTTAGCCGTGATGCGCCTCGGGCATGGATGCAGGACAAGCCACTAAGGCTACACTCGCTGCCCTTCATTGTATGACATCTTTGATAAATCTCGAACAAGCCGCGTTCATAATATCATCTGTCCAAGTTTATAACAAAGGCAAAAATGGGCGAGGACAGCCGTCCTCTCTGTGACCGATGTCGTCTGCTGATGTCCACTGAATCGCTTCAGAAGGAAAAAACCATTCAGGCACTCGCCGCTGAGGTCGTTTGGAGACAGACCACTCTGCCAGCTTTGCCACTACCTTTGGGATGAGAATTGGCTGGAGAATGGAGGATGGTGTGCTTCTGTGAAATGGGAGCCTGTTGTCGGTATCTCCCGATTGCGTGACCTTGTCGAGGTGCCAGTGGGGGTAGCTTTAGAGAATATCGGCGAGATTCAGACGGGTTGGGTTGTCTTCAATCGTGAAGAAGCCTTGCATGTTCATATCGAGAACGACGCAGGAAAGTACATGAACGATCACCGTGCGTTTCTTGACCTAGTCACAACTGCCGGTAAGTATGTACCTCCCGAACAGTTCGTTTCTCTCAGGCCGTGCTTACTCGTTGCGAACAGATAGCTTGTGTGCCGATATCACAAAACTACGCTATATTGATTGGAACAGTCCAGTCTCGCACTGGATCCCTGCTATCAAGAACCTCATCACAGACTGCCACAGCAAGCACGATCATTGCCAGCCCCTTGAGCCAAAGCCTCTCCCACTAAGGCTCCTACAGGCTCAAATCAACTAGCCATATTTGTCCCAAATACGCCTGAGTGTGGCTCCGCGAAACAAGGATGAGCTTGGCCTCTATGCCGCCCTCAGTTACTGCTAGGGCGGCCCGCAACGGCTGGAGCTAACCACGAGCAATATCCATGCCTTGGAGCAAGGGATTGATACAAAGTCTCTCCCACAAACTCTGCAATAAGCGATTCTCGTCACACAGCTCCTCGGACTAGAGTATCTGTGGGTGGATGCTTTGTGCATCATCCAGGATGATGACGCCGACAAGGCCGCGCAGATCTCCCAGATGCATGACATTTACGAAAATTCGGCGGTAACGATTTCAGCCGCTTCTGCAAGCTCCGTTGAGCAGGGGTTCCTGTCGTTCCATGGCTGGCATACGGACAAGAATCCTCGGTGCGACTTGGCTGTACGCTTTGATAACAATGAGCTGGCCCCTCTTTATCTGGTCCCCGCGTACATCCACCAAACGAACGACTTTCCTATCCAGAAGCGAGGCTGGACACTGCAAGAAAGCATGTTGCCCCCGCGGCTGCTGGTCTTTGGCGATCTAGAGCCATATTTTTGCTGTCGGAAATATAAATATGTGCATGTCGCCGGGTCACTCGTTCGTTACCAGGACGTAAAACTGCCGCGATTCAATAGCGACGGCTCGACAGGCTCCTCCTCTACCGCACTCCAGTTTCGATACAGGGAGGCATGGACCCAAGTTATCGAGCAATATACAGATCGCACGCTAGGTGTTAAGGAAGATCGCCCGTTTGCTATAGCTGGCGTGCAAACTTGGCTCATCAACATCTTAGAAGACGAGTGCTACTTTGGCGTTTGGAACTCACGAATCCTAGAGGGCATTTACTGGAAGGTAGAGCACAAAAAAGGCCGAGAATCAGGGCACATCACAAACTGTCCCAGCTGGTCGTGGATGTCCGTCCTAGGAAGGGCCAGTACGGGGTTTGCGTTCTACAAGTTTTATGCTCGAACCACGGCTGAATGGGGCATCGACTCTGATCATCGAGAGGTCATCTTGCATTGTCATGTCCTTACGCTGGCCGACGTCACTTCTAGTGATGTGCGGGAATCATGGCCAGATGTTGTTACAGAAGAAGACATAGACATGGGCATAGGGACTGATGGGTCGATCAAGAACTATCGCTGGGCGGACGACGTGTGTTTTCTCGGCCTGTACGAAAATTACAACTTTTTGAAGGCCCTCGCTGCAAGAAGCTATGGTGATGATGTTTATAAGCGCGTTGGACTGGTGAATCTGGCGTGTGCACCGAGGTGGTTGAAAAGCCCAAAGAAGAGGGTTATTTTGAGGTGATCTGAAGGGATATGGTATGGTGACCTATCGGTGGCCACAGGTAGACTGGAGCGTGGCATCCTGATGCTTGAATCGGCGGTGATACTAGGCGAAGTCTCCGTGCCCAGTGCGATGGGCGAGGTATATTTGTAGCTGCTTGCGTGACAATAGCCGGACGCTGGGTAGTCTATTCTTTTGGTAATCCCTCCGTTCTGTGGCTTCTCTGTAACGTCTGCTAAGTGACTGCCTCGTGGCGTCCCACTGAGTCCAGGAAGCCGACTTCTATCATTTAAGGGCACCACGTCTGTGTGGGATCGCCCTGTCGTTTTAGCGCACGCATGGGTCACGTGAGAGCCAATCAGATGCCCCATTCGCGTCTCCAGCTGCCAGCGCGAACTAAGTGACGTCTTGGAAACTTGAACGGGTCCGTTTCGGAGAACAAGCTACGACACAAGTCAGCGCGCCACGCCCGCAAATATCGCCGTCTATCGACCATCCTCGTTTTGGTAGGAAAGAGTGGCTTAAAAAGAGAGAAGTGAAAAAAGAGAGAGAGAGATGCCGGCCCAGCAGTCTCAGAGCCTCTCGGCTTCGTTAGGAGGCAGCAGCAGCAGAAAGACGAGATACCAGCAGGTAGCTACGACCGATGTCGGCGACAGGGACCTCGAGGAAGACCGCATCTATAGCGGTGAAGAAGTTGACGAGGAGAGCAAAGCGGCAGCCAGAGACGAGACGACAAGCTTCATGTTGCCGCAGAGCCCCTATCCGCCGCCAGCAGCACTGTACCATCGATCCGGCGAAGGGGCTTCGGCCTGGCTTTTGCGACGCACATTTCGCACCGTGGCCATCGCCTTCCTGACCTGTCTGTTCGTCTGCGTGGGCTTCAAGTTTGTCAGCGATAACAGCGGCCTGTCGCTGGTGCTGCCCGACCACAGCTCACACCACGAGGGCAAAACAACTGTCCATGGACCCGACTCCGATTCCGAAAGCTGCCGCTGCAGCGAGACTGTCACGGTGCCCCAGCACTTCCAGACGTCGCCACAGCTGTTTGCCGGCCCTACGGCGACGGGAAAACCGGCATTTCTGGCGCAGACTGTGACCATCAACCCGTCCGCGACATACGTGGCCAACCAGCCGCTACAGACCAACATCGCCGTCGATGGCCAGCCGGCAGACGGCCAGTCAATCTTTGAGAACATGGGGTGGGTTTCCTATCATCCGCCGTGATGTCGCTTGCTTTCGCGCTCCTCTGACAGGCCCTGCTAGATACCTCTCCCCCTACAAGCCCTCCCCGGGTTTTGGCGTGCAGGAATACGCTCTCCCGCCCGGTGCAGAGATCGTGCAAGTACAGGTGAGCACTAAGAACCTTTTTGAGAACAGCTGGTGCCCTATCGGAAAGCTTACTGGCAACTCAGATGCTCTCCCGACATGGATCGCGATACCCGACGCTTGGTGCCAGCGTCTACGACCTGGGGCAGAAACTAGCCAAGTCCAAAGGACAATTCAAGGCATCCAGTGCTCTCAGCTTCCTCGAAGACTGGGAATATAAGATGGGTCATGAGATCCTCGTTCCGAAAGGTGCTTTCTACACCTTTCTGATACGCCCCCAGAAATCAGCTTCTGTCATGCTAACTCGCTTTAGGACGACAAGAACTCTTCGACTCGGGTCGGTCTTATACGCCAAATAAAACTGGAGCCTGAAATACAGTACTGACACTCGACTTAGGCATCGTTCACTCTTACATGTACTCCAACCTCTACAATCCGAATAGCAAGATCATTGTCCGCACTACAGTACGTTCTGCCTTGATTTACAATTCTCTTATCGCTCCTCTCTCTGACACACAAAGACCCAAGATCGTATGCTCAAATCTGCCGAGAACTTCCTCGCTGGGTTTTTTGGCCTCGAGTGGTGGGTTCCCTGTCCATCAGCCAGTTCACCAGTTCTCCCCGCTCATCGTATCTTAGGACCAACAATGCCACAATTGAGGTGATCATCGAGCAGGACAGGGCCAACAATTCTCTTGCTGGTTATCTGAACTGCCCCAACTCCTACCAGGACCACACTGGCACCGATGCCAACAATATATGGGTGGAGAACTACCTACGGAATGGTGAGCCAGCACTTCTGGGAGAAGATGGGTTGGTCTGGTCTTTTTGCTTACATTCTATAGCCACGGCGCGCTTCCGATCTATGCTCGACGGAATCGAATGGACCATCAAGGACACGTACGCCGCACAAACTCTGTGCCCCTACGAGACTGTAAGTGCCCTTTCGAGCTACTCTCCGCTTGTCTTGGCCCTACTCTGACACCCAAAATCTAGGCTGCATACGGCTTCAGTCGGTTTTGCGACCTCTTCACATACGAAGAGTGGCTTGGGTTTGGCTACTCCATCGACTTGTCGTTTGCTGGTAACAACGGTTTTCAATCTTCTACAGGGGTAAGTCAGCAATACCCTGATGAGATATGGCAAAAGAGCGATGCCGAGAGACGTGCTAACAGGGATTTTCCAGAGAGCCGTCGGCATTGGCTACCAGCAAGAGGTCATTGCACGCCTCAAGAATCATACGCTCGGCTACTCGGGATCCCAGATCAACGTCACTCTCGACAACAACACCGACACTTTCCCGCTGAACCAGAGCCTCTACTTTGACTTCTCTCACGACACAAACATCGTCTCCATCCTGACTGCCTTTGGCTTCCAGCAGTTTGCGACCCTGTTGCAGCCGGCTGCGTATCCGGGCCAGCACAACTTCACCGTCTCACACATCGTGCCCTTTGGTGCCCGTCTCGACATTGAGATAATCAGCGCCCCGCGCCCAGTGGCAGCCGATCGGTCCGGATACGAGGATGGTGTCAGCAACCGCGAGACCAAGTATATCCACTTCATCCTCAACCAGCGTACGCTGCCGCTGGGCTTCAGCTTCCCCGAGTGCGATGCCTCACGAGTGGACGGCTGGTGTGAGCTGGATACCTTTTTGCGCGTCCAGGAGGCCATGCCGGCACGAGCAAAGTACGACGAGGCTTGCTTTGGGCCGTTTACGTCGCGGCCGTATGGCATGGTCATGGACGGGGCGCCGATGTAGTGTGGTGGGAAGCTAGGCGTTCCAGTTATTCCTCCGAAGGCAGACCTGCTGCTATAATGTTCGCACATCTTGTCTTTATAATGTAATTAATACTATCTTATCGGGAACTGGAACAGCAATACTATAGACAAGCTCTTAGTAGTCATCGTTCATATATTCATGGGCCGCATAGCTTTTCTTAAGCGCGGCTACTAAGAGCAAGCAGTGAGAGACCGAGACTCGGTGCGTGAAAGTTGCACCATACTGTCTATATCTGTGCAAATACTAAGATAGAGTACTTGAATAGCAGGTGATTCCATTCAGTATCTGACTTTGATTATTTTGCAACTACTAGAGAAGAAGGTATGGGATATGAAGCTCGTTCTTGCCTGAATAGGTTATTGTGCAAATGAGCTACGTCTTCTTCTTGGTGGTAATCATCTCATATATCTGCATTTCCAGTATCTCCTTCGTTTCAGTCAAATGGCATTGTCTTCCTACATTCGTTCCAAGTCACAAAAGCAAGCTTCCCAATCATGAAGTGGCTTTCTCCGGTTCTCGTCCTTGTGACAGGCGCTCTGGCCATCTCCTCTGCCACTCCCATGCGGCTTGCGATGGATCACAACGTCACATGCAAACTCAAAGTCAATGCGTACGCAGCCTTGTACAATTGAGCGAGCTTCGCATGATTGCTAACACGCACAAAGGCCAGGAGCCACCCCCGTCCATGGTCACTACCTAGCCATCGATCCCGACGAGAGAATAGGTGTCTTGGACCACGTCGACCCAAATACAGCCCCCCGGTTCTACTCCGCTAGGGTTCAGGGGTCCACGACCGATGCTTCCCTGCACCTTTTCCCTAGAACCGCCAACGACTGTGTTTTGGCGCTCTCTGGCCACGGTGGACTGTGTGGACTGCGCATTGCTGCAAGTCCAATCATAGGACAGGCACCGATCGCTGGTCAGATTGACTGGGAGCCATTTACTCTGAGCGAGTCCGACGACGGCTTCGAAAATGGCGCCAGCGACAGTGCCTCCCATTCAAACACAAACCTAGTGTACAGCAAAGCCAAAGGCAGTTGGCTGGCGATTCAAAAAGCGCAAGGCTTCTACGAGGTTGTTTGGTATGACGGTAAGTCGATACAAATAATGCTTGCACCCCCTCCACTGTCTCTTGAAAAGGCATCAACTAATATGGCCACAGAAAAGTCTCTCGTCGTAGAAACCTACACTCGCATTAACATTACTTGTAAGTCGGCGTCGGAGTAGCTCAGACGCTGAGAGCTTAGCCAGCCATTCCCCACTTACAGAGACCCGGATTTGCCGAGCAAAACCACGCGCCAATTTTGGTTTTAGCATGTGCCACACCCGAAGGTTCTTCACATGTGTCAAGCGCAGTGGTTGTGATGAGCTTCTCTCAGTTTCAAATGTGATTTGAGTTTCCTCATATGCCATTTACACATATGGCAGAAGAAGACACTAGATTATATAAACATTGTGTAATACTACAGCTGCTCCGTCCTGCTGCAACAGTGCTCCTCGAGTCTTCCCAGAAAAATATGAGAATCGGAAGGGCAGGTTCTGGCGGCAAAAATAATAGGACATATTGTAATTGGGGTTTTTTTTTTTCGTTTTTTCTTGACCCTATCCGTGCCTCACGAGCCCGGGCTTCCTCATGCTCTCAGAACCCGTGACCTCCCTGGCTCTATCCTCTCAACTCCGGCTTCCTCAAAACTGCGAAGCAGAAGTTTATCTAGGCCACCGGCTGTGCCATGCTGCTTAAAAGGACATCTGCTTCTTGATCTCGGCAATGGCGCGGCCGGGGTTCAGGCCCTTAGGACATGTCCGAGTGCAGTTGAGAATGGTGTGGCACCGGTACAGGCTCATCGAGTTCTGGAAATACTGCAGGCGCTCAGCCTTCTTCTCGTCACGCGAATCGGCCAGCCACCGGTATGACTGCAGCAGGATGGCGGGACCCAGGTACTCTTCCGAGTTCCACCAGTAGGACGGGCACGATGTCGAGCAGCAGAAGCAGAGAATGCACTCGTACAGGCCGTCCAGCTTCTTGCGGTCCTCCTTGGACTGGAGGTACTCCTTGCCCTGAAAAGATTTCACTTGTCAGCTGGGAAAAGATGGGCGTCCGGCGATTGGTTCGGCCCTCTATATTGGGTGGTGATCACGTACATCAGGAGCAGGCGTGGTCCTCTGGAGGTATGGCTTGATAGACTTGTACTGCTTGTACAGGTGCGTCAAGTCAGGCACGAGGTCCTTGACCACGTAGGTGTGCGGCAGCGGGTAGACCTTGGCCTCAGTCGTGTCTCTTGGGATACGGCCTGTAGGAAGCTGTTAGAATGCACGGCGCGAGAGAAGAAGACGCAGAGACGCACACAGGCAGGCCAGCGTGTTCACGCCGTTGATGTTCATGGCACAGCTGCCGCAGATGCCCTCGCGGCAGCTACGCCGGAAGGTCAGGGACGAGTCCTGCTCGTTCTTGATGCGAATGAGCGCGTCCAGCATCATGGGACCGGTCTTGTTGAGGTCGAGCGAGTACGTCTCCATGTGCGGCTTCTCCGTCGGCTTGTCAGGACTCCAGCGGTAGATTTGGAACGTCTTGATCAGGGGAGCCGGCTCGTCGGTGCTGACAGATGCCATGGAGCGCACAGATTGTGAAAATACGGAAGACGGGGATGCAGCCGCGGCCAGCGTCGGCCGCAGGACAGACAGCAGTGACCGTGAAGAGGAGGATGCGGCCAGGAAGCGCATTGTGGAGGAGCGGAGTGCGGCCATGGTGCCTGTTGTGCTTTGCGTTTGTCTCCCTGGGCTGGAAGCTCAAGACGATCGGGTTTTCTTCACAAGACGGTTCTGGCGGGGTCCGAGGTAGCTTGCCGATTGCTCTCTGGGTGCGTCTATCGTGCCCGGAGTCGCATTGAAGGCCAGGAGACCGATGGAGATGAGGACAGAGAGGGAGCACGAGGGATTAGAGGGGAGGAATGGGTGCAGGCGTGCCGAGTTTGTGGTATTTTTTTTCGTCATTGAGCACTGAAATTCGGGACACCTCGGTTAGTCCAATCCGCTCTATCCCCACGCTGGGGCAGCAGGGCGCCCTGGCCAATAGGCGCTTCCACATTGTCAATGGCCCTTAGCCGGCCGAGGAACTTTCGGGGAGACGCTGACTGGGCAAAAACGTCCTTATCGTGGGGAATAACTACAGTAGCTGATGTTAGCAAGACACTGTACGGAAGCGCGTAGCTTGGCGCCAGTACTGCCTGGCTGCTCTGACTGCACAGTGTCTGCTAGCAGAGGACCTGCTTCTCCGGAATGCACCTGTATTAGCGGATCCCTCAGAGCGTGATCGTTCCGCCATTCTAGGCGCGTGGCCCCGCTAGTGACATAATACGGTTTGCTCCGTATTATGAGCTGGTCGCTTTTTCCCAATTTAATTTCGCCTTGGCCTCCTGCGGATTTTCAGCTGCGAAAGGCGCATCATCTGTCGTGTCCCGCGCTCCTGCTCAACCGCGTTTCTGTTTCCAGCCAATGGTGTGGTGCATAGCATGTCAATGCAACCCTTTCCACCCCTATAGACGATAGCTCTAGCACAGACAGCGTGCCTGTGCTGGCAGTCTCTGTCGGCCGTTTCACACGCGCCCATTCTTCTCGCCGGATCAAATCGGCAACGCGGACAGAAGCCGAGAAATGGCTGGTCAGGGCGCACGCTTCGCACTGTCTGCCGCTAGACCCTGTCGGCCGCGATGTATGTTCCGTTGGTTCCTCGCTGTAAAGGGGTAAACTCTGCAGAAGGCAGAAGGCAGAAGGCAGAGAGCAGGACAACATGATCTAACCACGAGTGAATAGTGTCTGTAGTAGCCTTGTCTGCACCATTATCAGCGCCGCCCTTGTCTTTTTCAACACTGTCAGCACTGTCAGCACTGTCGACAGCATTCTCCCAGCCCACAACCCGCCGGCTCTCTACACTGCGTCCACGCATGCCGTCGTCGGGTGGCCTGAGGCGGCCAGGATTCGCCACGCAGAGGAGCTTCTTCTCGTACGGCGTGGCCGCCTCCTACATTGGCAAGGGCCGGCCCTACGACCCGTCCAAGCATGTGTTCAACTTCAGCCCCCACTGTCACCAGCAGCAGCAGCAGCAGCAGCAGCTCCAGCAAGACGGCAGGCCGGGCTCGCGCCCCGAGAGCGGCCAGGACGCCTTCTTTGTCAGCAATGTGGGCGATTCGGGTGCCGTCGCCCTGGGCATCGCCGATGGCGTTGGCGGATGGATGGATTCGGGCGTCGATCCGGCCGACTTCTCGCACGGCCTCTGCGAATACATGGCGACAGCAGCCAACACGCTGCGCTGGCCGTCTTTGGCTGCCGGGAAAGCCGAGGAGCCCATCCCGGCGCGGCAGCTCATCCAGCTGGGCTATGATGCGGTGTGCCGCGATCGCTCCATCCCGGCTGGCGGCTCGACGGCCGTTGTCGGTGTGCTGACGCCGGCCGGTCTGCTGGAGGTGGCTAATCTCGGCGACTCCGGCTTCATCCATCTGCGGCTCAACGCCGTCCATGCTGTCTCAGACCCGCAGACACACGCCTTCAACACACCCTTTCAGCTCAGCGTCATCCCGCCGAGCCTGTTGGCCCGCATGGCCGCCTTTGGCGGCGCCCAGCTCAGCGACGAGCCACGCGATGCCGAGGTCAGCCGGCACGACCTGCAGCACGGCGACGTGCTCGTGTTCGCCTCGGACGGCGTGTGGGACAACCTGTTCAACCAGGACGTCCTGCACCTGGTGAGCAGCGCCATGCAGGCCACGGGCGCATGGTACAGCGCCGACGACGCCGGCCTGCGTGTCGCCCCGGCATCCGACCTGAGGCGGCTGATGTACCCGCAGAGTGCGGGCGCAGAACGCCTAAGCAGCAGCAAGTCTGGCGGCGGCGTCGTGACGCTGCAGAGCCTCATCGCCACCCACATCACGGCGGCTGCCAAGGCGGCCAGCATCAACGACAAGCGGGACGGACCCTTTTCCAAAGAGGTCAGGCGGTACTATCCCCAGGAGAGCTGGCATGGCGGCAAAGTCGACGACATCTGCGTCGTCGTGGCAATCGTGTCCGAGGACACGGCGACAGTAAACGGCCAGCCGGCCCCCGAGTTGCCGCTGAAGAGCCGTCTATAGGACGGAGGTATCTGGTTTTGCATGCCTTCAATTTGTCATGTGTTTCCTTACCTCTTGTAAGTCGCACCTCAGAGTATTGTTGTAAGCATCTTTTCGGCGTCTCGTGGTTTTGGTCTGGCTGTCATCATTGTTGTCTTTTTGCCTTTTGACTTGGAGAGAGCAGAGGGGAGATCATAGAGTAGATACAGTGTGAGTATGTAAGTACACAAAAAATGCATCGCTTGCTGTCTCACACAGGCTTCGATTACGCGTTGTCGCTTCCATAGTTGGCATGTTGTCTCTTCGGTCAATGCCTCATTTGGCAGGCCATCTGTGCGATGCGATCGTGCAAGACGAAAAAGGCTGCAAGATTTCATGCACAAATGTCACATCTTCGATTGCATCCCCTTTGCATAATCTATTGGCCAGCATCTGCCTGAAGTGGGCCATGCTTACGTGATTTTACGAGCTTCCACTCATATTAAGCTTAAACCTAGATCACCAATCCTTCTTTATTATCATTATTACCATGTCGAACATAAATATGCAGCCAGCTTTAACAAAGCATGCCATGCCGTATTCCCCATTTGCCCACAGCGTGACTCCGCGTGGACTCGCCTTGTCCATTTCGTCTTTGCACCCAGACTACGACCCAAGTTCAGACATTAGAAACGGCGCCACAGACAAGATGCCAAATATTAATTTTCCCTTTCGCTGCCAACATTAAACGCGCTTCGCGGAAATGGTGCAAAATTACAGATGCCTCCCATCTTAGTTGAAGTACATCAGGGCAGCAACGGTGACGAGGATGAAGGCCAGAGGGGACTTCTCCTTCATGCCGCTGTTGGTGTTGGCCGGAGCGGAGGTACCGGTAGCAGAAGCCGAAGCGGTAGCGCTCGTCTTGCTCGCCGTGGACGTGGCTGCTTTGGGTTAGTTGCTTGATTTGCAGTGTGACCTAGGTATGGATGACTGCTTACTCTTGCTGGTGCTCAGGGTGGTGCTCGAAGAGCTCGTCTTGGTCGCCGAGTGCGACGAAGTGGAGTTGGTCGACGAAGAGGCAGAAGACGACGCAGAAGACGATGCCGAAGACGATGCCGAAGATGAAGGAGCAGAAGACGAAGCCGGAGCCGACGAAGCCTCAGCCGATGAGGCAGGGGCCGACGAGGCAGGGGCCGACGAGACGGAAGCCGACGACGAAGTCTTGGCCGACGACGAGGCAGAAGAAGACGCGCTGGTCTTGGATGCGGTGCTGGTGGCGGCAGCAGAGCTGACCGGGGCGGCACTGCTAGACGACGTCGTGCCGAAAAGGCTGAACTGCACGCTGTAGTTGGTCGTCTCCGAGTCCGTGATCTCAAAGGCATACACGCCACTCGTGATGTCGGCCGGGCACGTCCATGTGAAGCTTGAGCCAGAGTCGCCCTCTGTGTGTTGGAGACACCATGTCAGTCCATCTGGTGTACATTGCACTGCTAACAGCAATCAAACAAGAAAACGCCTTACTGTCAATGGTCTCAACCGGCGTCAGGTCGGTGAACGCGCCCGTGGCGAAGACGATGGTGACATCGCCAGTATTGCCAGACCACGTCAGGGTGAAGGGCTTGCCAGGCGTGACGACAAAATTCGCATTGGTGAAGGCAACCTTGGCGTTGGCGGCAGCGGCTAGAGACGCAAGAGCGGCGGTGATAGAGAACTTCATGTTTCCGGTTGGTGATGGGGAACCCGAAAATTATTGAATTTTAGAAAAAGAACCTGGACGAATCGTGGAACTTGACTACTGCGATGGGGATCGTGTCAGATGAGCTGGTTTCAGAGCCTTGCTGAATGGAGAGCGGCAGGACAACTTACAATACGAGAAACGTGGTTGCTTTTAGAAAACGAGGATGAAGATGCAAAGTTCACAGGAAACGAGCGAGAGGCGTGTGGGACAGGAGATGCCGTATTAGAGAGCGGTCGGAAACGATGGGAAGCAAGAAGGGAAGGACCGGAGAGGAGAAAAAGGGGGCTATTCCCAATAAGATGAGAAAGTCACAATAATACAAATATTTACCCAAACTAAACTGGTCGAGACTCTCACACGAGCCGTTAAGGTGTTATTGCAGCCACACTAACCCGTCTCGAGAAACGGCCCGGCCCCACACAGCTCTTCTTGCCAAATGAACGATGAGATACAGTTGCTATACGGGACCCCCCAGATCAGTTGATGCGTTGCGGAGTCCGAAGGCGCCTGGAGGGTATGAATGCGACGGGGGCTTTCGGCCTCTCTGTTGGCCCGTTTATCACAGACATTCCCTGCAAGTACGGTAGTACTCCGTATCCTAGCAAGATATCTTACGAGGCGCTATAGAAACGGGCAGTTGGTAATAGTGGACATGACGGATACCACGGCTTTCAGGATTTTCTTCTCCTCTTCCAAAGCACCCAAGAAAGCCACTACATAGTACACCGTTTGGTCACAACACGCCATCGTACCAGTGCTTTCGCGCAAATGGAAGCGCAGCAGCGAAGCAGCGCGACCGAGCTGGATGTCTTCCCGTCCTTGCTGGAGAACACATGATCGAGCAGATCGGCACCTCGTAAACGCGCAAAACGCGACTGCCCAACTGTCACGAGCTGTTGGTGTGCTCCACAAATCTCCCCACAGCTCATGCAAGGGGTCTATATTTTCTCTGCTCTCATTGCACAGCTGGCCGTACCTGACTGCCAAGACATGGCACAAGGGAACGTCCTAGCAAAGGGGCTCAACGAAACGTCACTCCACCTTGGCGGAGAGTCAACGCGCCCCAATTTCTCTTCCCAATGCACGGACTGGAGGCAAAAGAAAGTGAGAGGCTGAAGATAATTTGACCACGAGCGCTTTTGAGGCTTCGGGCATTGCTCCTGTCTATGGAGTACTACGACGTATGTATGCATTTTACTGGTACTTTTGCAAGTTGATCGGTATGTGCACCTTGGTAGTGCCGATTGGCAGAGCAACACTTATTACAACGCCCCGGTCTTGGGAATGTATCTTACCTATGAGTACGGGGTACTCGTACGAACACGCGTTGTGCACCAACATATGGTTTGGCCAGATGCCCTCGGCTTCAGGTATTCCAAACTGCCACCACGGAACATCACAGAGGACGACACGTCGCTTATCCCATCATTTTGTTACGAAGCGAGACAAATCGCCTACTTGTGATTCATATTCAAGACAACATGCAAGCACCCGTCTCTGTCTCATTGTTTCGTGTGGGGAAGCCAAAGGCAATTGCACCTTGCAACGAAGGCCTTGTTTACGACGCACGCCACTCGTACGGAGTAAAGTATAATTTATCGCACACGAAAGGGCCTGTCGGCATGACGACACGCGCAAGAATAAAGATACGATGGCAAATTTACGTCTCCGTCTATTACGTGCTTCAGGTGGTCTGCGCTTGACAGTGTCAATATTAGCGATGCAGACCACAGTTTCCTTGCAATACGTGCACAAAACAGCATTTGATGATAATGCAAGCTCTCAAACAGGCATAGCACCATCTGTCCTCCCAGGAGTCGACACGTGCCGAGTAAACACGGTCGCAGGTAGCAAAGCTTCGACATGCAGTCCCACCAGGGAAACGTTAACACAAGATACTTGTATCTTGCATACTTCGTACGAAGTGTGTAGGTGTCTTATCTATGTTAGCCGATTGTGCTACTTACGTCGCAGTAGCCACTCTTCCATGCCATCATGCCTGCTGTCAGTCGCGTGGTGTCTCGTGCAAGCTTTCCGTGACCTGTCAGGGCACAAGCAGCAGTTGTCTGTCTCCACCGCTGTACCTGCACTAATTCTTGCTTCGGCTATTCCAGCACGCACCGGACAACACCGCGGCGCACACCTTCTGTCTCCTCACGCAGCTCGGTCACCAGCGCTCCTGCGTCACGCATCCGGCGAACAAAGTCGTCCAGCGAGCCGCCAACGCCGAAATACAGTTTCTTAGCTGCGACGACCGCGGCTGCATTGGCGGTGGTGCCGCGCTCACGACGCAAAAACGCCAGCAAGGTATCGCTGAAGGACGCGAGAGCAAACGGCGAGTAAATGGTCTCGGCACCAAGCATCAAAGTGTTCGTGCCGTCAGAGCCAAATACCTCCTCGTTCGTGTACAACAAGCGGACAAACTCGGACGACCAGCCACCAGACATGAACGTAAACCCGATTCTCGTCTTTTGGAGAAACACGCAAAAGGCGGTCTTGACATCGGTGGTAAGGTGGAGCTCTTCCTGCTCGAAGTCGAAAGCCTCTTTAAGGGCTGGGTCCTCGCGCCGTTGCTGCAGGGCCCAGACAAGAATAAGATTGGGCAGCGTGACGAGGTTGAGCACGCTGGGGTTGTAATCGGCCACGGTGAAGGTGAGCGGGTAGAGGCTGTGACGCTCAACGGTACGACCTGCCCGAGTGGCGCAGGCCCACTGGAACAGGGCCAATGATGGAAGAGCTGTTCCACATCCAAGCTACCAGCAGACCGCAGGTGTCAACTTCTCGTACGATGCAGTAGCTCGCAGGCACGAAGCAAAAAAAAAGAAAAGAAAGAAAGAAAAAAGGCAGGGGTCAAGGGGAAGAGCACGCAGGTTCTCACCTCGATCACACGAGAGTGTCCTGGTCGGCAGAGCATGCTGGCCGCCACTGTGGAAGGGCGTGAGAACGAGGGTGATTCTCGATCGGGATTGAGCAGGGTTTTGACCAAATCGACGCTGCTCTCCCAGCTCTTGAAGCCGCCCTCGTAGATGCCCGTTTTGACGTCATGGCTGCCGAGTCCGGGAGCGATCTCGCCATTGTCATCGGCCCCCTGGGTCGTGCTCTCGTCTTCCTCGGCCATCACCTGCATGCGGACGTCCCACAGCTCACGCCGCGGCAGTTGGATCAGTGTGGATTGGCTACCGCCGGTGTTGCCGCCATCGGGGCCACCAAAATCTGCCTCGAGCTTTACGGTGATGAGGCCGTATGCAATCTTGGAAGGCAGGTCCCTCAACATGTGCATCATGTAGTGCCGAAGCGGTGGAAGCTGGGGCTTACCCTGCACGGGGAAAGCACTGGCAGCAGCGGAGGGTGATGTTGTTGCTCCTAGTGAGACAGCAGTAGTCGCTGCTGCCGATGCTGCTGCTGCCGAGACTGGGGCCGATCCATTTTGATCGGCATCCTCGATGTCGTCGCCTGAAAAGGAAAAGGAAAAAGACATTGCTGGGTCGAGAGAAGCTATCCGCACTGGTGCGTCTGTTGCGGCTGGGGCGTTTGGCCTGTTCTGTTTTCTGCAACGGAGAAATGCTGCTGCCCACCGCCGATCGGTGCCCAAATCGCAACGGCGTCCTGCAGAAGCAGATGTACCGGGAGGACAGGAAGACAGGAAGACAGGAAGAAGGGATGCAGCCAGCAGCTCGCACAATCTGCCTGCTGCAAACCGAGCGCTCCTGTCACCGGACGGGGTCTCGCGCTTGCTGTTCTTGTCTCGCGCAAGTTATTACGTGTCTTGCTAGGAGCCTGTTGTCGCTGCCAGGCTTTTCTTCTTGTCCTCGCTCCTTCCGTCTTCAAGCTTCTCAGTCGTTCAATATTTTGTAATCACTTTTTCGCCTTTTCCTCACCCCACCACCAGCTCCCGCCGCTAGCATCTTCAAGCATGTTCTAATCTTCTAATATCGATCGCTCGGCTTATAGCGGCCTATTTACACCGCCTTGGACGCCCCAGAAGTGAGTCGGTGTGAGTGACTGGTTGGGCTCTCTTGCGTGCATATTAGTACGCATTAGTGCATATTCTCGCGTCTTCTTTCCTGCTCGTCTTCCCTGTCATCACCTTCCGATTCTGCCTGCCGGCCTGCCCAACAAGGGGCCCTAAGCACTTGACTCTTCTCTTTGTCTCTCTGTCTCAGCCTGCCTACTGCTTTGTCGATATCAGGTCAAACAGCCGTCGGCCCCGTGGTTCCCGGAGACTAACCTCACTGACTCTGATGCCATGCTTGCCCATTGGTTCCCTTCCGCGGCCCCTCTCCTCCCTTCAGCAACGAACACACTAGCTCGTTTCCGTTGTAACAAAGGAGACTGTCGATCGGTCGTCGGCCGCCATGCAGGCTCTAGCTTGGCGTCACAGCTGCTCATCCGCGTGTCAGTAGACATGCTTCCTAGCTGCTCCTTCACTCCTTCATATGTGACTTTCCATCGCCAGCTTCACACTATCTCTCTCACCTCATGCATGCTCTCTCTCCGAGTTCTCTGGACATCCACCGCCTCGCCGCTTCGGGGTCCACTTGGCTGCTCCGTACGGCACTAGGATATCCCCCCTCCCTTGTCCGTCATCTACATCGACAGCCTGCAGCTGCATATCCGCCTGCATATCTGCACGCCTGCATCTTTCAGCTCCCGGCTAGCTCAGCACAGGCCAACTCAGCACCGGTTAGCCGCTCTTTTCTGTTGGCCGGATGACACTTGAAACGGCAACGATCGGGCTCTGGACGCTGCTAGCTTTTTTTCTGTTTTTCTCACCATCTCCGCACCGCTGTACTATGCATCCTGTCTCTCTCCCTGGCCTCGTGCTTGTCGCCGTTCTGCTCCTACACAATGTGTTGTGGTGGCGTCGTGTCTCCACTCCCTCCTATGCCCGGTCTGCCAGGCTGCATGAGGAAGACACCGTTGTCTTGGCCCTCCGGAGACAAGTGTGCGTTTCTTCAACAGGCCGCGTCTGTTGTTGGGACAGACGCATCGCTACTGGACGTAGCCATCGTTTTCCTAGCCTCAATGCTACCCTAGGCCTTCATGGCGAACGGCCTCAAGTGCTTCTAGCTGTCTCTCAGGTCTTGGTCCTCTCCTGCCTTCTGGTCATTGGCCCATTCAAACCCATCGATGTTGCATACTGGGTGTGCAGAACCACAATAACCCATTTGCCAGAGGCTATCTATCTGTCGTTGGTTCTCCCACTTGCACGTATAAATAGACTCGTCAGTTCCGTGTGCTTTTCACAGTTCGAGTGCACAGGCAACGCAGAGAATACACTTCCGTCTCGTTCTGCCCATCTCTTCCTCCTATCTTAAAACCAGCTGAGTCTCTGCGATGTCGATCCAAAAGCCCACCGATCTTGAGCGAGATCGTCGCCCTCGGAAGGCCCCGCCTCGTACAGGTGGCGTCCAAAGTGTAAGCAGCACAGCTGGCAGCACCATCGGCATGTCCACTTATGCTGTTCGAGAAGCACCACTGGGGTCTGCTAGGCGCATTCGTGTCGTTGGCATTGGTGCTGGCCCTAGTGGCATCAACATGACTCGCAGACTGCGACTGCAGCTGGACAACTATGAGCATGTCATCTATGAGAAGAACTCTGATGTGGGTGGAAGCTGGTACGAGTCAAGATATCCGGGCTGTCGTTGTGACATCCCAAGCCACAACTACCAGTTTTCCTGGCGACCCAAGAAGGACTGGGCCAGCTTTTTTGCCGCGGCTGAAGACATTGGCGCCTATCTGGGCCGCGTCTGCGACGAAGAACACATGCGGGACATTATCAAGACTGAGCACCGGGTGGCAGCCGCCACTTGGGACGAGACCCGAGGCGTGTGGCTCCTCACCATCGAGAACATACGTACCGGCAAACAATTTGACGATTATGCCCACTTTCTCATCGATACATCGGGTATCTTGAAGTGTGTATCCCTGTCGTTCTTTGCCGTTTTGGGGGACACTCGCTAACGCAAGTAGCAAATGGAAATGGCCCGACATCGAAGGGCTCAACAGCTTCCGAGGAGATCTTATCCACAGTGCTCGATGGCCGGCTGAGTTCGAATACAAGGACAAGGTCGTGGCCGTCATAGGAAACGGCTCGTCGGGCATCCAGATCGTGCCCGCCATACAGCCTGCCGTCAAACAGCTGGTCCACATTGTGCGCACGCCTGCGTGGATTGTCCCTCCACATGTCCAGGTTTTCTCCATGGGCGAGGCTGGCCAAGTGCTCCGGGACATCGGCCTGGATGAAGAAGAGAACTTTGCGCCGAGTCAGATCGAGCGCTTCAAGAACGACCCGGCCTTCTATCGAAAGTTTGTCAAGGGCATCGAAAAGGAGGTGAATAACACATTTCCCATCGTAAGTGGCCGATCACCCCTCATAGCCGTCTTGTCTGCCCATGCATCATCATGCTTACCGGCACTAGATTCTGAAAGACGGCCCGACACAGGCTTATGCACAGCAACAAGTGCGAGCATACATGACAGCCATGCTGGGCGGCGACGAGAAGCTCTGCGAGGCTCTAATACCAGACTATCCCCTTGGCTGCAAGCGGTTGACTCCTGCCCCAGCATACCTGCAGAGTCTCACTCAGCCGAATGTCAAGGTCGTCACTGAGGGTGTGCGACGCATTGTGCCAGACGGAATCGAGCTGCTTTCTGGGGAGGTACTGAAATTGGATGCCATTGTCTGTGCCACTGGCTACGACGTTTCTTTCTGCCCACGATTTCCTCTGCATGGTCGCAATGGCAACCTGCAGGCCCTGTGGCGCGAGAACATCCCTCAAGCCTACATGTCCTGCTCCATACCAGGGGTGCCCAACTATTTCAGTGAGCTCCTCCCAAGAGATGCCATCCACGCCATGTTTCTGACAAGCCCACTTGCAGCATTCCTCGGCCCCAATGCCCCCATCGGCCACGGCAGCACCTTCACGCTCGGCGAACATATTGCCAAGTACGTCGCCCGTGTGATTCACAAGTGCCAGACCGAGGGTATCAAAGCAATTTCTCCGTCGCAGTCTGCCGTAGACGACTACAACGAACACATACGCGCCTTCATGCCGCGAACATCGTGGTCCTCTTCGTGTCGATCTTGGTACAAACGAGGTCACGATGAGCCTGACGGGTTGGTCACTGCGCTGCATCCAGGCAGCCGCATACACTTCTTCCACATGCTTGAAGACTTCCGCGGCGAGGATTTTGACTATGTGTATGTCACGGATGCGGAAGAAGATGGGAAGCCTAGTCGTAGCAACCGTTTCCGCTATCTCGGAAATGGCTTTTCGACCAAGGAGCTCGACCCGACATTCGATACCACTTGGTATCTCGACAATCCCGCGTTGTCAGGTGTTGAGCCCCCGCCCAGAGCGGCGCCAGGCAGGGCGCTGATACTGTCAAAACTATGAGGGCGTATTTGGGGGCTGATGTGCAGGCTTATGTATGATTAAAAGATACGAGATTCAACACCGATTCCATTGATGAGGAAGCACGTGATAGTAGTGCATATTCACGTGACATGAGCCACACATTTACCAGCCACCTTTTGAGCTGAGAGCTGTAAAGAAACGCGACAACTGGGAAAAAAAGAGCCCTTCTAGCCCGCGTTTGAAGGCTTTCGCGATTTACGGGCCAAGCAGCATCGACACGAAGGGTGCATTTCCACGCACCGATCGCGCGAACTCGCAGACCTTCTCGCCCGCCATTTCTGCATTTGTTTCGATTCATTTCACAAAACGATCGAGCTGACGCGATGGCTTCGGATCCGAGCTATAACGTCCATCCGGACCTGGTAAGTTGGCCGTTCAGGGGGGGCCACAGTTAGCTGAACACACATCGACGGCTGTTGCTGACATCGTGCGGTAAGCTCCCACACATCCATCTGATCAGCGCGTATCGATACCCGCTGGTGCCACGATTTGGCATTCCCGAAGTGACGGAATGGCTGCTCAATGCGCCCCGGATTGCCCGCGACGGGGCGCCATTTTTTTGGACCTATCTGGACATACCTCAGGATGGGACTATCATCCTGACGTGGCAGCCGTTGCAGCGACTAGGAATGGAGTTTGCATCGGACGGCTATGTCTGGCCGCGCGGCGAGACCTACTACCAGCATGAGATTCGGGATGGCCTAGTACGTGAAGAGAAAGAGAGAGACAGAGAAGACCGGGTGGACAACAAGCTAATCGTGCAGATTCTCGAGGTGTTTCACCAGCCGGTAGGGTATCGTCCCGGCGAGGAATACGCAACACACTCGCGACGACGGTTCCGCCTGATGCCACCCAAAGTGCCGAATCCCAACACTCCTCAAGTCGACCCAAGCTTGTGGCTGGTGCATTACGGCCCCATCGACGAGCGCGAGCCAATCCCGGTCAAGAAGATCCGGCTGGAGCCGAGGATACGCACGGCGATGGAGACACGCAACAACCTGCAAAGGGCGGGGCAGATCACACGCAAGGAGTTTATGCTCTCGGACCGGGTCAACTGGCCGCACATTCCGCTGCCTCGCGATGCTCGCGGACCACCGATGTACCCCGGCGTACCTGTCAGCGGCCACCACATTCCGCAGCAGATGGCATACCCCCCACACGCGCCGGGCAACATGGCAGTGCCGCCACCGTCAAAGCGGGCGCGCCATGTGGCTTCGGGGCCGGGACCCGGGGTTGTGCATCCTGGGGTCGGGCTGATGGGCGGACAACCGGGCATGGGCGGAGCCCATCCGATGATGCAGCAGATGGATGTGGCGATCTATGACGACGAGGAGGACACGTCGCGTGGCGACATGTTTGATAATATTACACCGCGCGACGTGAGCCTCGAGCGGTACAAGCAGAACCACGAGTGGATGGAGGAGGTGATCTCATCGCCGTACCGCATCAACCAGATTGGGTATGCTGACCTGGGTCTGGGTCTCAAGGGCGAGCTAGCCCCGGTGACGGAGGGCATCTTTGAGGGTCAGGGCTTTGAGGCGTCCCAGCGTGTGCCCAAGAAGCCGTACGTCGGACGTCTGGACCCGGGCCTGGCAGATGAGTTCCGCAAGCGGGTGACGGAACAAATGGCGGCGGCGCAGGCAGAGATCGCCGAGATGAAGGCGCAGCACGAGAAAACCGTGGCCGACTTCCGGTTGAACTCGGTGGTCAAGGCGGCCGAGCACGATCTGCGCTTCTCGCTGGTGGCGAAGGATCCGAACGGACCGGAGGCCAGCTGGGGACTGGAAAGGCGGCTGGACGAGTCGGACGACGGGGACGAGGTCGGCGGCGACGGCGGCGGCGACAGCGGGCGCTGGGCACACCAGAAGCACCGCAAGACAGTGGACGAGATCATGGCCCATGTGGAAACGTCTTTGGGCCATCGGATTGTGCGGACGGGCGCGGTGGTGCGAATCCAGGACGGCGGCTATCAGGAGCCGGAGCCAGAACCGGAACCGGAGCCAGAGCCGACGGCAGAGTCAGAGACGTTGCTGGAAGTGCCGGCAGCTTCGGCGATGGTCGGTGGTGGCGCTGCAGCCGGAGCATCGCCCGCGGGCTCGCAGATTAGCGGCATCATGATTGGCGATGGCGACATGGACATGGGCGACACGGCGGCCGGGCTGCTAGACCAGATGGAGTCAGCCTTCTCGGCGGCCTCAACACCCAGCAACAACTTCTCGACGCCGCACGGTCAGCTCCCGACGACGGGCCTGTCGAACGTGGCCACGCCAGGCAACGGGGCAGCCGGAGGGCCCTCAAGTGGAGGCGCGATAATGAGCGATGTGACCATGCAGAATGCAAGTCATGCAGCAGCAGTAGCAGCAGCAACAGCAGCAGCAGCGGGACCTACAACGGCGGGCAACGAAGATTGGGTGGTTGTTCCGTCCGGAGGCGATATCTCACCGGCTGGCGATGGTGCAGGCACGGCGACAGGAGCAGCCGTTGGTGCAGGGCCTGCAGCAGGAGCAGGAGCAGGAGCAGCAGCAACTATCGTAGAAGGGATACCAGCAGCAGCAGCAGCAGCAACGCCAGCAGGAAGCGGCATCAGGCCCGAGTCGGAGGTAGTGACTCCAGGCGGACTGCTGGAGGGCAGCGACAACAACACGAACAACGACTTTGGGTCGCTGGAGGATCTGGACACCGCAGGAGAGGCGCTGGCCGGACTGGAGGACGCGGCAGATCTCGGAGAGGGCCTGGACCTGGACATGGAGGACTCTGCGTTTGGAAATGCCTTTGCCGGAGAGGACTAAGGGCGGAAACAGGCGTGGGAGACGCTTTGACATGATATATCGAGAGCAAAGGCGTGTGATTTTGGCGCCGGAGAGCACTTTGGGACAGGAGTGGGATCTGGTTCTTGTACTGTAGTGTGATTATTTTAATTGCCGTCTCGTTTCTGCCTGTGCCAAAGAGCCACCTCTCTAGAGAACGGCTTCTTTCGGCCCTTACGGAGTACTCTTTCCTCTTCTCGTTCTTTGATTCCCTCTTCGGCAGTGGGTTATATCACCGCTTTGCTTTTGCTTGTATCGTACGGCGATCTCGACTTCCAGGGCTGTATTTACGATTTACAATACGGCGCATCGATGAGTAAGCCTGTGTGATCACTAACACGCCAACATCAGAGCCTCGTCAGGCAAAATAACATTTAGTTCATCGACAACATGGCTTGAGTCTTTAACTTGTTTTCGTAAGGGCAATTTATCATGCCCTCGTTTCAAGAAGTAAAAGAGTGGTTGAAATTCGGGTCAGTGACTGTCAAAGTCGGTATAACTAGACGGCTTAGCTGCATGTCATCGGTAGCTACTCCAATCCGTCTCTGCATGCGCCCCCGCCTTGTGAAATCATTACTCGTGTCCGAGAGGGTATACGTCCGAACTTTCGGTCCGACAATGTCGAGCCTGAGTTCCCAGAGAGCCTAAACGCCAGTGAAATGCACAGAGCCTGCCGAAGAGGTCGGGCGAACTGCGGCACAAAACAACCGTCTTGTCTTCATGCCGTCGATGCTTAGTCAGCCTGTCTTCTTGGCGTGCTTCTCTTCGTGCGCGGAGACGTCTTCTTTGATTCTTCGCCTGCATCGGCCTGTTTCTCCGACAGATTGTCCAGCGGTCTGATGCGTTTGAAGTGTTAGTTTCCCGTTTCTGGTGGCTTGCAAAGGCAGCTAGAGGAGAGAGGAACGTACTGGTAGGCCGCATGGGAGACGGTAGCAAAGCTGGCATGCTTCTCTGAGACCTGCGATGGCAGCTCGGACAGTGTCGACGGCGACCGACGGCCCTCCATCAGCCACATGGACAGGCACGGCATCAGGGCGACAGAGGCGACGAAGAGGCCACCCAGCGCGACGTGGATGTTGTAGAGGCTGCTGCTGCTGTAGCTGCTGTTGCTGCTGGGAACGTGTGAATGTCCGCAGTGGGCGCCGTGTCGCATGTGAGCGGGCAGGACCAGCGAGGCCAGCAGGCTGCCGAGCACGACATAGACGAGCGACATGAGGCCGATGGCGAGACGGTAGCTGGCCACACGCGGGATCCGGTAATAGCCGTTGACGAGGCGGGCACACAAAGCCGGAATAGCGACGGCCGGCAGAACCAGCGCCACAATGGTCAGCGTCCGCTCGGCGCTGGCGGCGGAGACTGACGGTGAGCACGCAGCGATGGCCTTGGCCAGCGCGTCTGGCAGGTGCACCGAAAGCGGCAACAGCCCGCTGGTGGCCCAGCCGAACAGCACGACCACGACGGCCGTCAGGGCCACGTAGATAAAAGCCAGGCGGATGACAAAGACGGCCAGAGCGATATCCCAGAGGATCTCAATGACTGACTCGGTCGACTCGAACACGACCGGGTTTGGCATGGCAATGGAGTTCATCATGCTTGGAGTGGTGGGATGTGTGACTGTGTAAGTGTATGTGTTGCTGTTGAGAGTGTTGAAGCTGAATGTTTGGATGCTTGAATGTAGTGCGTGTTGATGGCAAAAGACCGCCTTCTTATCCGGGGAAGTGACCTCCCGGCGACCACCTGTTAATCTGGCCATGCTCCCATTGTGCAGCGTAGATCATTCAGTCAGCGTCCATGGCGGTCCGTTGGCTTCTGCCCGCTTCCGGGTCTTGCGGACGATCCGGTCACAAGAGCATCGAGATGCAACGGCAGGACAAAACAACAGTGGGGCTGTAGGCCGTAGGGTGTTGGTAGTGGTGTGACGATGGAGCCACGCTATGAGTACAGGCTGTCGGGCAGGTGACTGCCAGCGAAACCAACCTAAGCTAGTCAGATATTTAGCCCTCCCAAAGTACAGAAACTACAGGCACGGTATGGTGATGTAGACGTGCTTTGGAACATCCCACCAGCCCAATCCACGGGCTTCTGCCTCGTTCCCTCGGATGCGGCCCGACAAGCTGCCGGTGCACAAGTGCACGAGTACGGGTACTCATGGATACATTCATTTGTTTGTGAGGCTGGGTATCGTCGACAAGGCCAACGGAAGGGAAATAGATGGTAGAAACAGGCGGAAAGGGATGAAACTGCGAGAAAATGAAATCTGGGATGGCTCCCCATGCGTCTTTCTCTCCTGGCGCTCTATGTCTCTAGATGGCCGTCTTCTCCAACGCCTTGGCCAGGTCGTCGACCTCCTTGTCCTTTTCCTGGATGACCGGTTCTTCCTGTGCCTCCTCGGCCTCCTTGATGAGCTTCTCCGCGCGCTCTTCCGTGGTGATTTCGTCCTCGTTTTCGTCGTCCGACTCTTCCCCCTCCTCGTCTTCCTCGTCCGAGTCGTCTTCGAGGTCGCTCAGGCTGTCAAGGCCCCAAGCATCCTCGTCGACGACGTCGCCGGCCAGCGCCTCCTTGCGCGCCTCGAACAGCTCCTGCAGCACCACGACAGCCTCGTCGTCCTCGGAGAACTTGTTGCCGTTGACCTCGAGCTTTTGCAGCAGCGGCAGCGCCGTGTCGACGGCCCGGGCCAGCGCCTTGAGCCCTGGCGCTGTGATGTCGTTGTACTGCAGTCGCAGCACCTGCAGCTTCTTGTTCTGGCCCTGGGCCAGCGCCTCGGCCAAGAGCACGCCGCCCTTTGCGCTCAGCAGCGAGTCACCCACGCCCAGCTCCTCGATGGCCGTCCAGCGCGGCACCACACCGGCCAGCGCCCGCGCGCCCGCCAGCGTGAACGTGTTGTCCTGCAGGTCTAGCACGCGCAGCCCGGTCGCGTCCTGCAGGCCCTCGCTCAGCAGGTGGCTGATGCCCTCCTGCCGGATCCCGTTCTGCACCATCTTGATCTCCTTGACGTGGTTGTGCAGCCGGAAGGTCCGTGCCCACGCCGTCATGCTGCCGTTCTCCAGCCGGTTGCGCCCGCAGATCACCGTCTCGAGATCCGGCACCTCCGTCGCCGTGCCCGCTTTCCGCGCCGCCTCCTTCTTTGCGTGCAGCTCGCTCAGCGCGTCCGCCACCAGGATGCCCGCGTGTGGTCCCAGCCCGTTGTTGTTCAGGTACAGGTGCTGCAGCGGCACGTGGGCTGCCAGAAACGCCACCAGCGGCGCCTGTGTGTTGAGTCCGAACGCGTTGTCGTTCAGGTTGATCGTCGTCAGCTTCGGCAGGTTCAGGATCGACGTCAGCAGCGACGACAGCGCGTCTGGAATCTCGCTCAACAGCCGCCCCGTGAACATGTCCGCCAGATTGGCCGACCGCAGCAGCTTCTTCGTCGACAGCACCTCACCCAGCAGCTGGCACGCGCCCACGCCAAACGTGTTGCCCAGCAGCCGCACTTCCTCTACGTCGTCCATTTCCCGCAGCGCCGCAATGTGTGGCTCCAGGTCGGCTGCCGTGTCGAGCTTCAGCCCCTTCCCCTCGAGTGAAAACACCTTTGTCGAGGCCATCGTGACGGTTTGTGAGGACCAAAAATGAGAAACAAGATGGCAACGCGGTCTTCCTTCCGATTCTGGCAATGGAAGGCGTAAATCTACCGTCCGAAAGTCGTGAAGATGGTGTGTACGGATATGTTTGATTTAAAAATTCAGTCGTCTTGTGGTTGCTAGGAAGCTTTGCTAGGCGTCAAAGACAAGTCGATGTGGGGGGAGGGGCACCAAACCCGTTCGGGCCTAACAACAGGTTCAATAATGGCTACAGCTGGCATCGGCTGGCGACGTGTCTGGGACGCTATTGTGCTGTTGCGCAACTGCCAAGGCACGGTTGTCTACTGTGCACAAGCGGCCATCGTGACGGTTGCAATGGCTACACACCAACAGAGCAGTGCCGCCATGACTCCACAACTGGTCTCGGCAGTGTCTTGTGACTCGAGAAGGCAGGCGATTTGGAGACATAAGTATTTACTCCGTACTATGTACGGAGTAGTATCTTATATTATTACCTGTTTATGAGTTGACCTTATCTTAGCGCTGCAACCCGTCTATTAAGTCTAGGCGCCAAAAATGGACCTAGGCCGCCAAACCCAGCATCCGACACCTGCGACACGCATTTAACGTGCTTTGGGGACCTTGCACCTGCCTGTGCATCGTCGCGCGGGTCTTTTCTGGCTTTATTTTCTCCCTCCGTCTCGCTCGCCCCCTTTTCGTATCTCGTCTCTATCTGCCCCTGGGAACCCTACATTGTCAATTCTGGAGCGGCAGCAATCGGCATCGAGCCTTCCCCCAGTCGCGGTTCCTGAACGTGCGCCTTCCGCATTTTTTTCACCTTCCCGTTTCCTCCCTCACGCCTTCCTTAATCAGCCCCAATGACGAAACGCCACTCGCCGCGGGAGCCTTCTTTCACGCCCGTGTCCACAAACGCCGACTCTGACGACGATGGTATCATAGAAGAAGACCTGCACAAGCCATCGAAGCGATTGAAAGCGGCGCACGGCTCGGCAGCCGACTCAACATCGATTCCTGTCATTCACGAACCCGAGGACGAGGCAGAAGACGAAGCAGACCACGCCAACGAGACGGACAGCAAACGAGACGCCAAGCAAGACAAGCTGGCCATCAAAACTGAAGCCGGACTTGAAGCGGAGGCCGACATTGACGTCGACGCCACCCAGCTCAACGACGCGAACACACAGCTGGTCGAGACCATGTCGAACATCTCGGAAGACACAGAAGGCGAGGCGCCCCATGTCCGAGGCACGGGCTCTCTGCCGGGCGACGACGACGGCTTCGGACAGGTCACCGTCTGCGCCTGGGACGGCTGCAAGACCGGAGACCTGAGCACTATGGACAAGCTGGTCGAGCACTTGCACGCCGAGCACGTCGAGGGCAAGCAGCGGCGGTACACGTGCGAGTGGATTGGGTGTCCGCGGAAGGGCAAGGGGCACGCGAGCGCCTACGCACTCAAGGCCCATCTGCGCAGCCACACGCGAGAGAAGCCGTACGTGTGCTACCTGCCAGAGTGCGCCCTAGCATTTGCGCGCGCCGATGCGCTCAACAAGCACGTCCGCAGTGCTCACGACATTGACCTGATGCGGTCGATCGACCCGCCTCGCGCCGTGCATGCGGGTGGCATCAGCGGCAAGAACAGCATCGGTTACGGGGCATCTCTGATGAACGGAAATGGCAGCGCTGCCAACAGCACCAACACCGGAAGCGGCGGGCACAAGAGCGCTTCGTCCAAGCTCAAGATCATCATCAAGACGCCACAGTCACACGCCGCCGGCCAGGACGACTCGGTGGACTACGGCCCGGCCCAGCACCGCAGCTTCACGTTTGTCAACGAGCCTGGCCCCGACGAGACGACGCTGACGTGCGAGCAAGGCTTCACGGCGCGCGAGCTGGAGTTGCCGCTGGAAAAGCTATACGCGCTGTGCCGCTGCCAGCTGCGGTGGGCCGAGACGGAGAACGAGGAGCTGCGCAAGGAGTGTGCGACATGGGAGGATGAGTACCACCAAGCATGGCTGGAGTGCCAGGTGCTGCTGGACCAGGTGCTCCAGAGCGAGAAGGACTGGCACAAACGACGGCAGGCGGTACTGGCCAGCCTGGCCGTTGAGGAGCGGCGGACGGCAGCAGCGGCAGCAGCAGTGGCAGCAGCGCAAGGAGGCGTGCCCGGAATCAAGGACGAGGACGAGGATTCGGTGGGCGACGAGGACAACGACAACGGCGACGGCGACGGGGATGGCGACGGGGATGGCGACGGCGACAGTGACGATAACGGCATGGATGCCGACGTGACGATGGACGGCTATTCCTTTGCTGACGTCTCATCCTTCTCGGTTGTCGGATCGCAGCTGCGACATCAGGTATCCTAGGCCAGGAAGGAAGGGAAGAGCAGGGACTGCCTACTGTGTGTCTAATCTAATGGGCGTGTATCATTAAGTCTTGCGTATACAAGATTCCGGGGTTATTGATTTGGAGACAACGGCAAACTATGGGTAGTTTGCTTTAGCAGCAGGGTCATGAAGCAACCAATGGACTGTTTCTCTTCGTTTCCTTCCTTTTTTGTTTCCTTCAGTTGTCGGGGATATATTGGATTGTCCAGGGCTGAGACAGCTTCCTAGGCCTTTCTCTTGTCGGCAATGGCGTTTGTAAAGGGAAAGCCGCTGGTGCGCTTGTCGGCGCCAGTGCGGCGGCTGATGTGGCCGGCATTGCTGCCGGCGAAGAGGAGGCACCAAAGGCCCATAGCGGCCAGCAAGCCGCTGCCGGCACAGCCAACGCCGTAGGCGCCGACAGAGGCGTAGACGCGGGAGTAGTAGCAGCCGTAGCTATAGAAGGCTGCGGCAGAGTGGTAGATGGTAGACACGAAGACGGCGGCAGAGGCATAGGGCGATGAGGAGGAGGTGCTGCTGTCGGCGACAGAGCCGAGGGGGAGGATGCCTGACAGGACAATGACGAGAAGGGCAAAGGACAGTTGGGCGAGGCCGAGGGCGCGGGCAAAGTAGATGGCGACGTCTGGAGAGGTTAGGTGAGAAGGGTAGGAAGAGAGAAGGGAAGAAAGCCCACCATCTACATGCAAGTCGGTCGCTAACAAGGAGACGACAAAAGACGGAGCGGCCAAGAGGGAAAGGCCTTGAAGGCCGATCCATGACAAGGTGGCGATATGGTAGATGGCTATGTCCTGGTGGATGTCAATGGGAGATGTAGATTTGAAGACAGGAGGACCGGGAGCAGACTTACATCCATTGTGAGATGCTGTAGAAGTGAGGTTCGAGAGGTGGTAGTTTTTGGAATGAGGTACAGAATACGGAGTATCACACGTAATATTACGTAGGTGGCAGTTGAAGAGCGGCCAGCCCCACTGTACGGAGTAGTTGGCAGCTCAGCCGCTTCCAGCTGGCAGTCGAGAGCTGGCGTAGTTAGTGCTGTAAATGCGCTATAGGACATACGGAGTACAGAGCTAGAAAATTCGAGCGAAGACAGTGATGCGACAACGACGACGATGCAGCCCGCCATAGCAACCTGCCGTGCACGACTGCGAGCAGGCATTCGACCGGTATTGCAGGGTGTTTCTTGGCAGCAGCAGCAGCAGCAGCGCTGGGCACACAATGTGGTCTCTGGTGAGCGGGCGCCATTGCGCATGGCCGTGATCGGTTCTGGCCCAGCGGGCTTCTACACAGCATACCGAGTGATGGGCAAGATGCGAGCGTGCGTGGACATGTACGAGGCGCTGCCGGTGCCGTACGGCCTGGTACGCTTTGGCGTAGCGCCAGACCATCCCGAGGTCAAGAACTGCCAGGACAAGTTTGCCGAGGTGGCGCAGTCGCCAGGCTTTCGTTTTGTCGGCAACGTGGCCGTGGGCGGAGACGGGACTCGGGTCCACGGCGGTCTCGACGTGCCGCTGGAGACGCTGACACGACACTACGACGCCATCGTGTTTGCGTACGGGGCCTCGCGCGACCGACAGCTCGGCGTGGCGGGCGAGCAGCTGCGCGGCGTCTATGCGGCCCGGGACTTTGTCGGCTGGTACAACGGCCAGCCGGGGACGACAGGAGACGGACAAGGGCGCGATGCCATGAACACCATGCGTGCCATGGCCGACGATTTGGCTGACGCCGAGACGGCCGTCGTGATCGGCCAGGGCAACGTGGCGCTCGACGTGGCCCGCATGCTGCTCGAGGACGTGGCCGTGCTGCGGCGCACCGACATCAGCGAGGCCGCTGTGGCCGCGCTGTCCGGCAGCCGCGTCCGACGAGTTCATCTGGTTGGCCGCCGTGGGCCCGTCCAGGCCGCCTTCACCATCAAGGAAGTGCGCGAGCTGACGCGACTGCGCGATGTGGCCATGCACCCTGTCGACGGCAGCCTGCTACCCCCCAGCCTGCCGGCCCTGCCGCGGGCCAAGCGCCGGCTGATGGAGGTGCTGGCGCGGGGCTCACCCACCACGACGATCGCTGCTGCTCGGTCGTGGTCGCTCGACTTTTGCCTCACGCCCATTGGCTTTTCGAGCGATTCGACAGGTCACGTGACCTCAGCCTCATTTGAGCGCACCCATCTGGCCGATCCCTTTGACCGCAACACGCAGGTCGTCCGGCCGACCGCCACCACCGACCCAGCACCATCGCTCGTTCCCATCCCGGCGTCGCTTGTCTTCCGTTCCATCGGCTACCGCTCGGAACCGCTCGCCGGGTTTGATGGTCTTGCCATCCCGTTCGACGACCGCCGCGGCCTCATCCTCAACGATGGCCGTGGTCGTGTCCTCCGTGAGGTTCGCACACCCGACGCCGCCCTCGCCACCGGTCCCCATCCTGGCCTCTACTGCGCCGGATGGGTCAAGCGCGGTCCTACGGGCGTCATCGCCTCCACCATGGAGGACGCTTTCGCCACGGCTGACGCCATCGTCCACGACTGGCAGGCCGGCATCCCGTTTCTTCGGCAGACGACGACGACGACGACGACGACGACGACGACGGAAGAAACGGCCGCCGGCTGGGACGGCGTCCGCGCAGAGGTCGACATGTCCACGGCCCGCGTCGTCTCCTGGCCTGACTGGCAGCGCATCGACAGGGCCGAGCTCCAAAGAGGTGCCATCCTCGGAAAACCCCGCAGCAAGTTCGACTCCACGGCAGACATGCTGGCCGTGCTCGAGTAGGCTGTTGGGATCTGTACTAGTACTTTTTTTGATTGTTATACACGTTTCTACCCTGTGTTGCCCCCTTGCTCAGGCGCTCTTCAGCTTCTCTGTCAGCTCCGGCACCTTTTCAAACAGGTCGCCCACCAGGCCGACGTCGGCCACCTGGAAGATGGGCGCCTCAGCATCCTTGTTGATGGCTGCGATCACCTTGCTGTCCTTCATGCCGGCCAGATGCTGGATGGCCCCCGAAATGCCCACGGCCAGGTACAGCTGTGGCGCCACCACTTTTCCGGTCTGGCCGACCTGCAGGCTGTTGTCGGCAAAGCCGCTGTCGACGGCTGCCCGCGACGCACCCACGGCTGCGCCCACAGCATCGGCCAGCGGCAGCATCAGTCCGTCAAAGTCCTCCTTGGACCGCAGGCCCCGGCCGCCCGAGACCACCCGGCCAGCCGTCGAGAGATCGGGCCGGTCTGACTTGGCCAGGTCCTCCGACAGCCACTCCGTCGCACTCTCCGCCTTGGGGTCCACGCCCGCCTCCACGGCCGCCGTGCTGCTGCTGCTAGCTTCGGCTGCCGGAAAGGCTGTGCCTCGGATCGTCAGCAACTTGATGGCGTCCGTCGACTCCACCGTCGCTATCGCGTTGCCTGCGTAGATTGGCCGCACAAACGTGCTCTCGCCCTCGATCTGGATCACGTCCGACACCGGTTGCACATCCAGCAACGCCGCCACCCGCGGCAAAAGGTTCTTGCCAAACGCCGTGTGGCCCCCTATCACATGTGTGTAGCCGCCCTTCTTGATGTTCTCCACGAGCAGTGGCGCGTAGTTTTCCGGAAGGCCCTGTGCCCGCGGTATTAGCGGTTGGGGACACTTTCCACCTGCTCCTCTTCCTCCCCCTCCTCCCCTTCTTCTCTCATCCTTTCTCCACTCACTCTTTCGTATGCCGCATTGTCCACGGCAATCACCTTCTCCACGCCGTCCACCTTGGCTGCTTGATCGGCCACCGACTTGATGTTGCCGCCGGCGACGAACGCGTGCACAGAACCGCCCAGCTTCTTCGCAGCCGTCACTGCGCTGAGCGAGCCGTCATTCAGCTTCCCGTCTCGCTGCTCGAGGATCGCCAGTGACGACAACAGCCTCGCAAGGCCTACTGACCGGAGCTGCTGTCGGCCGCTGCCCGCGACAGCCCTTCGGATGGTGGACAACATATCTGCAGAGGTGCGAGTGTGAGGGCGCCAATGGACGAGAAGATCGGAGTCGCGAGCTGCTAGTCTCTGCTGATGTCGGATGCGCCGTGCTGAAAAATAGACACAAAATTGGCAGAGCTATCGCCGACGACCGCGGCTCGAGGGGTTTGCGCGGCTGGACACGGCCCGAGGTAGCTGGGGCTGCAGCGCTTTCGGAGGCACGAGCCAAGGTTCCGCCATGCGGTCTGTGCTGCCTGAGGCCGCAAAGCCAGCTCAAAAGTGTATGCCTGAGGCCGAAACATCCTGGGCTGCGCGCGCCTCAAGCTCGTTTTTTTTGCTCCAAACGCGACCCAGCCTTCGGATCGATCAATCGGAGAAGTCCCACCCCCCTTCGAATACACAACTCGCGAGCTGCCCCAGCAACAGCCCCCCGTCCATCTCATAAAATACCGTACAGCGGGAGCCGCTTCGTCCTCCACGCCAACGACGCCGTTGTGCCGATCGCATTGCGACTTTTACTGATCCTGTTGGCACTTGTTGACCCTTGCTAATTTGTCCGCTGCGTCGCGACCCTTTTTCGCCTTGTGCCTGCAGCATTCAGAAAATCCACCTTCCATCGCTGGCTGCCTGGCCTCTGCGATAGATTTCTCGCTGTTCGTGTCTCCGCTCATCACCATGGAGGACGACTCGGTCAAGTTTGGCAGCCCCTCCAATGGCGCGACGCCCAACAGCAGCCACAATCTTGCACAAGACCCTGATGCATCAGGAGTTGCGGTCAACGGTACGAGAGGAGAGCCTATGAGACCGGCCGGGTGGAAGTCCAGCCAGTTTGCTGACCTATTCGCTATCAGACATCCAGATGGGCGAGGACGAAGCGTCCGATGCGGCTGCCGTACCAGAACCTGCTATCAAGGAAGACAGCAGCACGCCCGCCGTGACTGGCTTCTCCGACAACCCACTCGATGCGCCTTCCGCAGCGGTGGCGGACACCGCTGTCGGCGAGGATGAAGAGATGGGCGACGCGAGCAACATTGCGGACGATGTCGGCAGCAAGAACAAGAGCGAAGATGGCGGTGCCGGTGTTGACGACGATGGCGTCGATGCTGTGGGCGTGGATGTGAGCATCCTTGAAGGTACTGGCGAGGACGGCGAGGGTGCGGGTGCGGGTGCGGTCGGCAGCATCAACGGCTCCAAGACCAAGGAGTCGATCGAGAACGCAGCTCGTGAGCATCTCATTGCGCAGACTCACGCCATCATACTGCCTAGCTACAGCACCTGGTTTGACATGAACAAGATTCACAACATTGAGCGGAAAGCGCTGCCCGAGTTCTTCAACAACCGCAACCGGAGCAAGACGCCACACGTCTACAAGGACTACCGCGACTTTATGATCAACACGTACCGACTGAACCCCATCGAGTACCTGACGGTGACGGCGTGCCGGCGCAATCTCGCGGGCGACGTCTGTGCCATCATGCGGGTGCACGCCTTCCTCGAGCAGTGGGGACTCATCAACTACCAAGTGGACTACGAGCAGCGGCCATCGCACGTCGGCCCTCCCTTCACCGGCCATTTCAAGATCATTGCAGACACGCCGCGCGGCCTCCAGCCGTGGCAGCCGGCCGCCGACCCCGTCATCCTCAAAGGCAAGCGGCACCCAGACACCGATGCGCGAGCGGCTGCCGGGACGGTGCCCAAGTCGGAGCTCAGCCTGGAGGTCGGGCGCAACATCTACGAAGCCAACGCGCGGGGCGCCAAGGTCAACAAGACCGAGACCAAGACCAACGGCGAGGCTCACGGTGCTGCTGCTGCTAACGGCGTGCAGAGCGGCGGCACGCCGTCAGGCGACGAGCTGACCAAGAAACCGAGCGTCAAGGTCAACTGCCACCTGTGCGGCATCGACTGCACGCGCATCTACTACCACAATCCGCAGGCGGAGGACAACCCGCGGGCCCAGTACGACCTCTGCCCGAGCTGCTACCTGGAGGGGCGCATGGCCGGCAACCAGACGAGCGCACAGTATCTGCGGATGGAGAACCCGACGTACTCGTCCATCCTCGACCGGGACGCGCCATGGAGCGATGCCGAGCTGGTGCGGCTGCTGGAGGCCATTGAGCGCTTCGACGACGACTGGGGCCAGGTGGCCGACCACGTGGGCACGCGGACGCGCGAGGAGTGTGTTTTGCAGTTTCTGCAGCTGGATATCGAGTCCAAGTACCTCGACTCGGAGATCACCGAGTCGGGCCCGGTTGGCCTGTCGATCCTGGGCGGTGGTGGCGGGCGGCTGCCGTTCAACCAAGCCGACAATCCGGTGATGTCTGTAATTGGGTTCCTGGCCAGCCTGGCCGATCCGGCGAGCACGGCGGCGGCGGCCAGCAAGTCGCTGGACGAGCTGAAGAAGGGGCTGCAGCGGAAGCTGGAGTCGGGCGGCGGGAGCACGGACGAGGCGGATGACAAGGGCAAGGAGACAGCGACGACGACAGCGACGGCTTCCGCGACGACAGCTAGCAAGGAGGCCGGCACGGACGACGCAATGGACGTGGACGCGACACAGGCAGACAATGATGGCGAGAAGGACACGGCCGTGGCGATGAAGCGGTCGGCCAAGGCGGCGGCACAGCAGAGCACGCGGGATCTGGCGAGCGTGCCGTTGGCATCGATCGGAGCGCGGTCGGGCGGGCTGGCGTCGCATGAGGAGCGGGAGATGAGCCGACTGGTGTCGGCGGCAGTGAACGTGACGCTGCAGAAGATGGAGCTAAAGCTCAAGTACTTCAACGAGATGGAGGCGATGCTGCAGGCCGAGCGGAGAGAGCTGGAACGCGGACGGCAGCAGCTCTTCCTGGACCGGCTCTCGTTCAAGCGGCGCGTGCAGGAAGTGCAGGAGAATCTGAAGCTGGCCGCGGTGACGGGAGGCGACCACGGCCTGGTCGATGGGCCGCGTCTGACGCTGCAGCCAGCGACAGCTGCCGTGGGATCGGTGCAGCCGCTGAGCGCCAGTGGTGCCGTCCGAAGCGTCGAGCTGTGAGGCGTGCAGCTGGCTGGCTGGCCGTGGCTGCCCGGTGAAAACGATAGGAAGGTCTTGGCAGAAGAGAATCGGCGTTTTCCAAGGGTTGGTATTTATCTGGGCTTCCATTGTCTAGTCTGTCGTGATCTATGTCTGCTTGCTCGCTGCTCTTGCTTGCTTGCTTGCTTGCTTGCCTTTCTTTTTTTGCTTCTCACGTTTCATTTTCGCCCGGCAGTCTTCCGTCTTTACTCATCCTTCTTTTCTCACGTTCTTCATGGGGTGCCGGGTTTGTCAAGGACACGTGCGTGTGGGATGGGACAAAGTCTGGCAGAACAGCTTTGTATTAAATACATGTGATTCTAGTAGTTCAGGGTGCGAATAAGAATGAGTAATAATCTGTCGTCGTCCTTGCGCCGGCTGCTGGCCCCTTCGTCCGCAAACAGGTCGAATCATGTGAAAGACGTTTGACATGCATTAGGCTTGGAGGAAAACCGGGGCGGCAAAAGCTGGGGTGGCCACTTCCCGCAGCATGCCCCATGGCACGGAGATGCCTCGGCTCAATGGAAGGTAGCGGGAGGGGTTCATCCAGATGGTTTAGGCCATGTGGGCTTGCGGCTTAGGAGCTGCTGTTCGTTGGGAAGATCTCGGCTTTATGGCTAATAGGTGCTGACGCTCTCAGTCTCCTGCTCGTTCGGTGCTGTCAGCCGTGTTAGCCTGCGGTCTCGCTCGCTCCTGGCGAAAAAGGAAAAGTTCCACAATCCCGAGCGCGTCGCCGGAGAGGAAGGCACGATACTCTACTCCGTACTCCGTACTTCGTACTCCATACAGCGTACACAGTACATATAACAAGGCCGACCCGCTTCAGGGCCCCGTTCCCAGCATTCCCCACCAAACGCCCTGCATCCACTCTCAGGAGCCGAAAAGCACCTCGGCGATCGTTGGCACCAGCCTAAAACAGACAGGCCGTCGTCTTGTGTCGACAGAGACAGGGCGACAAGCTGTACGTCCTTTTCTTCCCAAACAAACAACATCACACACACACGCCAGACTCTCCTCCCAGCTCCTCTCCCAATCTGTCATACTGTCGGGGATGTTTGCGGCGGCTGCACGGGCTGGAGCGAAGTCTTCTGTTCTCAGGAGTGGCAGCAGCAGCACAAACAGCGCGTATCTATCGGCAAGAACACGATTGGTAGGTCATCCAACCCCTTCCTCTCCTCTTCCCATCCGCTCTCACCAACTCCCTTCTTCAGTCCAGTTTCACAATGGCACCACCAAAACGAAACAGCAGCTCCAAGCCGATCCCCAAGGGTAAGCCGCCACCTCTTCATACTTTGCAGTTGTGTCGCTTTCGATCTGACGGTCCTGTTTAGGATACGCCGAGGACAACTCAAAGGGTCCGATGCTGCGGTTCCAAGAATCGCTGCCGCGGCTGCCCGTGCCGACGCTCGAGGAGACGGCTGCTCGCTACGTCAAGTCGCTGCGGGCGCTCTACCCAACCGAAGACGTAGCTAAGAGCGAGGCTGCGGTGGCAGAGTTCATCCGACCAGGCGGCGTGGGCCAGCGATTGCAGGCCAAGCTGGTGGCTCAGCGCGACGACGCCAGCGTGAAGAATTGGCTGTCGGAGTGGTGGAACGACGCGGCCTATCTGGCATACCGCGATCCCGTGGTGCCGTACGTGTCGTATTTTTACTCACATCGCGATGATCGTCGCCGTCGCGATCCAGCCAAGCGGGCGGCAGCGGTCACGACGGCCGCGCTCGCGTTCAAGAAGCTCGTCGACTCGGGCACGCTCGAGCCTGAGTACATGAAGGGGCTGCCAGTCTGCATGGACAGCTACAAGTGGATGTTCAACTGTGACCGGATTCCAGCGCGGCCCAAGGACTACGCAGAGAAGCACGAGGCGGCGACGAACAAGCACATTATCGTGGCACGCAAGAACCGCTTCTACAAGGTGGTGCACGAGGCGGGCGGCCGCACGCTGAACGCCAGCGAACTCGAGGCGCAATTCCGTCGTGTCTACGAGCTGGCCAGCGGGGCGTCGGGTCCAGCGCCACCGGTCGGCTTCCTGACGTCAGAGAATCGCGACGTCTGGACGGATGTGCGGACAGCTCTGGCGGCAGCGAGCCCGGTCAACGCCGAGGCGCTTTCAACAATTGACTCGGCGGCCTTCCTCGTCTGCCTCGACGATGCGGCACCGGTCACGCTGGAGGAGCGGGCACACCAATACTGGCACGGTGACGGGTCGAACCGCTGGTTTGACAAGCCGCTGCAGTTCATCGTCAACGACAACGGCACGGCCGGCTTTATCGGCGAGCACAGCATGATGGACGGCACGCCGACACACCGTCTCAACGACTGGGTATGCGATGCGATCTTCAACAACAAGCTGGACGCGCTCAACGATCCGCACGTGCGCGCCGACCTGCCCGAGCCGGTGGCGGTGGACTTCCGGCTGACGGAGCCGCTGACGGCGGCGATTGCAGCAGCCGGCGAGCACTTTGCCGACGTGATCGGGCGCCACGAGCTGGCCGTGCAGGCGTACCAGGGCTACGGCAAGGGCCTGATCAAGAAGTTCCGCTGCTCGCCCGACGCGTATGTGCAGATGGTCATCCAGCTGGCCTACTTCAAGATGTACGGCAAGAACCGACCGACGTACGAATCGGCAACGACGCGTCGCTTCCAGCTCGGTCGCACCGAGACGTGTCGTTCTGTGTCGGAGGAGTCGGTGGCCTTTTGCCGCGCCATGGCCGGTCCTGGCAGTGATGCCGACAGCGTCGATGCGGCCACGCGCCAGAAGCTGTTCCGTGCGGCCATTGACGCGCACCTGGAGTACATTGCGGCGGCATCGGATGGCAAGGGTGTCGATAGGCATCTCTTTGGGCTGCGCAAGCTGCTGGAGCCCGGCGAAGAAGTGCCGGCCATCTACGCGGACCCGGCGTATGCATACTCGAGCAAGTGGTTCCTGTCGACGAGTCAGCTGAGCTCCGAGTTCTTCAACGGCTACGGGTGGAGCCAAGTCGTCGACGAGGGCTTTGGCATTGCTTACATGATCAACGAGAACAGGTGAGTTGGCGTGATTGTGCTATGCTGTTCTGCTCATTGGCTAACTGCTGCCTCACAGCCTTAACTTTAACATCGTGTCCAAGGGCCTGGGAAGCACCCGGATGAGCTTCTACCTGAACGAGGCCGCTGGCGACATTCGCGACCTGCTACTGCCGACGCTGGAAACGGCCAAGGCGAAGCTGTGAGGATTACGTAATGCATATTGTCCATTGGATGTATCTTACTCCGTAGATTGGCTAGAATAGAATGTGCAATAGGCAGAAGAATCGCTGAACGCTTTCGTATACAAAATACTACACTACTATCTGTTGTCTTTTGTCTTGCACCTTCTCGCTCCCTCCCATCACATCTGTCTTTGCGATCCCTATCCAGCGTGCGCAATGATCTCGCTAACCAAGGTGCCCTTGGCTGGGTCAAAGTAGGAGCAGATCTGAGAGGGCAGGGGCACCTCTTTGTAGTCGGCATTTTCGCCGTCGGGGTCGTCGTCGGTGGTGGCGGGAAGGACATTGAGGTTGACGCCATCGGTCTTGCTCATGACGACCTGGGTGGCGGTGCTTTCGCGGCTGAGGTAGATCTGGGCGCCATCGACCTGATCGAGCATGACGGTAGGAATAGAACCGAGGACCTGCAGGGCGAGATTCTGGGACTTGACGACGTCGACAGACGAGACGAGCGAGTCGAGCACGAGCGAGAGCCGGCTAGTGTTTTCGATGGTGACGGCGTTGGCCTTGCCATGGATGATGACGGTGGTGTTGGCGGTCTTGCTGATGAGGATCGACTGGCCGATGGAGGCATCAATCTCGATCGGGCCACCGGCTGCTGCGGCCGCCTCGCGATCGTAGTTCTCGATCGTCCACTTGTTGCCGTCCAGCTCCTTGCGCGCCGGCTTCTTGACCCGCATGCTCTCAGGCTTGGGTTTCTTGCCCGGCACCGGGCTCTTGCCCCGGAGAGCGGCTGTGCTGCCGTCCGGCACCGTCGAGCCAGCACGCAGCGACGGGTTCTTGTGCGTCATCTGTGATCGGTCCACTTTGCGCAGTCCGGCCGTGACGGCCTCGCCCTTGTTGAGCTCCGCAAACACAGCCCCGTGCGCGGTCGTGCTGCTCCTGCTCGCCGCCGGCGCCGACTCGGTCTTGATCTGCAGCATGGGCGGCGGGCCTGGCGGCGGTGGTGGCGGCGGTGGTGGCGGACCGCCCGACGAAGGGGCCGGTGGAGGCGGTGCAGCCGCAGAGTCGGTGGCAGACGTCAGCTGCTGGGCCACCTGGACGGCCGACGCGCCCTGGGGATTCCACGACAGGCCGCCGGAAAAGTGCTGCTTGACGAAGTCGGTCAGGTCGCGGAAGACCTGGTAGAAAGACTGGACCCATTCGACCTGCAGAGGGTCTCTGTTGTGAGGTTAGAAGAGGGGGGAGGTTTGAGAGGAAGGACAGAAAGCGATGGGGAAAGAACCCACTTCTCCTTGAACTCCTTCAAGACCCGGTTGCCAAAGAACTGGGCCGACCCCAGCGACTCCTCCACGTGCTTGTAGGGCCGGTTGTCGACGGTGACCCAGGCCAGGACCATGATGCCCTCGGACACGGCGCTGAGCTGATTGAAGTCGGGCGAGCCGCGGTTGGCGTCCTTGATGTTGACGGCGGCCATGAGGGCCTCGTTGATGGGCTTGAGCAGGTCCTGGTAGACAGACATCTCGGAGCCGGTCATGTCGGGCTTCTTGGCCTTGGTGGAGATGAGGAGAAAGGTGCGCTGGGCCCGGAAGCCCTCGAGCACCTTGTCGGCCTGCTCAGCCACCACGCCGCCATGCTTGCGGCTGAGGTCGACGAACTTGGCCACGGCGCCGGCAAGGAAGACGTCAAAGTCCTCGATCGACTCGGGGAGCTCCTCGGCCGGCAGTGCGGATGCCGCAGCCGGCGCTGGAGCTGGTGGGGGAGCCGTCGCTGTCGGGGTCGGTGCAGCCACCGAGACGATCGGGGGAGCCGGAGCAGCCGACATAGCACCCTCCTGGAGACCAGGAACGGCCTGGGGAAGCTCGATCGTGGACGAGGCGATGTCCTCGAGGCGGGCCGTGGCAGCTTCGAGCCTGGGCAGTCAGTCAGCAGGGGGAGACGAGAGAACAGTAAGACAGAAAGACAGAAACGCACCGTTTGATGAGCGTCGTCAGGTTGTGCATGTTGTTGGTAGCCATGTTGGCGAGAGGCATGTTGGCGAGAGACGAGGAGCGACGAATGGGACGAAAGACAAGACAGCAATGGCAGCAGTGAAAAGACTGAGCACGAAAGAACAGAAGAACCGCAGAGACAAAAAAGCCGCTGCCTGGTCGTCCGAGATGACAATCTGTCGAGTGTCTGCTTCTCTGACGGATGCGCAACCCCTGGACTTTCGGAAAAACCACCTGGCGGGACAGCTCTCCTGAGCGGCGCTAGGGCCACCCCTCTCTGTACTTTTAGTGCATGCCCCACTGCAGTGTGAGAGCCGGCACGGACACGGGCGCTCGTAAGATGTCGTCGGCTGGGATGCCGCTGCTTGTTAGCCCAATGCAAAGTCTGGGCTCTCTGACGTCTTCTGGCATCTCGGATTGTCTCCATCTCGGACTGTCTGGCCATCTTGGACTGTTTCTTCTCGGTTGCCTCTGTCCTTTTCGGTCTGTCAGCCGGCCGATTAGGCTAGCGTATGTCCAACTTCCGCGAGCGGAAGGAGCAGAAACACAGTGATCATTACCTCCCTGAGTCATCAACATGGAGCATCGACAGCCATCTGATACGGCAGAAGAGCAGAGAACGAGCGAGGAGGTCGAAGAGGTCGAGGACAATGTCACGGATGCAGCCGTGGACTTTGTGTCGCTGGGCATGTTGATCATAGGTGTGTCTCGCATGCTTGCTTCGTCCTTCATGCGTCCCTCACACGCCTTCTGCCTTCGCTCACACGTCCAGACGACATTGAGTATCTCCCGCCACGGCCGCCGGTGCGCGACGTTCTCGGCGGTGCGGGTGCCTACGCGGCTCTGGGTGCGCGGCTCTTCTCGCCGGCGCCGCGGCTGTCGCGTTCGATCGGCTGGGTGGTCGACCAGGGGTCTGACTTTCCGGCCGCGATGCGCGCCCAGATCGACGGCTGGCAGACGGCCGTGGTGCTGCGCGAAGATGCCGGCCGGCTGACGACGCGCGGCTGGAACGGCTACGACGTCGGCGAGCGCCGCGCCTTCCGCTACACCACGCCCAAGGTACGGCTAACGGCGGCCGACCTGCCGCCGCCGCTGCTGCGTGCCCGCTCCGTCCACATTGTCAGCTCGGCCGGGCGCTGTCGCGAACTGGTGGCCGACCTGTTGACCAGGCGGCGCCAGCTCAAGGCGTCCGGTGCCCGTCCCTACATCGTCTGGGAACCGGTCCCCGATCGGTGCTCGCCCGACGAGCTGCTCGACTGCACCAACACCCTCCCGGTCGTCGACGTCTGCAGCCCGAATCATGCCGAGCTGGCCGCCTACATGGGCGACCCCGACGGCGGCCTCGATCCTGCGTCTGGTCGGCCGTCTGCTGCCGCTGTCGAGCGCGCCTGCGAACAGCTTCTGGCCGCTATGCCGCTGCAGTCGTACGCCATCGTCGTGCGGGCCGCCGAGCTCGGCTGCTACGTGGCCAAGAATGGTGGCCGGCGCCGACGCAACCGGCAGGAGAGGAGGGGAGAGAGAGAGAAAGAAAAGGAGAAAGAGAAAGACAAGGAGAAGGAGAAGGAGAATGGGAGAGACAAAGAGCAGGAACCCAAACAACATCCCCAGCTGTCCCTTCTCTCCGTCCGACTGCAAGAGACACAAGACACACATACAACACAGCAGTCTGGTCCACCCCCTCAGAACCTCCATGGCGGCTTGCGTCCCGATATCGATATGGAGGCCCTGTTTGCCGGCCTGCAGCAGGACGACGAGGGCGCCATCGCCCGCGAGGAGATCGAGGTCGATCCCGGTCTCGAGATCTGGGTGCCGGCCGTCTTTGGAACGAGCGACAAGGACGACGACGATAACACCCCCAGAACAAGTCCTGTCGTCGATCCGACCGGTGGTGGCAACGCCTTCATGGGCGCCATGGCCCTCGCGCTCGCCCGCGGCCACGGCCTCGAGCAGGCGGCCGTCTGGGGCAACGTGGCCGCTAGCTTTGCCATCCAGCAGGTCGGCGTCGCCGTCTTGGGCCGCGACCCCGACGGCCGTGAGACCTGGAACGGCGAGCGCGTCGACGATCGCTGCACCGCCTACGAGACGCGTCTGCGCCAAAACGGACTGCTGCGAGGGGATCGCCGCTAAGAATTACACAACTGCTCATCCCTCGTTAATGCTGACTAAGCACATCGCTCATAGACCTTGGCTTGATATAGAACATCTCGTATATAGACCAATAATGCACCATCGTCCAGTCGTCCGTCCGATCTGTCCCCAGACGCCCTTCTCCCCGCCATCAGATCTGGTAGACAACATTCCCGCCCGGATACCTGTTCCTGGTTAGCAAAAGCACGACTTCACTCCACCTCCACGCCTCCAGCCACTCACATAATCTGGTTGTCCTTGTCCATCTTCTCGAGCGCCTTGACGGCCTCTTCGCGGCTAAAAGCGCCGCCCTGTGACCCGACCTTGCCGTTGACCGCCGTCACGATGGCGTCCACGTCGGCCGTCTCGTTCTCGAACAGGCTCGTCGACTGCAGCTGTCCCAAGACGCGCCGGAATGTCGCCAGCCGAGCAGCGCTGATCGGTGTCCCTGCAACGGATGTCCCTGCAGTCGATGTCCCGATGCGCAGTGCTGCCGCCCCGCTGGCCAGCTCATCCTCCTCCTCCTCCTCCTCGTCTGTTCGTGCCTGCGACGTCTCTGTCTGCGAGCCGACCAGACGCGATGCCGGCAGCGAAGACGCAAACGACACGCTGGACTGTGACGTCGTCGTCGCCGTCGCACCGCTTCGACCAGACCGTCGAAGCGGCGTCGCTGCTGCGGTCCTCATCTCGCTGTCCTCCTCTTCTTCTTCTGCTGCTGCTGCTACTGCTTCCTGCCCTCTCGCCGATCGTGCTGCTGCTCGGGTTGATCGCGAGGCTGTCGCACCGGCACGCCGACGATCGTCCGCATCGTCGCCCCCGTCGTCCCCATCTTCGTTTTCATCCTCATCCTCTTCCTCGTCACTGCTCGACCGATCTTCCTCCATCGGCCGCGTCTTGCGCTTCTTCCGCCGCGACTCGTCCTCCACCACCTCTTTGAAGAGCGCAAAGCGCAGGATCGCCTCGGCTGCCGCTGCGTCACGCTCCTCGATCCGGTTCGACAGCCGCGACTTGGCATGTGCTGTCGCCAGCCGGATCAGCGTCTCCAGCGTCCGCACCGTCATCGGACTCGTTCGTCGCTGGTTGCCCTCCATCTCGTCGTTGCGCAGCGCCACGTAAATGTCCGAGATCCGGTCCGACGCCTCTTGCGTCAACACTGGTCGCACTCGTGTCTTGGCGTACTGGATGTACTTTTTCAAGAACGGAATGCTCAGCAGTTCCCGCTTCCGGCTCGCTGCTCTCTCGCTGCCTCGTCGCCCACCCGCTGCTGCTGCCCCGGCCAGCGCCCCCGAGTGCAGCATGTCGTTGTGCTTCTCGTACACGTCGACCGGCCGCTGCGATGCTGCGTCGCTCTGGCTCTGCATGCCCACACCCAGCGACTGGCCGCCCGTCTCGCGCACAGGCGCGCCTTCCTCCGTACCCGGCTGACGGTACCGGTGCATGCGAAGCACGTGCTCTGAAATGTGCCGGTCACGTGCGTCTTCGATGTCGTCCGTCACCACAAACAGCAGATCGAAACGCGAGAGCAGCGAGTCCGGCAGCGCAATGTTCTTGTGCGGATCCTTGTGTGGATCGTACTGGCCAAAGACCGGGTTCGCCGCTGCCACCACGCTGCAGCGCGCGTTCAGCGACGTGTGGATGCCGGCCTTGGCAATCGTCACCGTCTGCTGTTCCATCACCTCGTGAATCGCCACCCGGTCAATGTCCGACATCTTGTCAAACTCGTCGATGCACACCACGCCCCGGTCTGCCATCACCATCGCGCCCGCCTCTAGTCGCCGCTCGCCCGTCTCCTTGTCCGTCGTCACCGCTGCCGTCAGACCGACGCCTGACGATCCCCGTCCCGTCGTCGCGATCGCCAGCGGCGCCGTGTTCAGCACAAACCGTAGCATCTGCGACTTGGCCGTCGACGGGTCGCCTACCATCAGGATGTTAATGTCGCCTCGCAGATGCGTCCCGTTCTCCAGGTTCTTCTCCACCCCGCCCAGCAGCATCAGCAGCACCGCCTTCTTGATGTGGTCGTGCCCGTAGATGCTCGGCGCCAGCGATTGCGACAGCAGCTCAAACAGGTTCTTCTTCTTCGCCACCTTGTTGATGTTGCGCAGGTCCGTGTCCGTAATGTCCACTGTCGCCACCCCGCCGCCCGCTTTGGACGACAGCAGCACCACATTGTTCGCCAGCAGCATCGTCTTGAACAGCGCGCTGTTGTGGTTCGTGTTGCGGTTGCCCAGCGTCCGGAAAATGCCCACCAGCTGCACCCGGTCGCCCGGCTTGACCCGATCCACTAGGTCGTCGTCCAGCATCACGTCCACGCCACGTGGCAGCTGGCCGGCCGGCGCTCGCTCCGGCATCTCCTGGATCGACACCGTCTGGTTGTCCCGGTACGTCGACAGACCGTACTCCGTCACCAGCGCGTTGCCCTTCTCGTCCTGCTGCGGGTACGCGCTCGACGTCGTCACCCCGTTCGTCATCGTCTGGTCCCGGTACTCCCGGTAGTAAAATTTGTCCTCCACCTCGCTGTGGTGCACGCTCTTGACTACCTTTGGGTGGATCAGCGAGCACCGCGTCACGATGCCTTCAATCGACACCATCTGGTTCAGGTGCTGTGACGACAGCGTCCGCGGATTGCATGTGTGCAGCCCAAAGCTGCCCGCCCATGCGCAGTAGTACGGCACCTCGTCGTCCGTCTGCTCTGCCCGCGCCTGCGGCACCGTCTTGACGATCTGCTTCAGCGCGTGGTTAAACGCGAGTGTAAAGTCAAACGGCTGCATCAGCAGGCCCTCTGCCATCTCCGCGTTGTGATCGCGCACGTGGTCTAGGTTGACCACCAGCCGCCGTTGGTTTTTCTGCAGCATCACGATGATGTCTGGCCGGTAGCTGCGCACATTCTGGTCGCTGGGATCGAGAAATTCGGCTGCCTGCCGAACCCGGTTGCGCGCCGCATCGTCGCGAAGCAAAAGGCTGTCCATCCTGCGTGTGTTGTTGTGCGAATGGATGGATGCTGGGGTGTTGAATGAAATTGGAAGACGCCGAAGAAACGAAAACGACGATTAGCAGAGAGGGGGCAGGAACGGCGCGTCAAGACGCGTCTACGCGTTAAGTGGTGTCTGTCCATTTTTGTGCCAGCCAACCAACGGGCAAAAGTGCTGGATTAGGTCTCGGGTGGGTATATCGGTTTACTACATAGATGCATATATGCATCTATAGTAGCACTGCTAACGAGCAGCTAGTCTCGACGCACCCTCTGGACTATACGACACTTCGGAATACTAGCGGTCCTTTGTTCTCGGCCCGAGCTGGAAAGTCACGAAGCCGTACTAGACCGTCGTACTTGCACTGCAGCCGACCAGGGTTGCTGTTGCACTGTCCAAGCGGACGAGTAGCTTCCTCTAAAATGACGCACGTCTGGCTTCCGGTCGTCATATCTCGGAATGGCCATTGCGTAACGGCTCGCGGCCGAATAGGGACTACGGAGCAAAATTCAGCTGTAGCACGTACAATTTCGGCGAAAACTGTCGTTGGCCGATGGGTCGTTACTGGTTCCGGGTATCTGAACAAACACAGGAGCTGCCACGCTGCATTTCCCGTCGTACGTTGCATCAATACGCTCTATACGGATGGCTACTATAGCCGGTTCTCGTCAGATCGTTGTCACTCCGCTCTGTAGTCGCTTGGCCCTGCCAATCCCATGCTAGTCTCTGGCCCTCATCCGAGATGTGACTTGGCTTCCGTAATACCCACTCGGATGCCACTGCCTGTGTTGGATCGACTCTCACGGAACGCCGGACTGAAACTAGAGGAATAAAGGTCGCTGTTCTCCCCTCTCTCCTGCTGCTTGCTTCTGGTGCCATCTTTCCCGTCATATTCCCCCGTCACAACACACAATTTCGAGAGCATGGTTGATCTAGACCAGCAGCAGCAGCCTCCTGCCGGGGCGAATGCCGGCTACAACTCAGCCGTTCTGCACCGCCAGCTGCACCATAGCTTCCCCTGTGTTGTGCAGGGATCCGGCAGCCGGCTCGTGCTAGACGACGGCCGGTCCATCCTCGACGCATCGGGCGGCGCGGCCGTCGCCTGCATCGGCCACGGGGACCGCCGCGTGGTCGAGGCGGCCATGGCGCAGATGTCGCAGATCGCCTACTGTGCCACCACCTTTTATACAACCGCCGCGTGTGAGCAGCTGTGCCGCTTCCTGGTCGACTCAACCGACGGCCACATGGCGCGCGCATACATTGTCAGCTCCGGGTCCGAGGCCATGGAGGCGGCCATGAAGCTGGCGCGACAGTACTTTCTCGAGAAACAGAAACCCGAGCCCGACCGCTTCCGTTTCATCGCCCGCCACCAGTCGTATCACGGCATCACGCTCGGTTCGCTCTCCGTGGGCGGCCATCCGTTCCGGCGCAGGAAGTTTGAGCCGCTGCTGCTGCCGGGCGTCTCGCACGTGCTGCCCTGCTTCGCGTACCGTGGCAAGCTGGGAGCGGCCAGCCAGGACGAGGAGTCGGACGAGGCTTACGTCGCCCGGCTGGCGGCCGAACTCGACGCCGAGTTCCAGCGGGTCGGTCCCCACACCGTCTGCGCTTTTGTAGCCGAGCCGGTCGTCGGCGCTGTACGTGTCCCTATTGCGTTTTCTCTCCCTGGCTCTTCCAGACTGACCGGTGTCGCGACAGGCTCTCGGTGCCGTCCCAGCTGTGCCCGGGTATTTCAAGGCTGTCCGGGATGTGTGCCACAAGTACGGCGCGCTGCTCATCTTGGACGAGGTGATGTGTGGCATGGGCCGCACGGGCACGTTGCATGCCTGGCAGCAGGAAGACGTGGTGCCTGACATCCAGACGATGGGCAAGTGCCTGGGGGGAGGGTATCAGCCCATTGCAGCCGTTCTCGCCAGCCACGAGGTCACCGATGCCTTCAGCCGAGGCACAGGGTACGTACTGCTCTCAAGAGGCCGGTAAACCTGCTAACGTTTCCAGATCGTTTGTCCATGGGCACACATATCAGGGACACCCTGTTGCCTGTGCAGCCGCCCTGGCCGTCCAGAAGATTGTCGCCGAGGAGGATCTGCTCGCCAACGTGCGCGATTTGGGAGCTGTCCTGGGAAGGCTGCTGGTGCAGCGACTCGGCAGCCATGCGAACGTGGGAAACATTCGCGGCCGAGGCTTCTTCTGGGGCATTGAGTTCGTGCAGGACAAGGCCACAGCCCGCCCGTTTCCAGCAGAGAGCCAGGTGGCCATGAAGATAGCCGAGCTAGGCCTCAGCGCACAGCACGGTATCGCGGTCTACCCGGGATCGGGCACAGCGGATGGCGTCTCGGGAGACCACATCATTCTCGCGCCGCCATATAATGTGACCCGTGCAGAAGTCGATGAGATCGGTGACAAAGTGTGTCGGCTGGTTACAGAGTACTTTGCGAGGAACGAGCTGTAGCTACTATTATGTAGAGTGGAGAATAGAGCTATCACGTCCGGGTCTCGGAGCTAGTGAAATTCCGGCTTAGCCAGTATTCATGGCAGCCTACAGTGGGTCACCCCTGCTGCAGCAACGACAAGGACGACGGTTTGGAACTCGTCTCCCCACTGCCGTCATCAACCAAGACGCTGACGGGGCGCGGCCTGATTATCCGATAGAGGGCCTCCAACTATCGACATCTGCGCGCACAGCCGATCGCACGAATGGCTGTCGGACTGACGGCAAGCGGCACCAGCGCCAGCCTGAGCCGCCATGCAGCCGAAGAGGAAGCGCGTGCCGAAGTCGACGTGCTCAACTCGCGGCTGGAGAGGACATCGCAGCTGACGAGAAAGATTGAGACGTGTCTGAACCGGCTGGATGCGACGGGCAAGCGAGTGCACGAAGTTGCAGGGCCGCTTAACGGCGAGACCAAGCGGCTGCAGGTTCTAGGACACAACATCGACAACGTGATCGCAGCGATTGCGCGGGTGCGTCAGCCGGCCGACAGCAAGAACGACGAGGAGCAGATCATTCGGACAGGACCAGAAAATGCCGGACTGCCAGCGTACCTGTCGTCGATCCAGCGGCTAGAGCGGTCGCTCGGTGACATGAAAGCATCAAACATCCGGTCGACACAGCAGACGATTGGCGAGCTACAGCGACTGATCCGGTCAGCCAACTCGCAGCTGGAGCTGTACTTTGACAAGCTGCTGCGAGCCGAGACGCCACGCGAGATCGAGCCGCTATTTTACGTGACGAAGAACAAGCCGTTCCCGGTGCTCTCACAGGACCTGACAGCTCGGCTGGGACTGATCAACGCACACGTGGCGGCAGCATACCGACAATCCAGCGGGACAACAGGAACAGCAGCATCAGGCGGCGGCGCTGGACCGGAGTCGCCGGTAGCCAAGATCTACGCAGAGGTGCGCGGGCCGTACCTGGCGGGCACGCTCAAGAACCTGGCGTCAGCCAGCATCAACACGGCCAAGAAGAAGAACGCGGACGCGATGTACCGGCCAGGGACGAATGGGATCAGCACGTACACGCAGGCGATGGAGGGCATGTTCCTGTCCGAGTACGACAGCATCTGCAGCGTGTTCACGCGCGAGGACTGGGGCCCAGTGTTCCAGGCGGCGTGCCAGCCCGCGCTGACAGAGCTGGCTCGCACGCTGCGCGAACTGAACGGCCACATCAAGGCGCACCCGCAGACGGACTGCTACCTGGCCTATGAGATTGTGGAGATCGTGTCGAGCCTGTCAGGGCAGCTAGAGACGCGCACGGGCGAGCTGAAGGCGTCGTTGGCGGCAGCGCTGAAGCCGGTGCGCGAGACGGCCAAGGGATCGCTGGCCGAGCTTCTGGACGACGTGCGACGGCGAGCGGGCTCGATGCAGGCCCTGCCGCCCGACGGGGGCGTGCTGCCGGTCGTGTCCGAGACCATGCAGCGGCTGCAGGTGATGACCGAGTTCCTGCGGCCGCTGTCGAGCATCATGATCTCGCTGGGTGACGGTGGCTGGCGATACGGCGGCCTCGGCTCGACGACCACCCTGGCCTCGTCGCTGTCGACAGGATCGACAGGATCGACAGCAGCCGGGCCAGGAGCAGCAGCAGCAGCCGCAGCCGCCACGGCGGCGGCATCGGGCTCGTCCGAGGGGATCCCCAGCCTGGCGTCGTTTGACGTCAACGCGGACGGCCGCGACATCTTTGCACACTACTGCGCCGACACGGTGGACGCGCTGCTGTCGGCGCTGGACGCGCGGGCGCGGGTGCTGCAGGGCCGCAAGCCGGTGGTGGGCGTGTTCCTGGCCAACAGCATCAGCGTGGTCGAGCGGATGGTGCGCGAGTCAGAGCTGGCCGCCGTGCTGCAGCCGCGGCTGGCCGGCGTCGTGGACCCGTGGCGCAAGAAGGCCGCGACCGTGTATCTGGACGCGTGCAAGGACGTGTCGATGCACCTGTTTGACGTCATCCACACGAACCGCAGCGGTGGCAGCGGTGGTGGCGGCGGTGGTGGTGGCGGCGGCGGCAGCAGCGGCTCCGGACGGCCGCAGTCCGGTCAAGGCTTCGTCGACTCGGCATCCGTGCTCAAGGGCCTCTCGTCCAAGGATCGCGAGAGCATCAAGGGCAAGTTCACCGCGTTCAACGCCTCCTTTGACGAGCTGCTGGCACGCCACCGCCAGTTCACCATGGAACGCGAGGTGCGCCAGGCCTTTGCCCGCAACATCCAGCAGATGCTGGAGCCGCTTTACAACCGCTTCTACGACCGGTACCACGACGTCGACAAGGGCCGCGGCAAGTACGTCAAGTACGACAAGGTCGCCATCTCGGCCGTCTTCACGAGCCTGTACCAGGGGTAAAGGTTGTACTGCGCCTCTACTGTAATTATTTTATATATTTTGACGAGTGGCGACGAGAACGAGCGTAATGCGAGAAGATGGACAGCAACTGGTAGAGTCATGTGATCTGACGTAATCTGACGTTGCGCGAAGCAAATGCGAGAGCGAGAAACGGGAGGCCGGCGGACGAACTGATAGCCCGTCTGATCAAGTTGGCAGCAGCTTATAAGTAGCCATCATTCGCAAAGGCTCTCGGTTTTTCTCCAAGAACCCTGTTGCACTTCACATCGTCCACAATGGCTGACAACAAGCAAGCCCAAATCACGCTCCACTGGTACGTCTTCACCAGGTGTTGTCCCAGCCGATGAAACGGCAGGCGAAGACCGATAGGGAACTGGACAAGAGAGTACGGCTTCCTGATACATGTCTAGGCTCGATGGCTCGCGCGCGCAGCGGATTCTCTGGCTTCTGAGTATGTCACATGGCAGCTTCTTGTCGGCGGGCCCTGTACATTGATCTGCTGACTCAGCATAGTTGCCCTGGATGTGCCGTACGAGCTGAAGATCTACCACCGCATCAAGGGCGTGTACGCGCCGCCGACGTTACAAAAAATATTTCCGCTAGGCAAGTCGCCGCTAGTGACAGTGCTGCCAGCGGGTGCGCCGGCTGACGCGGAGCCGCTGGTGCTGGCCGAGAGTGGTTTCATCGTGGACTACCTATGCTCGCACTTTGGCCAAGAGAGCAACCTGGTGCCGAAGCGCTGGCGTGACGGCTGCCAAGGCCAGCTCGGCGGCGAGACGGCAGCATACCTGCGCTTCCAGTACCTGATGTACTACGCTGAGGGCTCGCTGATGCCGTATCTGGTGTTTTACCTGGTGCTGTCGAGTAGGTCTTCCGTCTGCCGTCCTTGTCTCCGTCCGCCCTCCGCTCACAGAGACGCTCTCCAGCCCTCAAGGGACCCACCGTTCCCTGGTTCGTGCGCCCCCTCACCAGCAGCATAGCCAACCAGATCAACAGCGCCTTCCTGCTGCCCAACATCCGCAGCAACCTCCAGCTGATGGAGACGTTTCTGGTGCATCCGCCCGAGCCGGCCGACGGCCAGGGCTACATCTGCGGCGACCACCTGACGGCGGCCGACATCCTGCTGAGCTTCCCGCTGCTGGCGGCACGGTCGCGCTGCCAGGATATGGGGCCGTGGAACGGCGGCTCGGCCGAGGCAGAGTTTCCCGTCACGTTTGCGTATCTGGACCGGCTGGAGAGGGAGCCGGGGTATCAGAAGTCTATTGCGAAGATCGAGGAAGTGGATGGCAAGTTTTCGGTCTTGACAACGGCCAGGGGACGCTGAAAAGGAAGGGCAGACGGTCGATGTACGTCATAGCTGTAGTTAGGTGTCATTGCAGCGATGTCGGTGTAACGCGTTCGAGCTAAAGCGGTCGGTAACCGCTTACGTAAGCAAACTCGGCCGTACACATTCGTCAATGCTGCCCAACCGGGCAGAGCTGCCGGAGCCTCTCGCTTGGACGCTCGCACGCACTGTCTCGATCCAGATCGGTAGCCGCGCTTGCGTGTAGCCTCGCGGGTCCAAGACGGACGACCTGGCAGCACGCTCGTACGGCTAATCGCCACAATCAGCAGCCAGGACTAAATTAGGAAGGAAGGCGCATGGCCGGGTCGGGACTGCCTTGTCGCCGGAAGCTCCGGCTTTTCTCCATCTTTTCTCCGCTTTGTCGTCGTACCTTTGCATCCGGATTTTCTTTCTCTACTTCTCGCTGCAGCCGCCACCACCACGATGCATGTGCTTGTTGTTGTTGTCTGAACCATCCTCGCCTCGCCTCCCGCTCTGCCGCTCACCCTCGCCTGTTCGCCGCAAAAAAGACGCGCCTTTGGACTTTTGACGCACGGACACCACCCGTACACCACTTTCCCCTCATTCCCCTGACTCTGCCCTCGTTCTAGATGCAGGACGCGGCCTCCAGCAGCGGCCAGCATGCATCTGCCTCCGAGACAACCACGGGCGATCTTGGCACTGCTTGTGGTGTGGCAGCCATAGCGCCGCCGCCGCCGCTTGCCGCCGCCATCCGCCCTGGCACAGCCATGTCCACCTCCACCTCGTCGTCGATGCCAAGCTCAGTAGACACCACCATGATTCCTAGTGGGGGACCTAGCGCTCCCGAGGCGTCCAGGACAGCCGGCGCGACCAGTGACGCCGACGAGGCTGCAACCGACACGGGCACGTCGGACGAGAGCATATATGGCGACCAGGATGACGCGCAGTCCTTTATCCAGCCGACCATCAGCCCCATGGCCACGCGGCTGTCGTTGCCCCAGAAGCAGTCGCTGGCCGAGCGGGTCAATTTCATGGCCGGTGGTGTCGGTGGTGATGGTACTAATGGTGGCTCCCCCAATCTGGCTTCACGCCGATCGCAGACTAGCCGGACGGCTCTGCTGCACGCAGCAGCACGACAGAACCGGTCCTCGTCCGTCGGCTCGGACGCGCTCAAGCGGCTGTCCAAGGCACTGCCGTCGCTCTCGTTCCCCAAGGGCTCCAGCACCTTCTTCCCCAGCCTGCCGACACCGTCCTTCTTGTCTGCCGTGACGTCGCCGACGTCGCCGGCATCCCGCAAGAGCCTGTCGACTGCCCAGAACCAACAACGGCAGCCGACAGTAGCCTCGCAGCAGCCCTCGTCATACAGCCACCATCGGTCCACGTCAGATGACTCGATGCTCTACCAGACCCTCTCCCGGGTCTCCTCCCTCGGCGACGACGACAACTTTGACAACATCCGCGAGCAGGTCAATTCACGCGTCAAGGCCATCATGGACAGCTTTCCCGACCGGCCGACCTTCAAACTGCCGAGTAGGTCTGCTCTGTTTCCGTCTCTTTCCTCGCTCCTCTCTGACAAGTCTAGGCTTCTTTCCGGATGGCAAGTCCAGCGCTGGGGCGTCTGCGCCGCGTGAGCCCGCATCGTCCCTGGACATCGCCCTCGAGTCGTTGACCGGTGACGTGGTCGTGATGGGAGGCTACCGCGGATCGATTCTGCGGTCGGCCGAGCCGCCACATCGACAGCTTTGGGTGCCGGTCAAGGTCGGGCTCAACATCCGCAAGGTCAACATGGAGATCGGCCTGGACCGGGAGGACGAGCTGAACATGGACAAGTCCATCTTTGCCTCAGGCATGCTGAAGAACATCGGGCCCGTCGACATTTCGCGCCGGCTGTTCAAAAAGCTGCGCGAGTGCGAAAACGCCCGTCACGGCAAGTTGCGCGTCCACGACTACGGGTACGACTGGCGCCTCAGTCCACACCTGCTGTCGAAGCGCCTTAACGACTTCTTGGAAACGCTGCCCAGCAACAAGCTGCCATTAGGCTCGGCCGGTCGCGGTGCCTTGGTCATCTCCCACAGCCTCGGCGGCCTGATCACCCGTCACGCCGTCAACCAGCGGCCGGACCTCTACTCCGGCGTCATTTATGTCGGCACGCCCATGCGCTGCATCAACATCCTGGGACCTTTACGCAACGGCGATGCCGTCCTGCTCAATGAAAAGGTCTTGACTGCCCAGGTCAATTTCTCGCTGCGCACCACCTTTGTCTTCCTGCCCGAGGACGGCTTCTGTTTCGTCAACACCAACGACCCGGACGAGGAGTACCGTGTCGACTACTACGATGTCCAGGAGTGGATCCGCTACCGTCTGTCGCCCTGCATCGGTCCGCCTGCCCTACCACCTGCTCACCAGGACGGCAGCGGTGTTCTCAAGCGGAGCAGCACCATTGGTGCCCTGCTCGAGGATCTCTCCGGTAGCCTGCCGTCATTACCGCTTCGGAACCGCATCAGCAGCGGCGGCATCCATGGCGAAGGCACTGCCGAACGCACCTTGGCGCCCCAGATGAACAGTCTTGTCTCTCCGTCGTCATCGTCATCGTCACCGTCACCAGCTGCTTCCACTTTTGCCACTGCGACGACCACGGCCACCACGACGGCCACGCAAGCCACGCAGACACCCCCGCCTCCATCGCCACGGACCCATCACCGATCGCCGTCCTACGATCCTGCGGCTGATACTCCTCAGCGCGCCCGCTCGCTGGCCTATCTCGAACGCACTCTGGCCGAGACGAAACGCTTCCGAGCTGAGCTCGCCCACCGGCCCGAACACACTGTCGCCAACGGGTATCCGCCCACTGCTGTCATTTATGGCAAGGGCATCCCCACCGTCTTCGCGGCTCGTGTGGCCAACCGCGAAAGCATTGCGCGCAGCGACGCGTTTGACGACCTCGTCTTCCGCTCCGGCGACGGCGTCGTCCTGACCCGCGAGTCCATGGTTCCCGACGGCTACCACGTCGTGCGTGATGGCTACGTCAGCTCCGACCGTGGCCACGTCAGCCTGCTGGGTGACCATGCCGCCGTCGGCCGCGCCATCGAGGCCGTCATCCGCGGCCGCACAAAGGGCATCGGCCTAGGCCTTTCCGCTGCAACGGCAGCAGCAGCTTCGGCCATGTCCCGAGAAGGAGCTGAACCAGTAGCGATGATGGAAACAGGGGCATTTGCTTGAATGCCTCCCCCCTTTTGCTTCCCCTGTATACCCCTGCATTTGTGATGTTGAATTCATAGCGTTTATAAATTTGGACTACTAATAGAGACAAACATTCAAATGAGGCAGATGCTTGCCAGTTGCTCCTTCCCTGTGCAAATCTCGGCTTTCACCATTATCCCGCTTTCTGGGACATTTCCTTGTCTCCAATCGACCATTACTGAAAGTAAATGAAACGAAACAACGAAAATACTTCAAGCCAGAGCCGACGCGCCAGACTCTTCTACCAGAACTTCATCGTGGTCGATGTCTGGATCCCGCCTGATGCGTTCGTCTCGCGAAAGGACGCAATGTCGGACGGCACAGAAGCTCCGCGTGAGGCATGTGGAAACACCACTGTCAGTGAGGGCAATCTTTGATCTCGCTGGCTACAGGACGGGGACAAAGGATGGTCCTGTCCAGAGGAAAGCGGCAAGGCAGGACGGAAGTATTCGCCTATGTTGTTGTTGCCGCCACCGGCAGATCTGCCAGATGCCGGGTGATGATTCGAGGTCGAGCCGTTCCAGCTGTTGTGCTGCTGCATCTGTCTTTGCGGAGGAGGAAGGACGGAATGGAGCGATGGTAGGACGGCTCGGTCGATCCATGACGGCGGTGCAGCAGGTTCAGGCAGACTGGCTGTCGAGAGATTGTCGTTGGAGGTGGTCGTGATGCTGCTCAGGGCCAGGATGTCCCAGTGTGGTGGCGACCAGGTCGGCATGGCCACATGCATGCGTCGGATGGCCTCCTGAATTTGGCAGCTGAGTCGGGCAATGGTCGCTGCCGCATACGCGTCGATGACGGTGGCGCTCGTGCTGCCATCGCCCAGGGTCACGAGAGGCACCAGGGCCGTGTCGAGGCCGCGGTCCGGGGTCTCGTCACGTGGCACCAGGATCAGCTCGCGCAGCCCTGGCAGCCGTGTGCGCAGGAGGAGCAGCACGTCGACGGCAGCGCTGGCGGCAAGCTGGAAGGCGGGCGAGGCGAGCTCGAAGGCAGCAGCGACGGCCGTGCTAGCTGCGCTCGTCGTCCTGGCAGCACGGGTTCCCTCCCAGAACAGGGCCTCATTGAGTGCCACGCGCCGCACGCGGGCCAGCTCATCGGGGTCGGCCAGCGTCAGGAGCGTGCGCAGCTGGGCTTCCGAGGCCATATAGCCGTCGCGCGGGCCAAAGTACAGCACGTCTTGATTGGCGTCAAAGTACACGTGGCCGGTCTGGCGGGCGATGCCAAACATGAGCGCGTAGCAGCGCAGAGCCTCGGCGCGGGATTCGTGGCATGCGTGCAGGTTGGCCGGAATGGCGGCCGGCGAGGTGCACCAAGGCAGCGGTGGCGGTGGCGGTGGCAGTGGCGGCGACGTCGACGGTCGCTTCGTCTGCGACGATCGCCATCGCCGGCCAGCCTTGACCACCGGCAGAGGAGGCGCCGACAGGGACGGTGACTTGCTGCCACACTGCGCCGCGACCATGCGCGGCTCTGGCACGTTGTAGGCCCATATCTTGAGCCGCAGCTCAGGAGGCAGGCTTTGGAAGAGGTGCTGTGGCAGGTTGGAACACGTTAGCCCGAGCCATGGAGGTGTACAGCTTGTGCAAGGGTACACGTCGCCGCGGGGAACATAGAAAGACATACGAATGTCGAGCACGTCGGTGCTGAAGCCGGCCTCCGCATTGTCGAGACAGAGGCTTCTGCCAGAGACATGGTGCCAGAAGGGAGTTCGGTCTCGTGGGGATCTATTGGCAGCAGCCACTCGGCTGCTCATTCCAACACGCTGCGGCCACGGTATGCAGTCGTGCTTTAAATAGGATCCAGCTAGGCAGGACAAGCAGTCTGCAAGCAGCTTCTCTGGGTCTAGATGCCACGACGGCATGGGGTACCGGCACGCTGGAGACATGCCTTGTGTGGAAGGCGGAGCTGAGCCCAAGAAAATCGTCGGATGGATGGCACAGGCCCCGTGGAATTACGAGGGATACACAAAGATGGCGGGCGCGGAAGCACTCATATGCATCGACGGGAGCCTTGTCCGTCTGGACTCTCGCCGCCAAGAATGGACGTAAGACAAGCACATCCTTGCCGAGCCCGGGGAAGATAAGGGTCTCTCACCTATTTGCTCTTGCCGATGGAAGGAGAGGCAAAGCCATCTCCCAGACGACAACAACAGGCTGGCAACACAACTCCCTTCCTTGTTTGCATTCCGTGACAACGGGCGAGAGATTTCGGTACATGCATTTCCAATCTCTCTCAGCTGCATGCAATCAATAACCGAGGCCGTCTGCATTTGAGGACCCGGGACGCCGTCTCGGGAAGGAAAGAGGAGGATATCACAGAAATGTGAACCATCTCAGAACAGGGGTGGTGATGCATGAGCGATGTGCATTACTGCTAATCCGTCCCAATAGGAAGAAAGCAGAGCATCCGGGCCAGAGGGGGCAAGACAGGCTGAGACGCACCCACTTGGACCGAGAAGGTGGAACACGAAAGAGGGCAAAAGGAGGAGGCAGACGCAAATCTCACGAAGCTTTCTCGTTCCCTAAAGTCGTACCAGTGGTATGACAGCACAAAGGGGGTAAAAGAACAGACCCGGCGGCTTGGGACGGCCAGTTCTCCTGTCATCTTCTCTTCCTCGTCTTCCCGTTTTTTTCGCACATCATGGTGCGTGCAACCAGGACACATCCTCTTGCGGTTCGGCCATATGAGACTCGTCACACGTATAAGCACCGAGGCCATGTCTTCGTTTGCAGCTGGTCCGCCTTGGGTTTGTCAGCGTCGCAAACGCCAAAATGAACAGTTGTTGCCAGTCCCTTGTACAAGCCCACACCTCGCCGCCGGCTTTGCACGTACGGGCAGCCCTGCAAACAGGAGCAGGCCAAGGGCGCGGCAAGTCAGAAAAGCACGGCGGCTCCGAGCAAATGGACGGTCATCACCTGCTGTCCGGTTACGCAGACGTTCTCCACCAAGCTTCTGAGTGGGCTAAATTGCCAACGCTCATGATTGTTGCCGTCCCTATCTCGGAGACAAGAGCAATATCGACGGCCGGGTCCGATTGGCCGACCTCGTTGGAACGATGGCGAATTCAGCCGTGGGGACGGTTTTCTTTCCGTTTCCTGCGTACTCTCCTGGGCCGTGTTTATCTTCTTACAACGGATCAAGAGCCCCGTCCTTGATGGCGTACAGCCATTTTCCAGCACAGTGGAGCCGAACTGTTGTATCATCATGGCCAGCCGACTGCAGATGGTAAGAGGAGGGGGAGAAAAGAGTTTGAGAGATACAGGATTGGAAAAACTGCTTGTTCATTCCCTGAGCACAGCATATCGGGTGCTTCTTGTGCGCCCAGCCGACGAGAAGAGTTCTTCCCCCGGCCATAAACCTGGAGCAGGTTGTGTCACGGGCAGAGCCCAGTCTCTGCTGATGACCATGCTGACATCGGAAGTACGATGTCACGTGACATTGGCTTAGTGAAAGACGAAGAGAAAAGGGGACAAACACAAGGCGAGAAGGCAAGGTTCAGCCTCCTGCAGACTGCAACACGGCCGTCACAATAGCGGTTCCAGCTTTGGGCCACAAATAGAACGAGATGTGGCCCAGAATTCGGCAGGGGTCCCGAGACGTTGATTGGGCTGGCCGCCATGCAGGTGCCCATAAGCGCCCCCATATTTGTCTCTTGCCGGACGTCTCGGCCAATCCGCTTTGCTGGATGCGCGACAGCAGTCGGCGGCCTTGTCTGGCTACAGGATACGCGCCCGCCAGCGGGGAGAGCGTGTCTGGACGGCCTCTGATTTGTCCGGGTGGAGATGCAGCCGTGTGGGCGAGATCTCTGGGAGGCAGAAGTGCGAGATGTGCATGCGCCTTGGGAATGCCCATCTGCGCTCGCTCGCTCTCCAGCCGATGATGTGCAGCAGCTCTTTCTATCTTTGGGAACGGTCTCGATGGGCGGCTACTGAATAATTGGGCCGCTCTATTGCGACATCGCGACGACGACCGAGAACCTTATTTGTAGGTCTCGTCTCGTCTTCTCTCGTCAGATTGACTTTGCATCCTTCACTTCTGCTTCCTTGTCGCTGTTCCTGGTGAATAACGTTGATCTTTGTCTATTTGTATCCTCTTTTGCTCTTCTCTTCTCTGCATCTCTCATACCACGTCCATCTGTCTCTGCTTTTCACCTCTCACCCACCCCAACATCCACAATGTACGGGCTCAAGACAACGATCGTCTCCGACTACGAGGTCGACTCCCAGGACACCTATCTGCAATCACATGTCGGCCTTCTCCGTCGCATCAATGCTGCTCGCGCCGCGACCACGTTGCTGGCGCTCCTGATGGGCCTCGTCGTCGTCGGCGTCGCCGCCAACAGCATCCAGGTCTACAATGCCACTCACCTTTCCCTCTCTGCCAACATGGCCTGGCTGTCGCTGTGGCCCAGCTCTGACGCCTTTGATTCCCGGCCCACCATTGCTCTGGTTGTTGGCGCTTCTCTGGTTGTGCTCTGCAACGTTGTCGCCCTTTCCAGCCACCATCCCAAGGTCGGTTCTCTCCTCTCCTCTTCCTTCCTTCCTCTCTTACTCTCTTCCTCCCTACTAACTTATCAGATCCGCAGCAAGCTCGCCCGCGCCCACACGCCACTGACGTTTGTCGCCCCCTTTGTCGGCCTCGTCGCCGCCATCATCGCCATCGCGTTCTTCTACGCCATCAACCGTTCCACCACTGCCGACACCCTGCTCTCCTGGAGCTGTCGTTGGCGCAACGTCACCCTGAGCGGACGGCCCCATTTTGCCACCCTCTGCCGTACCAGCCACGCTGGCGTCTACCTGGCTATCCTGTTGATTCCTGTCGAGGCGGCTGCCTTGGGACTCGCCGGCTGGCAGCTCAAGCTCAGGCGCTTCGTCCTGGCGTACAGCCAAGCACGCAAGACGCCAAGCCCGGCTCTGTCCTGAAGACAAGGCGGAAACGTGATTGTATATCGAGAAGAGACTTGGGATTGTCGTTCCTGCAACCGGTGTCGGTTATCTCTCACTTTTCGAAGGGAAGAATCCCCATATTGCATTGGATACGGGGACTAGGCCTGAAAGCAGCAAATATGGGTTGGCTTCACTTCTGGGATGTAATCATATAATCCGGGGTTTTCGCGATAGTGCTTTTCGGCGCCGATTATCAGACTATAGGGACGAATGTACTGCTGTTTTGGGTTTCTTCTCTATTAATCAGACTATCATAGAGTCAGGATGCAAACCAGACACCCGAAAACGCTCAGCCGCCGGTGTTGTAGTCTGCTGTAGTGTCACATTTGCCTCTGGGTCCCTACAGTAGTATGTGTGTCAGATAGAGCAGTCGGCGTGCACAAGCGCCCGCCGGAAGAGAATGGTGAAATGGGACTGCTGGCTCTGCCGGTCAGTACACCCATGAGACCCATTTGAGGCTGAGAAGACCGATAGCCTCAGACGTGGCGTAGTTGTGGTGTCTCTTCAGAAAGCACAGTTGTCCGGTCAGCAGAGATGACGAGTGCAGGGGAGAACACCCAAAAAGCCCATCGTATTGATTACAGGATGATCGAATGCTCTGTCTCTGAGCGCTTGACTTCATACTCGACTGCAGAATAACAACAAATGATTGCGCTCATATGGTAGCACGAAGGCGAAGAGGCGTAATCTGTGCACGCTTCCTAGCCATTGACAGAGGGATGACTCTGCAGAAAGGGCATAATTATATTTGCTGCTTGGGTTGTGAGCTCTCAATCTCATTGGACTTTTGCCTCTGCGAGAATTGACCCCCACCTGTCTTTCTTTTTTGCTATCGGTCGTATTGCCTTTGCCGAAACCATGTTATGATGAGGAACAAGGTCGAAAGGCTCGCCTCAGGAAATTGCGATTATTGCTCCTTTTCCTTCCTTTTTCTAGCCCCCCTCAGCTTTACCCTGCACTCTTACCCCTCTAAAAACATTGTTGATGTCTCGGAGGTAATTAATTTATCAAATAGCGCATTGAGTCGGATGCAAGTCCCGCATCATTGGGCGTATGCAAACGAAAGAACAAAACGAAGCAGACTTGACATAAGATACCAACGCTTGCCTGGCTGGTGACACAAGGCCTCTAAATTGTTTCAGACAGCTACAAAACAAGTCTGGAAATTGTATCTTGAAAACAGAAGAAAATCATTCTTTTGAGTCAAGCCGTCCTCTCTTCTCGGCATACAAAGGGTCGATTAGAAGGAAGACTTCAGAAATCGAAGAAGGTGACAACTACTTGAAACGACCAAAAAGAATCGCGATCAGCAGAGAAGGCAAAGAAGACACGGTCCTGCCAGTTTCAGCTGCCATGGCGCCCGCCACCAAAGTCGAGCGGACAAGCCGTCCACGATCGCCATTGCGAGCTCCCACGCCTCTGGCTGTCTCTCATAACGGAACAAATGGCAGTGCAAAGCACGATGCGAAGAACGGCAGACTGGACAGCAACATGACTAGCGGAAGAAAGCATGATAGTCTCGCGAGCTACGAGAGCAACGGGAACCACGAGGATGCCGAGAACATCGACGACTACGAAAAACGTAAAGGCCCCGAGAAGAGGTCCAGAAGGGGCTACGAGGGCGAGCCCAGGCCGTCGTCCCTTTCTGAGCGGACATTGCATCCGTCGCGAGCGCCAACACCGTTGCTGGTCAAGGGCGACCACATCCTGCGTGACATCGACCGCGCTCCTCCTGGCGACCCGTCGCAGCTGCGTGTCCGCCGCACGTCCGGTCTGGCATCTGCAGCTGGAGACAGAGGAGGCGGCAGTGATGACGTCGCACGCCAGCGCAGCCAGTATTTTGAAGACGTCTTCTCGGCTCGGGACAGCAACTCGAGCCCGGCAAAGGAGCGTGTGCGGAGCGAGGCTCTGGTCTTGGCAGAGCTGCGGACCAACGTAATGGTACGTCTGTATGGGCGGACTCCTCTTTCTCTCGCTTACTATTTGCAGATTGGCGACGAATTTACTGTGATCACGGAGCTGTCAGCTAGCCTCGCCGTGCGGTATCGTCGGCCGCTCTCGTCCGTGGTGGTGACGCTGCAGCACAACTCGTGCATGTGCTTTGGCGGCTCGTTCGATCCGGCCTATGTTCTGTCCATCTTTGCCCTGCCGGCCGAGCTGCAGCCGACGACGAACAAGCGCAACGCAGCCCTGATCCAGAGGCACATGGAGGAGGCTCTCGGCGTGCCACCGGCACGTGGCCTTTTGCGCTTCGCGCCCGTTACCGAGGCCAACCTGGCGTACGGCGGCAAGACAACGGCCGGATACATCGACGACCTGCCCAAGAACACGGGAGCCGGCACTACCACTGCCAGCAACTACAGTTGCCGGTCCCCGGTCCTGTCAACGACTGCTGATATGCACGATCTCGGTGGCAGCACGCGAAAGAGAAGGGCTAGCCGGAAGCTAAGTGTCAAGGTAAGGCATATTGGAAGCCGGTTGTATCCTTCTCCTGCATCGGCATCGCTAACACTCTTGTCCAGTCTTTGTCTAATTTCAGATCTCCCTCGCCTCCGAGTCCGACGCCGGTGGGCAGCACTGCCGAGGATCAGCAACAGCAGCAACAGCCGGATTCCTTGTCGTCAGCCTATCTGCCATCTATCGTTGAGCGGTCACCTAAGGAGAGCCCACAATATAGGCAGAGAACAGAGAGGGAAAAGGAAAGGAGAGAGCACAAGGGTCCTTCTGGAGCGGATCAAGATACCGGTTTGGAGATGCTGCCGGAGACCAGTCCGTCGGCAACGTGGCAGCCCAGCAGACGGGCTAAGAGAACCAAGAGTTTTGTGGCGACGCTTTTTGGACGATCAGCGATAAAGTACGAGATGGGGACCTCCTAATCGAGAGGAAGAAAACTAAACGGTGTTTTGACAAACAGGGACTCATAGCGTGTAAGCCTCCGCCTTGAGGCAATGTAAAAATAAGAGCAGCAGGAATAGGTCGGGTCATCAGATACCTTCAGACGTGCGAAGAGGTATGCCTTTCAGAGGGAACAGGGGCGTTTCAGATGAAGCAGGTAGTGTGAAATGCCAGCACTTCTACCATGACAGCCAAAAGCTCGATAATTGTGGTATCAACTTTAGACCCAACAGAAATAAACTTGCAAAAATGTAAGCATCGGAACAAATACTAGAGCTGCATATGCTGAAGTTCAACTGTTCTAGCCATGCGAGCTCACTTATACAAATGATCACGTGACTACCACACGTGACTCGACCGTTCCGTACCAACTCGGCTCTTTCGGGCTTGCACGCAGAGAGGTTATCGAAACGGTTAAATGCGGCCTCAAGTATCTCACATTACCAGGTGTGGTAGTACATATTCGAACCCTATATGTGTCTTGAAGCTTTACTCAGATTAAGTTGCAGATATCAATCCGATTAACTCTCAGCCTTCTATGCAGCAACTATGGAGGCCGCCTGTGAAATACGAATTACGAGCCAGCCTGCTAAAAAAACACTGCTAGCTTTTGCCCCGCACCACAAGTAGCTCATGTGGGGGTCGCCTAGAGAAACAAAGGTAGGAAGGTACGTCCCTCATAAGTTACTCATCGACACATCGAATAGGCAAGGCACGAAAATAGGGAACATCGCGACGACATATTCGCCCGCCAGCCACGCCCTATATCTGCATCAGTCACGAGCTCTGGATCGAAGGACACGACGCAGAAATCGGAAGGCCGTGGACGAAGCTATCTCAGCACCGCCCACACCCACCGCCTCACGTCGGCCTGCTCAACCTCGCCGATCTCATCATTACATCGCCGCTTGACTTCGTCTTCTACTTTCTTCCGCACGATCAACCACGCTTCGTTCTTTGAGGCCGTCCTGGTTCCTAGGCCGGCGCGGTCGTTCTGTCCCCACGCCGCCGCTCGTCGGTGCTCCGCCATTGCCGTGCCAAGGCTGCACACCTAGGCTGGTCCTAGGTCTCTCAGTCCTTCTGGGTCGTGAAATAGACGAGCAGTAAAGGCTCCCAATTTCAACGTCTTCCTAATTTGGCTGCCGACACATCCGTGTCGGGCACGAACACAACAAACCATGGATGTAAGAGGCCAGAACGGCATTTCCTTTCGTTCCTAGAACTTTCTCTCACCTACCCTCCTCATTGCTTGCATTTCCACATACCTCGAGTGTCACCCCCTACGTCTTCCTGTTTGCCTCCTTTACTGTTTCACAAAATCCAATGAAATCACACCATCTACTCTTTGCTTGCCTTCCGTCCTATAGTCCCGTGTGCTCATAGACACACGGACCCATAAACACAATCAGACGCATGGAATTGGGTAGGATTATGTATCTCCCAGCTTCCCCAGCATACATCCCGTTTCAATTCCGGCCAAGAAGAAAACAAGTGTGTAGGGGGGTGTTAAGAATAAGGTCGCTGGGTCCAGACAAACAGATCGAGGCGACAGGACTAGACGTTTGTCTTCCCACACTCCCCGCTCTCTTCACAAACGCCTACCACTCTGCACCGCTGCCCATGGCACACATCTTTAGAGCCGCTCTCAAACCTGGCTTATATGCGGCTGGTTTCTGCGACAACGTTTTGGGGCCGATTGGCCAGGGTGACTTCTCTCTTGTGGATTGGTCTATTGCGTTGTATTCCTTTATGGTCGTTGTGTCTTCGTTCCTCCTCAGACAACATCCAAAACCGGCCTTACTTCCGCATCTGATCATGTTGCACCGATCTGCACCGGCAGACTCATGACCAACGCAGGACCATCTTGTCAAACGGGGAGCCCTCGAACACTTCTTACCGCACAGGCACTGCCGATATGTTCTTCCGCCTAAAGTCTACTTATTTCCTGGCCCCTCTCACCTTTCCTGTCTTTCACCCTCCATATCTACGCTTGACTTGGAAACTGTTACTATTTCTACCGCTGTTCCACTGTTGTACCGCTTAAATGTCTTTCACCTTTCCAACTCGCAGTCTTTTCAGAACTGCTTCCCCCACACAATCATCTTCCTGTTGCTCTAATGAGGCGAGCCTTGCGCCGTTGCACAGCCACTCCATCACTACCCCAAGTCCAGCTGTGCTGAATCTAGAACGTGTCTATGAGCAGAACCGACAGCGTCTCCAGAGACGAGACGGAAATCCCGCTGCCGTCGCTCCCAAGCAGCCAGATCCAGCCCCAGCAGCGCCACCAAAAGGAAAACCAAGGCTCTTGCTGATGGGCCAGCGAGCGTAAGCACGGTACCTGTCCTTGTTAGCTGATTGAGCTCTTTGGGTGACTGGCGCGCCTGTGTTGGTTGCCGACGCGCAAGCCGTATGGCTCGATGGACTCATTTAGTCGCCTGATTTTTGGATTCCGTATTAACCGACGGACTCGTTTAGGAGCGGCAAGTCGTCCATATCGAGCGTGGTCTTTCACAAGCTTCCGCCTAATGAAACCCTGTTTCTCGAATCCACCTCGCGTTTGCAGAAGGATTCTATGGCGTAAGTATATCCATTTCGGACCGTCCGCTGCAGAACGTGGTCTCCACACGAGACTGCGCTCTATCCCGTCGCCTGCTAAGTGCTCCATAGATCCTTCATGGACTTCCAAGTATGGGACTTTCCGGGCCAGATAGACTATTTGGAAGCCAGCAGCTTCGACCTCGATGCCATCTTCGGCGAGGTGGGCGCTTTGATATGGGTCATCGACTCACAAGACGACTACCTCGAAGCTGTCGCCCGCCTGAACAACACCATTCTCATCGTTGAGCGAAATTACCCCAACATCAATGTCGAGGTCTTCATCCACAAGGTCGACGGCCTATCCGATGATTTCAAGATGGAGATCCACCGAGACATTATGATCCGCGTGCAGGACGAACTCTCCGACCAGGGCTTTGAGAATGCCCCGGTCACCTTTCACCTGACGAGCATCTATGACCACAGCATTTTCGAGGCCTTTAGCAAGGTCATCCAGAAGCTGATTCCACGCCTAGGCCAGCTCGAGGCCATGCTGACGTCGCTCTGCCGTACCTGCCGCTTTGAAAAGGCCTATCTGTTCGACGTCCTCAGCAAGATCTACATTGCCACGGATAGCACCCCCGCGGATATGGCGTCATATGAGGTCTGCTCCGACTTTATCGACGGCATCATCGACATCACAGAGGTGTACGGCAGCTGGGACCGGCCCGAAGCGTACCACCAGCGCCTTGAGGCCACGCAGCATCAGCCTCTCGCCGACCAAATCGCTTGTCCCTGGGCAGAGAGCTGTATCGTGCTGGCAGACGGCAGTAAACCGATTCTGCTTCGCGAAGTGGACAAGTATCTGGCCCTGGTGGCTGTCATGAAGGAGGGCTCCTACGACAAGATCCCATTGATCAATATGAACGTCGACGTGGTGGTCAGGGGTCTGACTGAGTTTTTCCAAATCACCAAGCAGAAGAAGTAATACGAAGGGGTGGGTGAATCAAGCGAGCAGATGGGCAGACGAGGCGGTACTTGTAAACTAGAGGTGGTTTCTTGGCAGGGGTTTGCTTGCTTTGTGTGGAATCTTTGTCTTGACATTTTCAACGTCTTGATCCTTTGACCTCCAACTTCTATGCTGACCTGCCATCAAACATCTCGGCCACAGACGGAAGCGCAAAGGCGCGATATGTTGCCCCGTCTGCATATAGCAGTTGAACCCTTGCAGGCGTGCCGCTTCCGTCATCGCTAGTCTTTGGACCCAGCACCTCCATGCGGACAACGCGACCAGAGCTGCCAGCGCTGCTGAGGTCTGCCACCCAGCAGAGACCACTGGAAGTGAGGCCACCTCCTTCCCGGACTGTGCCGTGGTCCAGCTGGATCGTCTGCGGCTCTGTGCTGCCCGTGCTTCCTTCGGTATACTTTTCGTACCGAATGCTTGGTGATTGTACGGGTATGGCGACCAAAAGTGGCGGCCGGTCTGCAAAACGAGTCAGTGCATCTGGTCGAGTTGTCGGGTTGTCGGGTTGGGAATAAAGAACTTTAGCGCTTCACGTACCCGATGCCGTCCAAGTCCACAAAACAAGAATGAGCTCTGCGCCAAGGAAGCGGATGTCTGTAATGCTGCCGTTGCCAGCAAGTGCAACAGCACAGACCTGGGTCGATACAGCAGTGCTGATGCCACCCGACGTGGAAATGGCAGTGCGGAAAAGACGGACTATTGGAGCGGTCAGCTTCCGTCTTGGAGGTTGTGCCTTATACGTACAATCATTTGTGCTTTCGTCCGAGGTGATCACCGTGAATGCCAACACGTCCGCGCTCTCTTCCAGATCCTATGATTGTGAGCAGACGGTTGACATTGTAAAACGGGACAGACGACTCACAGTTTTCAGCACAGCCTTCATGGCAACCTCTGCTTGCTTCACCGGTGCCCCGACATCTAGTCGCGTCACAGGGCCAAAATGGACGTGGCGTCTGCCAGACTCGGCAATATCTTTCAGAGTCCGGTCGGCATGTGTTGCAAGCAGCTTAGTCAGGAACTCGAATTTGGGGAATGCCTTCATGTACTCAACTCCGGGACCCCCTTGCGTTTCCGGTTCGCGCCCATCGTCTTCCTCGTTGGCCGGCTCATTAAGCTGTAAGCCGTCTGCAGACTGTCGTTTCCCTTGTCTCTCTGTGGCGTCTTTTGCAGATGCTTTATCGTCACGCCGCTTCCGGGCTCCGTTCTTGGGCATAAGTGAGAGTCCATCCTCCACCCCGATGTTGTCGACTTTCTCCAGTTCTGCCTCTAGCTTGTCCATGAGGTTCTCGGAGCTCGATTCGATTGCCTTCCAGTCGGCATCCCAATCTGCCGTGGCGGTTTTGCCGAAGTGTAGATCAAGCGGGCTCGAAAGGAGGTGGTTCGTGATATAGTCCAATACCGGCGTTACGTTCATCACCGGCTCCTTTTCGGCCTGCTCTTCCGCCTGGCCCGGCAGCGCCAGTCGTTCAATCAGCAGCCGTAGCCAGGCCGAGAACATGACAAAAAGCTCCAGCTCGGACGTCACCAGAGCCAGGGCATTGTGCGATGCCACAATCAGACAAGACAGCATGTTTATGAGCCGCCCTATCTGATCTCCTGTAAATCCAATGTCGTCGTCGCTGTGAAACTCGGCCAAGCCTTGGAGACGACTCAGGGCCAGGCTTGCGCGATCGAGCGCCGGCATCATGTTCTCGTGGATGAGGTCACGGAGATTCTCCAGTCCAGACATGACTGCTTTGTCCCATCGCTTGTGACCCTATGGTTCATGTGTCAAAATAAGGACGCATCAAAGAAGACAGAGAGAAGAAGAGATGAAAGACCTACCCGCTCTGAGATGGTTTCCACGAGCCACAACTTGAGGGCTGGAGGAACGTAGCCTGTTAGCGCAGCAACACGCAGGGCTTGGTCGATGGTCTTGAAGCGAGGCTCTTGTTGTAGGTCCTCTTGAATGCTGACCAGGAATCGAGCGGGAAGTTCTCTGGCGGCTTGCCATTCGCCCTGCATGTGGATCTGGGTCTGTTTGATGTAGCGGAGGATTTTCTGGAACGTAGTGGCCTTATAATCGAGCAGCGACAGGTTCAGGGGCGAGGAGAAGATGAAGGAGAAGTCCATCGGTATGAGGTAAACAGCATTCACATCAGCGTCTTCGTTGGACAGCAACAGAGAGTGTGTCGAGCTGGCCGGATGGTTAGCGTGTCCACGAAGTCGAAGCAGCGGCTGCTGTGCCTCCGGATGTGTCCCCGAACTGAGCGGCAACGGGACTTTGAAGGTGCCCATGACAAAGGTGTCGTAGATGCAGACGTGGATGCCCCCATCATCGGTTCCTAACACCATGATATGAATGGCACCACCCTCGCTTGGTTTAAGAGCAGGGAACATGACCTCAAGCGACGTCCTGGTGGAAAATACAAACATATCATCTCTGGTCATGGTGCCTGATCTTAGCCAAGGCCTTCTGCGAGAAAGAGGCATGTACATGCTTTGCTTACCCTAAACCACCCGACACGGGCAGCGGTAACAGTTTCGGCAGGTCGTCCTCGACTTCCAGAAACATCAAGGTCCGTGGCAAGTCTAAGATGGCATCATTGTCCTCCTCGCCGAGGGTTTCCAGGACTTTGGCCTGCCAGGTTTCAGGGATACCAACCAGATTCTTAGACCAGCTGATAAAGGTAACAGTAGACGGCTCGCCCTCAAACAGGCGGATGAGATGGACAGCTTTGGAGCTCTCCAACCCGACCAGACGCACCACACCATCGTTCCAGGCTATGGCAAGGAATTGGCCTGTAGACAGAGTCAGAAAGCAAGTAAAAGCCGGCAATCGAATGCAAACCACTCACCATCGGCCTTCCATGCGACGGCCTGGACTTTTTTGTTTCTCTCAGACAATTTAGACACAACCTCACCGCCGCGCCTCCAGATGTACACGGCATTGCCACCTCCAGCGGTTGCAGTCAGGTCGATCGCCGGAGAGGCCGCAACAAGGTCTGCAGAATCAGCTGGTGGGCTGAAGACGCCCTGGCTGAAGAGCTGCACGCCTACAGAAGTGTCTGCCATTGAATGGGCCTCTCGGGTGAAGTTTCGTAGTTGTGTCTATGCCCACTGCCTTTTGCATACATGGCATATCCTGCACCACGCCGAAAGCATGTCCTGGCAAAGTCGGCTCTCTGAAAAAGCGATGTCTGTCTTCTAGCTGGGCAGCGCGTCTTTAGAAGTCGCGTTTATGCCGCTTGTAGTTTCGACCACTATAATTGAACACAGTGCTTTCCCCTCCCCCACCTAAAGCGCTGGAAGCCGCTGTGGTGACCTTGAGAAAAACGAGCTTCTAGTGCAACGCGACAGTGAATATCACAGTGTGTATTTAGATATCAAACGGACCTCTCGTTAAGAGCTAGAATGGTCCGTGCGCCATCTCTAGACCACCAATCAATTCCGATCCATTTCGAGCCGAACTTCTGACTTCACGAACCGGCTTTTGACCTTCAGCGCCGCAACATCGCACCCATTCGCACCGCGCCACCCTCTCGCCACCGCATCCATTGACCTATTTGCCGACCAATCAAGACGCAATCATGGCCGGCCTTCAGCACTTCAGTACGAAACCACGACGCATGCCGTAAGAGGGCACGAAGGGCGAGAGGACTTTTGCTGACCAGACGATTTCTTTGCAGAGATGGACTTGGACCCATCGATCGTCAAGCTGTCCAGTATGTTTTCCCGTGGCTTTGACTCTGCTGAGTTTTTCGCTGTCCAGGTCGACAGCATGATTTTCATCGCTGACTCCCGCGCAAACAGACATGACCAACAACCGGTACAAGTACTTCCGGTGGACGCCACGGACAGCATGGCTCTCGTTCTTTTACATCGGACTGGTGCCGTCGCTTCTCGGTGTCGTCGCATACAAGACAGAAGTCAGTATTATCCCCCGGCTCATTCTTGAAGTGGGCGAGACGGTTGCATATGTATGCTGACGTATGGTCTCGATAATGCAGGGCAAGTGGAATATGCGGGCGAAGCGGAGGGGCGACACGATCTCCGAGTTTTAGATTCGCAGATTCGCAGATTCACAAACTACGCATGTGAAATGGCGACTGTGAGGAGAGGGATAGCTGTACATATACACAATGCTGAAGAACTGGACCGCAATCGCTAGTATGGACATAATTGTAGATTCTCTGAAGAACTGTTGCCATCCGGATATCGAAGCTTTGGCAACCGCTGTCTACCATCGCCCACCACGTCCTCGACCGCCTCGACTCCAGGGCCCATCAGGCACTCTTTCGCCACGGCGCCAGTCACCAGCCGGGACGCGAGGATCAGTCCACAGGCCCGGTCCTCCGCCCGGCCCTCCGTTCGGACCAGAACCTGCTCCTCCTCCGCGTTTCCACCTCCGGAACTCGTCGCGCCGATCACCACCACCGCCTGGAGGCATCATGGTAGTCCGCCCCTCACCAGCGCCGGATCCGCGGCCGCTGCGCGCAGTAGAAGCTGGCGCAGCAGAACCGTCTGGCAGTGGCGGCAGAATGGCGCACGATATGTAGTCACCAACGACAAACCGGGCATCTGCAAGCGTCTTGCGTCCATCGTCGGAGTTGGGGGACGCCAATGCAACATAGCCTTCGCCCCCAATCACCACGCTGCCAAGGTCTCTAACAGCAAAGCGTATAGGTCCTGGCCTGAGACCTCCCGGACCGCCGCCTTCAGTTCCGCTTTCGGCGGCGCCACGCGTGTCGACATATACGAGACGAAATGCAATGCGCGTGCCGACAGCAGGAGCCGGTAAGACGGCCTGTTCACCGCCAGCCAGGTGACAGGCAAGCTCGTCGAGGCTGTATGTCGGGAAAGCATAGACGGGCACAAACGGCAGCAGTTGGGGCGTAGAGAACTCGTCAAGCCTAAAGCAAGAAGGTATTCCGGTTAACAAACGGTAATAAGGAAAGCGGTCAGCAGGGCCCGCTCCCACCTGTGAAAGGCCCCGGTGCGGTAGAAGAGCTTGAGCAGAAAAGGGCAGGTCGTGCGGCCCTCAAGGCTGGTGGCAGCCATTTGAAGATATATCGCCCTGAAGTTTCTCAGATATTCTATCGACCGGGTCCGAGAAGTTCTCAATGGCTGGCGCCTTTATCCCGTGTATCCTCTGCATCCCGTCAAAGGACGCGAAGGGAAGGTAGACGTGCAGGCTGTCGTCAGTTGCGGCTGAATTCGAATGCTCGGTTTTGAAGCTTTGAAATTAAAAGGGCAGAAGGCTGAGTTAGGCGCGGTGCAGTCAAGGAATAGTGTTGTAGCTTAGTGATAAGTGCCATTTTTAGTGGAGACCAGCCCGAACGACTCAGTATTAGGCACTGAGCAGCATTTTCCCTCCGGCTAAATTATAGTCCAGTTCGCGACAACATCGTGATCGAGCGTTCAGGCTACAAAGACACCTGACAGACGGCACTCTACCCCGAAGCGACACGAAACTGAGAAAGAGCATAACGATCTTGCACAGGACCGCTGTCCCTCCCTTCCATCGCCATGGACTTTGCGTCCTTGATGACAGCACAGATCGCCAAAAAGAAAGGCAGCACTACCAAGAGCGGCGACAGCAGCAGCGGCAGCGACAGCAAGGATGCGGTGACGCAGCAGAAAAGGTACATACGCAACGGCGAGGCCGAGGAGCGACGGAGGGCCGAGTACCTGGCAGCGCAAAAGGCACGCGACGCCGAGCGAGAGGCCAAGGCGGCCGTCAAGCGGAAGCGCGAGGAGGAGGCGGTCGAGGAGAAGCGGATCCGCGAAGAGAAGCGGCGACGACTGGCGGAGGAGTCGCGGATACGACGTGAGGCCCGTGAGGCGGAGGAAGAGCGCGCTCGACGAAAGCGCCTGGGGCTGCCGGAACTGCCAGCGGCCGGCGAGGCCGATGCAGACGGCAGCAACAGCAGCAACAAGGACGACACGGCCGCGGACGAAGGCGAGGACCTGCCCGAGGACGAGCTGCGCAAGGCACTGCGAGAGAATGGCGCGCCGGCCGTGCTGTTTGGCGAGACGCACGGCCGGCGACTGCGGCGGCTGCGGCAGATCACGGCGGCCGCTACGGCCCAGCTGGCTAACCTGCCGGTGCCGACGATCCTGGCGTCTGTGGCCGAGAAGGACATGAAGGTACCAGCAGTGCCAGATATCCCGCGCGACCCGGCCGGTCGCAAATACCTCTTCCGCCAGCTTGCCAGCTACTTCAACCTCGTGCTGCGCGAGTGGCAGATGGCCCTGCTGGAGGCGACGCCCACGGCCGACGACGAGACTGAGGCCAGCCGGGGGGCTCGCTCTATCATGGAGCAGAGCCGGACGGCTATCAAGCCGGTACGTATTTTGCTATTTTGCTATTTTGTCTATTTTGTCTTTTTCTTTCTTTCTTTCTTTCTTTCTTTCTTTCTTTCTTTCTTTCTTTCTTTCTTTCTTTCTTTCTTTCTTTCTTTCTTTCTTTCTTCCGTTCTTCCTTCTTTGTTTCTCTCGTGTCTAACACATCGTCACAGCTCTTCCGACGCCTGGAAAACGGTGATATGGACGACAAGATCCTGGCGGCCATCGTCGAGATCGTGCACGCAGCACAGGAGCGGCGATATGTCGACGCAAACGACGCCTACCTGCGCCTCAGCATCGGCAAGGCCGCGTGGCCCATTGGCGTCATCATGGTGGGCATCCACGAACGTAGTGCGCGCGAGAAGCTTCACGGCGGCGACAAGGGCAGCGTCATGACCGACGATGTGACGCGCAAATACGTCCAGAGCATCAAGAGGTGTCTGACGTTTGCCCAAGTGCGGTGGCCGCCCGACGACGCGAGCCAGCTGATGGGCTGAAGAGCTTGGCAGGCGATACATCATGAAAAAATAATCGGGAAGTCGAAGAGCCAGCAGCGAAAAAAAAAATGGCGTTTTGGTTCATGGAACGGCGTCTTGCTCGCCAAAGACGAGAGGCGTTGATGAGTGTTTTTGTGCGAGCGGCATCGCCAAGTTTGTATATATGTTTCTGCACGTAGTTTGATTGTCTTCGGTGCAGTATGGACCACCTCTTATAAGCATGTGGATTGTACGCAATGGTTGCGTGGTCTAGGTAGACACAATTTCTAGTTTTACCAAAAGTGGCAGAACCTGACTTCAATAATCTGCATCATAGGGCCAGCAAGGTTGCTACAGTACTCCGTACAACCTGTCAGGAATCTCTGGTGAGAAAGATAGACAGCAGTGGCCCATCCACGATGCCTATCCTTGGCCATCATGTCTCGTTGACTGAAGACTCATACCAGCTATCGGAAACATCGGGCATGGCGGCATGCTGCCTCCGGGGGCCTTTTACTCCGAGGTCGGCAGCAAGAAGACTCATCCTGCGAATCCGCTCAGTTGCCTCCTTGTTAAATGCGGTAAAGGCGTCCAAGCCTTGCCTCTGCATCTTGACTCGTGGGTTTTCTTTGGTCGTAACAACCAGCTAATTCGAGGCCAATAGTCAGCGAAGAAGTCCATCCGCAGATTGTGGGAGGAAAAGAGACTGACCCTGTTGATCGAGTCGATGCGGGCATCAATGACGCTATCACGAATCATAGTAGCCAGCTCTTCTTCTACGGACCCGCCAGGCTCCGCAAACGCCGCATCCATACTTGCCAGAGTGACACAGGAGAACGGTATGAGGTACTGGCTAATGCACTTGACCCGTATCTGCTCATAGAGGGTGCTAACATGCTTCTGCAGGTACAGGTCTAGCAGATAGTCCGGTCGGTAGGATGCGAGGATCGAGAGGCACGCAGCGTAACGACCGTTGACAAATTGCGCAATGGCTCGGCGGATGTGCGGTTCTAGTTCTAGGTACGATCGAAACCTAGAGTTCTCTAGCACCTTGGTCTGGAGATCTTTCCGGTCCATGGATGCGAGTGCTAGCAAGCCGCCGTATACTGCGACGTCGTTGCCCGTCATCATTCCACCGGTCACCTTGGCAATCGAAACGCTGCTCTCAACTTCTAGGAACAGCTTAGCTGCTGTCAGGTACTTAGACTGGCCGAGATAGGCGAGTCCAGTCATGGAGCGCAAGTACGGCAAGTAGGACTTGTCTTCCTCGCTTCCTTGCAATCCAGTAACCTTGTTCAAATGCCCGACTGCTCCTGGCCAATCTCGTCGCTCGATCGCCACGCTGACGAGGTGCTTGCCAACATCGACAATGTGCTTCGGCGTGCTGACGTCTGGCCGCATGCGATTATATGCCTCGGCAGCTCCGGCAAGGTCGCCGATCGATTGCAGATGCTTTCCTAGCTCTTCGTGACCCATCTTGTAGAGTAGCTAGGTCAGCACACGGCAGAAAATGTATGGGGCCATGGAAGACCCAGAAGGCGGTACCAACCCGAATGCTCTCCTTCACCAGGTTATTTTTATAGGCCTTCAGCTCTTTCTCGAGATGCTTGGTCTCTGCTGTGTTGGCTGCCTCGGTGGCGTCGATCCATTTCTTGTCCAACTGTGCCAGAGCATCGTTGGGTGCTGCAACCCGCATGTAATTCCATGCCTCTCGGTAACGACGCACATCCTTCCCCTTCTTCGCCTCAATCACCGCGGCTTTGAGTGAATCGACGCACAACGAAGGGGAGCATTGTCCGATCAGAAGGAGTCGCTCAAATCGTGATGCACCTGCGGGTAGCACGTTAGAGGAGAAGCTGCAGAATGTCTTGGGCGGAGCCGGGAGTGGGAGGCAAGCCTTTGTAGTTCTGAATGTAGGATTCCAAGTCAAACTTTGGTGGTTCTAGCCGATCGATAAAACAGCATCGGGGTCAGCATTTGCTTTTGCTTCTGGGGTCGCACCAATTGGGTGTATGGCTTCCCCAACACCCACCTTGTACAATGATGCCGCCCTCGTTGTGCATCAACGCGAAGAAGGCCTCCAAGCCAGCTTCTCCATCTGTTGCCGCCATCTCTATGGCGTCCTTGTCCGAGACTGCCAGGCGCTGATGAGGGTCTGATTAGTTGTCGGGATTTGATGACGTATTGGCCTGCCTAATTTACAAACTCCCAATCCCCGCTTTGGAGGACCTTAGTCTTGTCCAAATCTTGGCTCACGTGACCAGTGATAGCGTGAGCATTTCTGACTAATCTGGTTTGTTTACTTTCACCCCGCGTTCGCGCCCCAGGTATGTTTCTCCATACCCTCCCTTTACACAGGCTCCGTACGGAGTACCAATTGTTTATTATAAAGAAAACCAAAGTATGTCTGTTTTTTCCTGCTTTCGTAGGAGCCTGTAGTTATTGATTTCTTTTAATAGGAACCAGCATAAAGACTGGCGTAGAGATTGACATTAATGAATTCGCTCTCAATGTGACTAGTTTTCGCAACTGGGAGGTAGTGCGGTAAATAGTAAAGATGGGAAGACAGACACCCAAGAAAGCAGTACGCTATTAACTCCAGTTATTTAATGCTACCGCTTATTCCAGTGTGCTCGCTCTCTAGTTCGAAAAAGAATAATGCTGCTATATTTTGCCGGTCAATGTGATCTTATCGAGAAAGCGTTCCTTCCCACGAAGCTCTTGTGGCGGAGAAGTCGGCTAGCATTCTGATTAGCCTGTGCACACAGCAATTCTCATGACAATGCTGTCGACGAGAACTCAAGGACAGCTGTTTAATTGCCCTTTGGAGCAGACACCTTCTAAGAAAACTGCTGCTTTCTCTTCATTTCATTATTCCATCAAAACCTGCGCATGTGCATTCACAGAAAAGAGGTGTATCAATCACCCATTGAACGTGGCCAGGGATGTTTTGCCTTGCTTGCAATGTACATGGTCAAAGATAGAATTACAAGTAGTAGAATTTCGTGTTCTATCTTCCAGCGGTACTGATGCCTTCATATCAATTGTGGCCTTGTATTATCTCCGCCTCGTCAGCGAAGGCAGTGTTCCGATACTGCATGCTGTCCCGGGTTATCTGTGCATGTAGTAACCTTCCGTTGCAGGAAGGTGCAAAGAGCTAGCTGCTCTCGTAATCCGCCCTATTGTCCGGCGGCTCTGGCAATATTATGTCTTGCTGCCAGATCCTTTCCCCCTGCATCGCGCACTTTTCTGACAGAGACAAGTCATCATGGGGTCTCTCTCTTCTCTTCTCCAGCTTCATGTTTAATGTACGATTTCGAAACCAGAATTCAAGCTTCTAGAAATAGGAATCGCTAAAGGTGCGACTGGCCGTCGCAATCAGCCGAGAATACGAGCTCAGATACATACTAAGAGCAATCACTCATTGCGATAGCTGTGCTGCTTTAGCGGGGACCCCTAGGTGTTTTATGGAGCTTGGAACCAGTAGCCACGGAAACTGGGTATCTCGCTCCTCTTGATTGCCTGCCTGGCTATTGAGCAACCCCTTTGGCCTGTTTCTTCCACGAACAGCAAACCCAAAAAAGGCAGTCAATCGCAAATATGGTTTTCGGTAGAAGAAAAAAGGGCGCTTCATCTGCGGCCAATGGACTCATTTCCCACGATCTGGTTTTCGTGGAAGAGTTTGACGCGCTGTATGTGGCTGATTATACGTCGACGACGCGCCCATATTCCGAGATGACCATCTAATGCCCTTCGCAGGTCAATTGAAGTGAAGCTGGGGACCGCGCTGGCCGCTCCCCACAATGCGAGTCTGAAGTTTCCCGGTTCGTCTTGAAACCGACATATCCTGTAGCAGAGACACATGTATGGTTGCTAATAGAAGTTGCTCAGCTAAGCTGCACGCCCGCAAGGTCGCAAAGGAGCTGGGTATCGCTGAGGGCCTTATTTATCTTCCCGGACTGCCGTCCCTGGTATACGAGGACTCCGACATGGGACCCGCGTTTCGACAGAGACGATAGTAAGGACAGCTTGGTCCATTGCCGATCTGGCTTTCCTCTTTGGTATCTTCACATGCTAACCCGGCTTACAGCTTCTACTATCTCGGCGGCGTGGATTACGAGGACTGTGCCGTGACCTATGATCTGGCTAGCGACAACCTAGTGCTTTGGGTGCCCTACATCGATCCGCGCCAGGTTCTGTGGTACGGCTCGGGCCCAAAAATAGAAGAGTGCAAACAGGCTGTCGACATTGACGACGTCCGCTATGTGCAAGACCTGGATGGCTTTCTGCGCAAGCGGCTGGGTGTTTCCGGCTCCGGTATCGTCAGCGCATCTGTTGGCAGTAGCTTCTGCTGCGACAGGAAGGGCCTTCGCGTTGCCAACGCCGACTCTGCGCGGCCATCGCCAACAGTGCTGCTCGTTTTGCACCCAGATCAGGTGCCGGCGTGGCTGCGGCAGGATGTGAGCGGCTTCTCTTCTGTTCGTGTAGACACTCGGAAGCTGCAGCCGGCCATGGATTCCGCACGTGTGGTCAAGACCGCATACGAGATTGCTCAGATCCGCCAAGCCAACGACGTGAGCTCGTCGGCCCATCGCGAGGTGCTGCACCGGCTTAAGGGCCTTAGCAACGAGCGCGAGATCGAGGCTGTCTTTCTCAATCACTGTCTGGCCGTCTACGGCGCCAAGCACCAGTCCTATGGTGTCATCGCCGGCTCGGGTGCCAATGCTAGCGTGCTGCACTACTTCACCAACGATGAGCCGCTGGCGGGCCGCCAGCTCGTATGCCTCGACGCCGGTGCCGAGTGGAAGCTGTATGCATCGGACGTTACCCGCACATTCCCCATCTCGGGCGTCTTCACTGCCGAGGCGGCCGCCATATACGCCGCTGTCGACCGCATGCAGACCGAGGTCATCGAGCAATTCCAGCCGGGTGTCGCCTTCCGGGACCTGCACCTTCATGCCGCTAGTGTGGCCGCAGAGGAGCTGCTACGCCTCGGAATTCTCAAGAACGCAACTGTTCAGCAAATCGTCGCTGCCGGCACCATCGCTGCCTTCTTTCCCCACGGCCTCGGCCATCACGTCGGCCTCGAGGTCCACGATGTACTCTCGCCCGAACTTATGGCGGCAGCACCCAAGGCAAGCGCCGCAGCTAGGGAGAGTCAGGAGATGGAAGCTCGCGCTGCTGCTGCCGCCTCTTCAATCCCGGCGCTGTCTTCATTGTCCGGCCGTGGTACCAATGCCCGCGGAAAGAGGCTACTTGTGACACCCCACATGTATGCCACACTCGCGCGCGACGCCGCCATCGAGGCCGAGAGAGCAGCAGTTATGTCGTCCGTACGGGAGAAACGGCGGCTGCTGGAACCGGGCATGATCATCACCGTGGAGCCAGGCATGTGAGTGGAAGAAGTCCCCTTCGTTTATTTCCTCCTGACGAGTCTTGACACTGACTTGAACGACCGCAGCTACTTCTGCCGTCCTTACATCGAGGCCTTCTTCCTGGCCGATCCATCGCACGCTCGCTTCATCGACAAGGATGTCCTAGAGCGGTATTACGCGGTAGGAGGCGTGCGCATCGAGGACTGCCTACTAGTGACGGAGGATGGCCACGAAGATCTGACGACGGCACCTAAGGGTGAAGAAGCTCTGCGGATCATCAACAGCAACTGATGCAAGAAGGGGGTTGGGAGCAACGCTGCTGCTGCTGCTGCGCTGCGTTGCTTCTACAGTACATTGCTATTGTACGGTTATTTTTCCACATGTGCCTATTTTGTATAATTTTTGCCTAGTCACTTTTGCGCAGGTCTCATGCCATAATCGAATAATCGAATAAGCAGGCCGTCCAAGTCGGCCCGTTTTTGTTTGTTTGCATTCTAACAGACCTCGTCCTACATCATGCCCTCATCGCTCCAGCCAATGCAGTTGCTCTCTAGTACACATCACAGCTATCTGGGTTACAAGCATCTGCCCAAAGGACAGCCCAAGCAAAAAGCCACGTCTAGCGCCATGACTCCGGTATGAACTAAGTAAAAAGGTGACAAACACTCAAACATTGACAGAAAGAGCCCCCCTTCCCAAGGCAAAGGGCGGTCCGTTTTGCCAGAACTCGTTTTCGCGGCCATCGCCGCCCTCGCCGCCATCATCACAGGTACTTCTTAGGCGAGTTCGCCTTGTGTCGCTTGTACATGAAGTAGGAGACAACAAGGAAGATCTGGCCGCTGATGATGACCAGGATCAGGCGCATGTGGCCAGGGTGCCGAAGCTCCTCGGCCAGCTTATCGTGGTGGCCGGCCAGATTGCCCGACACGTGGGTAAGGAGTGACTTTTCGGTGTTGGACATGGATTTGCGCAGCTCGACGTTCAGCTGCTTCATGTCGCGCTCCATCTTTTCCACCTTGGCCTCGATCATTCCCAGGCGGTCCAGCTTGGCGTTCATGCTCGAGAGCAAGTCCTTGAGCGCGCCCAGCTGGATGGATATCTCCTCGTGTCGATGCTCGCCCACAGCGTCGGTGGTAGCCATCTTATGGAACATGATCGTCAAGTGGTGGTTGATGTCCTGCAGCCGGTTGTGTAGATCGGCAAACTGCGCATCAGAGCTGGCGTACACGCTGGGATCTGCGTCCGGGATATCCTCGCCAAAAGACTCCTCCCCTCCTATAGTGCCTCCAGACACCTCGGTGCCCTCTGTCTTGCCCTTGCTAGCTGCACCACCTTGCTGCTGCTGCTGCTGCTGCTGCTGAGAGTTGGAGTCTGTCTTCAGAACAACGAGTTTAAAGATCTCGGCCGAGTCCGGGTTGTCGGCAGAAGCTGCCGTGATACCAAAGTGGTAGCCCATCGGAATGACGATACTATCGCTGCCGAAGCACGGCTTGTCGTCAATATCCACCTGGAAGGAGCGTTCCGTCTGCCGGATCTTGATCTGCGACGGCCGGCCCAAATTGCGGTATGCGTATTCGCAGTGACCAAACGCCAGGCCATCGATGCCGGTGAGCGCTCTGTATTCCTTGGTGCCGTCGTTAAGGTAGCCACGCAGGGCTCCGGTGCCAGTCGGGCCAGATGTGTCCAGTACCAGCACCAGGCCCTCGAACCGTCCGACTGTGTAGACGCTGCTCGTTCCGACTGCGTATTGTCCGTCCTTCACCAACCAGATGTTGACGTTGCCACCTCCCCGCTCTGGTCCGCTGACGCGCAGGTCGACGTCGGCTATCCAGGTGGGGACGTCGAGCTTCCGGTCGGACCAGACGGCACCACGCTGGCCGCCAGGCGCCGGGGCAGCAGGAGTGAGGATGAGCTTGTTCGACAGAATCTCGGGTATATGAGGCTTGCCCTCGAGCTCAAAGTTGGGGATAGTTCGGGAGTTTTCCGGGGCTATCCTGAGAGGATGTCAGCATTTGCTAGCCTGGTGGCTTTCATGAAAGTGGTCCGTACCGGCCATCGTGCCCAAAGCTGAGCTCATTTATCAGTGTTTGAGCATGTGCTGCGCCAGCCAAAAGGCCCCATGCCAGTGTCGATGATGGCAAGTGCATGGCTGCTGTATTCTCTGCCTTTGAGCTTCTTGTGTAGTTGTTCGGCTGTGGAAAGATCAATCGAGCAAGACTTGGTTGGATAGGGGTGATGTGAAGCGGAAGACGAAAAGTCGTCGTGCAAAGTGGTGTGGACGAAGAAGACGGATTACGAGAATTATCGAAGATCGCCGGGAGCTTGGACAAAGGACAGCTTGCAGCTGCGACTGGGCACTAAAAATACGGCAGTCCTCTGGAATAGGAAGGATTCGACACCGTGGGGTCTACGGAGTTCAATTGCTGACGGCCCGTCCTTGTTTCATCTGGCGTGCGAATTTTGTCAGGGCGCGAACGGACTTTCCTACGATCAACGGTCGAGGAGGGAAGCCGTTCGCGTAAATGCTAATACGAGCATCTCGGGCCATCCAGAGCAGAATTGAAGCTTATATCGCTAGTACATTAGTGGGCTTTTCGCGACCGTTTCAGGCCACACGCACTTGAGACACGGCGGAAGGCAGCTCCTGGAATGTCACAGCCAAAAGAAAGTATGCGCAGGGGCCCTATTTCCGTAAGTAGCATAGCGCCTAGCTCCACGATCGAACCTGGTTCTCGAACATTTTCCGGGTGTCCTGCTGTATGGCGCCTGCCACCCCTGCAGAGCAAGAGTGTCACTCCGTATGGAGCACTCTCCTACGACGTATTATAGGGGGCTGACTCCTGGACTCAGGATCTTGTGGCTGGTGCCAGGCGGTCGGACGTGTGGCGCCGTATTTGCCGCTCAACGCTCGTACGAACTCGCGCTCATAAGGCGCTGACGCTAAAACGCCCGAGGGAAGCTCTGAAAAATAGGCGAGACAAATCAAAAGAACAGAGCTTCGCTCACGCGTAAAGGCTCACAGGCGCTCCGGCCACGACAGGACAAGAACAAGAACCGACCGACAAGACATGTCGCTATGGCGGCAGAAGTATACCCGTCAATTGCGCAGTGCGCACTGGTAGCTGCAGCCTTCAAGATCCTCTTGTTCCCGGCATAGTAAGTGTGACCGCCTGGCTCGTCAAGACACGACAACTCGGTCGGACCGGAATCTGACCTCTGGCAGCAAATCGACCGACTTTGAAGTCCACCGAAACTGGCTGGCCATCACCCACAGTCTGCCAATATGGGACTGGTACTACGAGAAAGCAACGTCGGAATGGACGCTCGACTACCCGCCCTTCTTTGCCTACTTTGAATGGATCATGTCCCAGGTGGCTGCCCTCGCCGACCCGTTGATGCTGCACGTCTACAACCTTAACTACGACAGCTGGCAGACGGTGTACTTCCAGCGCTCGTCAGTCATCGTGACCGAGCTCTTCTTAGTCTTTGCCCTGCAGAAGTACGTCGACTCGTGCCATGGACCTGCCGCGAAGCGAGCTGCCCAGGCTGCGGCCATCTCGATCCTGCTTTCGCCCGGCCTTTTGATCATCGACCACATCCACTTCCAGTACAATGGCTTTCTCTATGGCGTTCTAATCTACTCGCTCGTCCTCGCCAAGAAGAAAACCACACTGCTCGGCAGCGGCCTCGTCTTCGCCTCGCTGCTCTGCCTGAAGCACATATATGCCTACCTGGCGCCTGCATACATCGTCTTTCTGCTGCGCACCTACTGTTTGTCGCCCAAGTCAATCTTTCGGATTCAGTGGCTCAACTGCGTCAAGCTCGGAAGCGGCATTTCCGCTATTGTCGGCGTCGCATTTGGGCCGTTTGCCCTTCGCGAACAGATTCCGCAGATTCTCGGCCGGTTGTTTCCGTTTGCGCGCGGTCTTTGCCACGCGTACTGGGCACCCAACGTCTGGGCCATCTACTCCTTCGCCGACCGGCTCTTAATTCCCCGTACGTCCTCTGTCCCCCGTGGTCTGTCTTCTTTTGCGGCACTAACAGTCTAGTCGCTCCACGCTTGGGCTGGGAGTTGAGAGCAGACGCGCTCAACAGCGTGACTCGGGGTCTGGTGGGCGACACAACCTTTGCGGTGCTGCCAGACGTCAGCCCGCGGATGTGCTTCATCCTCACGGTGCTCTTCCAGGTCATGCCGCTGCTGAAACTCTTCTTGCAGCCGACCTGGGACAACTTTGTCGGAGCGTTGACGCTGTGCGGGTATGCGTCCTTCCTCTTTGGCTGGCACGTGCATGAGAAGGCGATTCTTCTGGTCATCATACCATTCAGTCTTCTGGCGCTTAAGGACCGGCGCTATCTCAGTGCGTTCCGACCGCTGGCCGTAGCGGGACACGTGGCTCTCTTTCCGCTGCTCTTCACGCCAGCTGAGTTTCCGATCAAGACGGTCTACACCATCTTCTGGCTGGTGGCGTTCCTGCTCATCTTTGACAGCCTGGCGCAGGCCTCGCGGCAGCCGCGCTTCTTCCTCTTTGACCGGTTCAGCACGCTCTACATTGCGATCAGCATCCCACTGATTCTGTACTGCTCGTTGCTGCACAAGCTGGTGTTTGGGGGGCAATACGAGTTCCTGCCGCTGATGTTTACAAGCTCCTACTGTGCCATCGGCGTTGTCGGCAGCTGGGTCGGCTTTGTAGTAGTGTATTTCACCTCATAAGCTAGAGGCATATCAAGGCGTGCAGATAGAAAGCCTAACGAAAGCATGAATTTGCAAAATGAAACATGGGTTGAGAAGATGTGAAAGAACAAGAGAGGCAGACGAGGCTGCAAAGACACAGCGTGCATGTGCCACGGAGCGCAGCAGAGTTTCCGCACAATCCGTCGCGGACGACAATCGTGCCGTGGTTGCTGTAGGCAGCAAGACGCCCAGTGCGTGCATGTCGGTTGCGTCCGGCGGGCGGTCATCTGCTGGGGGCCCCTCCTTGTCGGGGAGGGCACATTATACTGGTAAAACTAGAGGTGAAGTCGGCGTGTGGCTGGGAGCACGTGACACACTAACTACTTAAGGCAAGCGTGCGTGTTAATGGATCTGACAAGCCACAATTTCCCATGTCAACCAACGGGTGCGGCCTGCAGAATGCAAGGCTGAAGAAATTCGCATACTAATTAAGAGCGCTCCTAATTAATAGCTGCCTCCCAAGCACCCATTACGTACTGCCGGCAGTAGTAACGATCTTAGAACGCCGCCCCAAGCTCTTAATAACGGGTCACGACAGAGCATTCGTAGCGCAGCTTAAATTTTCCTATAGGAGAAGCAAGGAGAAATGTTGAAATGATTGGACAGGATGCATAGGCTTTTGCCGGGGTGTTGTCGTGGGAAGCCTAGGTCAGCTGGGCCGGAAACCCGGAGCTGGCTTCTCGGACGGTAAGATACTTTGAAATCGACGAGGGAAAGAAGACGCGTAGAAAAAGGGTTTGTCGGATGCCAGCAAGCAATAAGGCAGCCATGGATTGCGAGTGGCAGGCTGGGCGGGACCGGTGGAGGCGAACGGGTAGAACGGCGAGAGGGATGATCATGCTGTTTTATGGGGGAGTGTTTTATTGCTGCCGCTTTGGCTACCCACAATGCACACCGTCTGCCGAACACGCAATGACGGGTGCACGGGTGGAGGAGAGGAGCAAAAGCGGCGTGTCCGTACTCAAAAGAAAGCGGCGGTCGCGAGGATCACAACGAGTACAGGAACATGGCGAGAAGGCAGGGTCGCCGTGGTGGAGCAGCGATGCAAGCAATGCCGGTCAGGGGGGGTGGGAATTGGAGCGTGGAGGAGGGCGGCGAGAAAAGCGCGCCCGTCTCCAGCAAGGACGCAGCGGCAGGACCTCGCAATCGCCCAGTCGACTATGGCACACGGCAGCTCGGCCGTCCTGCCAGCCGGCTTCGTGTGCCATCGCAGGCAGACGAGAGAGGGAGGCAGGAAGAGGCAGGAACGAGGTAGGGCGTGCAAGCGCGGATGGGGGGAGAGAGCGAGCGAGGGGGGCGGCCAGGGAAGGATGGAAAGGGAAAGCGCCAGCTGTTGGTGGGGGACCCACTCCGCGGGAGCGGTACCTTGCGCGCGTGCTGTCGTAGTTGCCCTTTGCTCCTGCTCGGCTGCTGTGTGCTGTTATTTTCCGTGTTTTTTTTTAAATCTCGCTATGCCCGTTTAATGTAATTTTCCCCCCCAAACTCGCCTGCGAGAGAGAGGCTCACTGCCTGTTGCTGCTGCCAGTTGCCTCCGCCCGCCGCCGCCTCCGCTGCCTGCCGACACCTGCCTCGACTTATTTTTTTCCCACGCTCCCCTGGACCCCCTTGTCGTTCCACTTCCCTCTTCTCTTCTCCTCGTCCTCCCCGTCCTCTCCGTCCTTCCTTCTTCGTCTTCCTTTTCCATCCACCTTCTCGTCCACGTTTGACGGCCTGTAGTCATTTGCGTACTCAATCAAAGCCATCGTCATTTCGCCTCAGCACCGGCTCATCCTCATTTTTAGCCTCTCCGTGCCTCTCCTCATCCGTCTGCCATCCACCACCGCCTCGCATACCGCATCCTCTCCAGACCCAACAGCCGTCACCGGCTGCCACGACTCTCGTCTTGTCTCTGCTCTTCTCTCGTCCTCTCCAGCTCCCCTTCTCCTCCTCCCCTCTGCTGCTGTATTCCTCCCGTCTTCTCGTCGTGTTATTCCCCCATTGGACCGTGTAAGTCGTTACGTTTCTGGCCTCGCCACTGACAAACCCTATCCGCAATGTCGATTAATACGCCTCATCTTCTCTCCGCCCTCTTCCGCTTCTAGCTCTTCCCTCTGTCCTCTTACCTCACCACAAATCCGTGAGCGCACTGTCCCAACACAAAACCGCCCCCCCTTTGCTCTCACTTCCCTCTCCCCACTTCAGCCACGGTCCCGAGCTAAGAAGACACTCCGTGCTTCCTGTTAAATCAATCCACCTCCACAACAATACGTTCGTCCCATATGACACTACCATTCGAGACACGCTCTCATATATATATATATATATACCACTACACTCCTCGCCTCCTTCAACCCCTCCCCCCCTCCCCCCCCCTAAACCCACCTCCCTTCCCCCAAAAATTTCTACCTCCCACTTCCTCTTCAAATACACTCAACTCTTACTCCTACCCTGACCACAATATTCACTTTTTCTAATTATCCCCATTTCTGCATCGCGTCCACCTTTTGTTCAATCGCTTTGAAGTCGCGGCTCTCTCCGCTCTCCAGGACTAACACGTCCTTCTAAGAATTATACAAACGGGTCGGACAATACGCAGCTCTGGCGAAACGACCTTCTACAATGGTACGTCTGCTATGCAATCTTTCCTTTACTTCATCCCACTCCCCACTCCCTCGTCTCTACCCTACGATCTCGGGCTGGTGGTCTTGATATATGCTCCTGCCCAATCGCACACACACCTCCGTTTCTTCCACGTTTCTTCTCCGGCTTGCATTCTCACGCCCAATTCTGCAGGTGCTGTTCAAGCGCAAACCCGTGCGGTTCGAACCACCTCCAGCGCTCAAAGATGATCAAGAGGTTGGTTGAAACATGGTCCTGCTATCTGCAGAATGCGCCCATACTGACTTTGGGCCTTGCTCGTATTTAGGTGTGGTATATAGAGAAGACGGGCGAGGTCTTCACCACATACGAAGACTATCTGGCAAGGTTTGTTTTTCTAGCTCTTCCCTACTTTGCTTAGACACGGCACTAACTTGGTGTCTAGAATGGACTTCTACAAACAGGTAAAATAAAAAATAACCCTCTCGATCTTTGCTAATTTTGGGGGAAGCTGGCAAAGCGACGTCTTGCTAACTGCCCGTAGAAGCGGTTCAACTGCCAAATCACTGGACACTCTAACCTCTCCTTTTTCGAGGCATTGGAGAGTGAGGTTCGTACCCCCCGCCCCTGTTGTTCTACCCGTCTGGAACTAGCAGATCTGCTTTGTGGATGTCTGTCCCCTAATGCGTCTCACTTCCAACAGCGAGCCGGTGCCGCCGAGGTCGAGCAAGCCTTTCCCGAAGCCCTCAAGGGACCCGTCCTTCGCCGCGTCCAGTTCCAGACAGTCTCCCGCATTGATACTCTGGTCGACCAAATCTACGACGAGTTCAAGGCAGACTACCATCCTGGTGAGTCTGTCACGGTGACACTCTACGACGGAGAACGGCTACACGGTACTGTTCGTGATAAGACGAGATATGGCAGCAAGGTTCTCCCAGACGGGACCCTCACTCCGCCTTACACGCGTTACATTGTCAGTCTCGACGACCGTCCAGGCGAGGAGGCTGTTGTCGAGGAGGCAAACATATTTCGTGACCGCAAAGTGTTCACCAAGTCGGTCCTACGGTCATTTATCAAGAAGACGGTCGCAAGGGAGGCATGGAATGGCGCACCCTGGTTGGTGAAGAATGACGTGGCTGAGCAATACCACATCGACACGAGAGTTCCAATTAATCTACAGTACAACAACAAGGTTCTGGAGCGAAAGCAGATGTTGGCTCAGAGAAAGCTGCAGCAACAGCCCCACGACGTCAGCAGTCTTCTCAATAGCAGCCCCAGCAGTCCCGAATCTCCTATGAACGGCGGCGGCTTTCGCTTGCCCGAGCTGAAGCCAGCGCCTAAAAGTCACAAGGCCAAGCACATCCAATTGGCCCAGCAACAGCGGCAACTTCAGCACCAGAAGCAACAGCAGCACCCCAACCCACAAAACGGGGCGGCAAAGGCGCGGCCAAACGGGTTTGCGCACCACGCAGAGCCCGGCCAGTTCCAGCACCTCCCGCTTCCTAATAATCCGTTTCAATTCTCCTTGTCCATGAGAAACACCCCGACGCTTCCGGCACATACCGCCCCAGAGGTGCCCTCGCAGCCGCCTCCACCTCCACCTCCAAAGTACCCCATCGAGGATCTCCAGCTCGAGCCGAGCGATGCAACGCGCCCAACTCTCAAGTTCCTATGCAATGACCCACCTGTGGATCTAGCCGAGACGGTCGTACCACCGTTTGCCAAGAAGATCCTGATGAAGTCTGTCGGGCCGCTATTGGAGACCTGGGACTCGTTGAATGTGTATTGCGAGATCTTTAAGCTGGACTCATTCACTTTCGATGATTTTATAGAGGCAATGCTCTCTGCAAATGACGATACCCCGGTTCAGCTGTTTGACGAAATCCATTGCGCTGTTCTCAAGACGCTTGTCCAATCCGAGGCAGATGGTGGAGAGGTGCAAATTCAGCTCCCCGAGCTGGATGACAACGAAGATGATGATGATGACGATAATGATGCCGATGACGACGACGCCGAGCCCGAGCCCGAGCCAAAACCGGCCACCCGCGCTACAAGGAGTAGCGTAGCCAAATTGGAAGCCGAGCGACTGGCTGCCGAGGCTGCCGCGGCCGAGAAGGAGAAGGAGAGCGAACCTATCATTGTGCATCGTGCCGAGGACGTCTTGGCCGACTACGACTGGATCGATCAGCTCCGGAAGAGAAACTTTCAGGACGGGGGTTGGCAGCTAATGATGGTTGGCCTACTCTATCAGCTGTCGAAAGACGAACGTCGCCAGGTCGTCTGCGAGGCTTTGCTGTCGGAAATTGTCCCGCCAAACGTCGAAGCAACCAAAGAAACTGTGCGGCAACACTACTCGGCCCTCGACATCAACAACCGTGTGCAGGCACTCCAGATCATCTGCATGCTAACCGTTGATACGAAGGCCTTCCGTGGTTATATGGAAGACTGCAGTGAACAGATGACCAAGTATCGGAAGGAGAAGATTGAATGGCAGCGGGCGAGAAAACAAGCGTATGTAGACTTCTCCCTTGTCTGTCTTTTCATCTGTTCTTCTACTTGTTTTTCGGGGCGAAACACTCACTGACATTTGCCAGAATCGAGGATTTGAAACCGCTAAACGACCAGCGTAAAATTCTCCTGCCGGATAACCTCCCACCTTCTCCTCCTCTGGATTATCCTCTGGAGCCGGCCAAGTTGGACGCGGATGTGAAAATGAGCGATGCCGAGGACTTGTCATCTCACGCTCTAGACGAAGATGGCATGGATACCGAGGACGAAAGAACGCAACGGTTCGGGGACGCAACCTGCGCAGAGCCGAGGACCGTGCCGCTCAGCGGAAGCGCAAGAGAGAAGAGCAATATGAGCGCAAGCGGGAAGCCGAAGCAGCTGCAAAGGTGCCCAAGCAGTCCAAGCAGTTTATCAAAGTTAAGCGGGACATCGAGAAAAAAGAGGCTGAAATCAAAAGTTGCGAGGAAGAGATTGCCATCCTCGACAACGACCTGCGCGAGGCCGATTGCCCACGCACGCGTGTTCTTGGCAAGGACCGCTTCTGGAACCGGTATTATTGGTTCGAACGCAACGGCATGCCCTACGGCGGGCTGCCCACAAGCTCGACCGCCACGGCTAATTATGCCAACGGCTGCCTCTGGGTGCAAGGCCCTGACCAACTGGAACGCGAGGGCTATATCGACATGGCGCCCGAATACCAGAATGAGTACAAGGCCAAGTTCGACATGACCGTTCCAGAGCGCAAGAAGCGGGAAGAGGGGGCGACGAGTCTGTTCGACGCAGGCCAGTGGGGTTTCTTCTCGGAGCCTGAAGATCTGGACGCGCTGATCGACTGGCTGGACCCGCGAGGCTTCAATGAAATGAGGCTGCGCAAAGAACTGGTCATATTCCGCAGCAAGATCATTGCGAACATGGGGAACCGTCATCAATATGTGTCTCAGCCAGACAGTGAAGTCAGTGAGGATAAGGACAAAAACAAGGCTACACCAGTACCAATCACATCATCAGGGAAGCGCATGAGCACTCGCACTCGAGCGGCGCTAACACCGGAGCTAACACCGCCTACTTTGCGCTGCACCAGTTGGGTCAACAGCATGGCCATCGACGACCTCGGCCATGTCCATAGCGAACAGCCTCCTCCAGTCCGGCCACGGAAGCAGAGCCGGAAGAAGGAGGCTGCTGCTGCCAGCGAGGCATCGGAACCACCGCGGAAGAAGGCCATGACGCGACAAGGAACTCGATACCACTCCTGAGACGCCTTCGAGTGGCTTGATTATTAGGATGGCACTGCCCGGTTCGAGCGGACACTGTGGTCGTTCAGTTGCTCAGTTGCTCACCCTCTACAGAAATATACTGCGTCTAAGCACACTGCCACTTACCCGACACATCTGTGACTATTTACTGTTCATAGTCACGTTCCTATCTACGCCTTCTGCTCTGTTCAGATTGGAATGTTTCATATTTCTGTTTTCAAGCTTTTCTTTGATGTTTAGCTATTATACCCAGCATTATTTTCATCGACCTTGCAAGATTTATTGCTGCCTCGGACGACATGTTTGGACTGCCTGTCTCCCAGCAAAAGGAGCGAGTCGGTTGGTTTTGATTATGTAGCAGAACTCATCTTGTCGAAGTTGCATTGGAGATACAACAGCCTGTTGGGCAACGGGCGTTTGGGGGAAGGGCACATTGCAATAGGGTTGGAGAGACTGCATTATCAGGAAAGGAATAAAAGAGAAGAGGGGCGGTCGCGCTGGACTTTTGCAGCGACACCATAAACAGCTCCTCCCGGTCCATAAAACGGCGTTGGGGGCCTTGATATGCACTGTTGAGGAGGTTTTCAATTAATTGGTTATAAAAGCAGTACACAAACGAGGAACGGGGCATAACATCATAGACTAGACGCGCCCAACGGAATACAACAAATGTCAGTACCAGAACAACTAGCAGTGGCTACCCTAATATGGGGAAAGCATTAGGAAGGCGCGATCTGTAGCTCTTTTGGGCGTTACCCCTCTCCAAGCGGGCTGATGGCCTTTCTTTCTCTTGCTCCAATAACATCACACGCAAGGCCCAATGGTAGGGCGAGCCTGCATGCAGCCGACAGCATTGGAATTCGCAGTCGTACATACGCTTTGCTCTGTGTGTGTGTATGTGTTTTGGATATAGCGAGGAGAGCAAAGGGCAAAGAGACCGGGCCGATATCCGAAGAGCAAAACAAGGTATGAAAGGCGGCTCTTCGTGTACCAAAGAAATCAAAGACGCGACACACGGAGAAAAATACGTGGCCGAAACGGAAAAGTTATCGTGAAGTCCCGAGCGGGCAGCTTACAAGTTATGCACAAGAGCACGCGGCCCTTCCTATCCAAAGCTAGATCACAGGAACGAAATTTTTGAGTCTTCTAGACCGCCATATCCGATGCCTGTTTAAAAAAATGCGTTTTTCGGATGGTCCCCAAACATCATGCGTTCGTCAATCCAGATGGACTGCATGTGTCGATGCAGGTGCATGTCTCGAATGCTAAGACGGGTGTAGCAACAACCACGGGTGGTCGTGACGCATCTCTGCTCAACATATGATTTCTGAAAGAGGCCCCAAAAGACAGTGAAGTGATATTAAAGAGCAAAGCCGCCTAGCTGCTTGAGTCTTCTGTGAAACCTAGTGCTGTCCCGCCACTGCCTCAGGTACCGTCAGCTGTCTCTCGTCGGTAAGCTAACTCCTGGAAAGTTTGCATCTCCAAGTTTCTTACGTATCTTGTCCTTTGTGTTCCCCCTGTGCGTCCTTCCGTTGTAAAACGTCATATTCGCATGCCGCAAAATGATCCTAAAAGGTCAATTTGCTGCCTTGCTATGTTTCTGGCTATGGACTGGCCTACTGCGATTCAACTGTTAATCGTGAAAGATAGCAGTGGGTAGAGTGTACTCGTCCCTCTCTCTGTTTGCACATGGTTGACTCTATTACCAATACAGCGGCAGCGGCAGTGTCCCGTTCACCGCCAGTCATAGATGCATGCTCTTGTTGAGTTCTTTATCACACTGGAACATATCCTGACACAGCCCCCTTTTTCTTTGATCGTTCTCCCAAGAGATGTTGCTCATAACCAGAGGTTGTCTCACCCTAATAGAGCGACCGATCGGGATTCTTTCTTTCGCTCTTGAATCATACTTTCCCTTCGTTGTTGCACATTAAAGCAGCCTCATGTCATAACGGGAGACAGTGTTGTAGAACGGAGCACAGCAAGGCCGCCTGTCACTTATCCTTGCCCACCCACTCTTATTTCCTTTTTTCGTTCCATCGATTTTCGTTTTCAGCTCTTATTTTGGCTTGTAATGACAGCCAGCGTGGAAACAGTGTGGACAGGAGAAAAGAAGAGCAGCAAATCAACAAGAAGAAGACGGACGTGACAGGTGAAAAGGGTTACCGTGGTTGCATGAACCAGTGACAAGCTCATATACGGTCTCTTACCCTGTATCCCTCCTCCCTTCGTTCGAATGTCATGGCTATGGACAGTTACCGGCATCATAATCGGCATCACCCCTGGCCTACGCACGATGGCCGCGCGGCAGCCGGCACTTCGGACGACGCAGGCATCTCTTGGCCGGCCTCCCAGGCTCCTATTTATAGCCAGTCTCCGAAATCGCCGTCTCCGGGCCTCCGACAACAGCTTCCACCAACACAACCACAACATCCTCACTTTCAGTACAGATATTACAGTCCTCACCCCCATACGCTCGGACTTCCCTACAGCCACAGCTATAACAGCCAACATAGCCAAATCTCTCGGGAAGCAGACAGCTTTCAACAAACTCATATCGTCGAGCCCTTGTCAGTTGCCACAAGCCCCTATAGATGCCTACCAACGCTGACAAGCAACAGAGGTAAACGTGGTAGCCACGGCCATAAAACTAATAGTAGGAATATCAACCGGCGGCCGGCTAGCACCACCGTCATTGACCCTATGCTTGGCTCACCTTTCAACCACCGGCATCCAGGGCAGGGGGAGGCCACTGTTTGCAGCAACTCAGACGCCCAGAATTCCCTATACACACCCACGTTCCCGGACCCTGAAAGATCCGCCGGACACACAGCTAGTTTCAGCAGTCTTGAAGACCACGGTGCCACAGCTAATGCACCGATCGTTAAGGGCATAAACCCCGTGTCCCAGAAAGAAGGGAGAGCCCAAGAGAGCCTGGAGTCATGCAGTTGCAACGACCATGACCTGGACCATGGCCATCACCAGGGCCACCAGCATGAGCACGATGGATCTATACCGTCACTGACACGCGATAGTGGCATCTCTCCCCAGGTTTCTCACCCGACTTCATTTTTTTACAAGGAGCCCGCGTGTAATCACAGCCCCTCTTCCTCACATTTTCTCCCTTCATCCATTTCGCTCCCCTCTCGGCCATCTGCCACACTGCCTATGCCGGGTACCCCCAGCATGGAAATACGCACGGCCTATTGTTTCGATCGTGGCGGCGGTTTGTTCACACCGCTGGTACCAGCCGACATGCTTCCTTATATGACAGGGATCCCACCATTTATAAAGGGCTGCTGTGGCATGATCGTGTTGCACGACCCTTCGCCAGCAATAGACCAGCCGATGGCCCAGCGAGCCATAAACTATCCAGGTCCGAGGGCTGCAGCAGCTGGGGGAAACCCTACGGCAATGTCCACGCTGCAGTCTATGCCACGGGTAGGGATAATCCCCTATCTTTCTTTGCCTGTCCATTCGCTTGCTCACAACTCGAGACAGCGGTCTGATAACTTCTCCCCAATGCGTATGCCATTGGCCCCCATGGGATATCGGCACTCTAGGAAAGGAAAAATATACTGCGACAAGTGGGTTCACGAGGGCATTTGCGCCTTCACACAGCAGGGGTGTAAGTATAAGCACGAGATGCCTCACGACCGGGCGACGCAACAGTCTCTTGGCTTGTTCCACGGGTACCCTGCCTGGTACAGAAAATACCAGATTGACAACTATGGACTCGGTAGCAGGACGCAGCTGTCATCTTCTGCACAAGTTCAGTTCCGGGCGCCTCATCAAGCTTCTCTGCAAAGTGACAGCTCAGTGAACGCTACCAGCAACGGCACGGCCGGCATTCCCCTCGGACAAGACGCCAGGGGTGTGGCAGTTGGAAGTGCGCTCGAGACGGACGGATGGAGGCCGAGACCTGTCACCCTGTCTTGGCAGCCGCAACAGGCTGTCCAGAGGGAAGGCGGCGGTGAGAATAGGAACAGCATTCTAGAGCGGATGATGTCGGCGATGGGACTCGCTAGCGCTGGGCAGCCAGGCGACCAGTCTGTGGAAGTGATAGGCAGCCAGCCAGTGGGTATGTGCCAACGATCACTTTGTGTCAACTCATTGCTGGGGCTCTGTTGCTGACAAGCGTTGTTGCGTATTAGTTCCCTTTACCGCCGGCCAGCAATACCGGCCACGTTTGGATTATCCCAGTCATGAAAGCAGTCTCCCTTCTGAAAATATAACCCGCGACTTTGGGCCAATCGCCCCTCCCTCGGCGCCTTCAGCGTTTACTTTTTCTGAAAATGCAACGACTAAAGATGCATTTCCTGCCACCCCTCCTCGCGGGTTTACCACATATCAGAGTAGTTTAGTCACTATCCGAGATGACGACGGAGGAGCCCACGCATAGTTGGGCTAAAGTGGAACAAGACGCATCCGCAATCAACTGTTCCAGGCGGTGAAAGGACCACACCGTGGCCTATAACAACCCTAAACGCTCCCAACCGAACTGGGAATGCCAACGTGCTGAGAGACATGGAAGAAATAGAATGAGAAAATTACTGCTAATTTGATTTGTCCGATCCCTAGTCGCAAATGTGGTATCCTGGCCATCTGTTATGCTGATTGTCGTGTTGTATTTCAGGTGCTCTGAAGCTTCTGAAGAGCATCGTCCTTACCACTATAGGTGGAAGCGCTGTGCCAATATTATTTTACAGACGCTGCCAAGCCTGAAAGGTTGTCACCAGTTGGGGTTGACAGATCTGCCTTGTGATGGGTTATTACACCCTCTATAAGTAAGATTGATAGAAATAGAAGCAAGGAGTTCAGAAATCAAAGCAGGAGGTGCAGTGAATATACAGTGCTTCGGGCCATGACCGAAGAATGCAGAGGCTAAGTAAGCAATTAGTCAGCTATGGCTATGCTCGCTTATCAAGCCACACTTGATCTCATAGCGGGGCAGCTCTTGGAAGCAGTATTGACGATAGCAGCTGCCTTGCTTTACTACTTTCTAGACAGCTGTCTTTCAATCTTTCTCGGTCTGTGATGTATGCGAAGCTGACGGGAGGAAAGAACACGAGCACCACGAACGACAACAAAAGGTCTGCCGACGTGGTCACGCTTCTGAGCCGCCACCGTGACCCCACCGGCTAATATATTCATTGCGACTTCCATTTGCGACATCTCAGCAGACGGCCGCTCGCCGCTCTCAGCCTCAGCCTCCAGCCAACAACATATTTCTTTTTTTTCCCTCTCACCTCTTTTCACGTTTCGTTCCTCCTCTCTACACTCTCTCGCGTATCAGTCTAATCTCGTCTACAATGGACCACTGCGCTGCGGTGCTCCGAAATTTCCCACCAACCGCCGGGAATGCAGCGTCTCTTTACGACGATGTCTACGATAAGCTAATCAAAGCTCACATCAACCGTGTCCAACGACTCTTCAAAGACTCGGCAGCAGTCGTTGCCGCCCACGCAATAGAGCTTCTTAATGTATGGCGAACCTCTCTCCCGTCTCTCTCCCGAACAAGTTGCCTCTAATGTCCAGCAGTCCTTAGACCCCGCTACCCACACGTATTCCTATCTCTCCCTCATCGACACGATATTGCCAGCAGATGCGGCCCTCTACGATTCCTCCGAGCCCATCGTGGCGGAGAAGATTCTCGCGTTCCTAATGGCCTTTGACCCGCGCCAGGTACGCTATGTCGGCTCTGCGTTCACACATCTGTTCACGGCCGTGGGATCAGGCAGGATCATCCCGGTACGTAGCGAAGCGGAAGAAAGCACGAGCAGACGCCGAACTGAAACCTGCTGACCGGTGGCATGCGTCGATTCTAGGCCTCTATTGCGGTGGAGGCACTTGCACAAGCTCTCCAGAAGCTCGACCCCTCCGGAGCCATGCTCACGTCCAACCACCTGGCCCTTGCCAGGCTCGCATACCACACCGACAACGCCCTTCCCGCTCTGGCCGCTCTCAACAAAGACATCGTTTTCTTCCCGGGGGCAGCGCCGCACAGAGAGACTGAGCGGCTCTGCAGCCTCAGCCTGCCGCCACCATCGTTCATATCCAAGGACACGGGCCTGACGCTGCCGCTCAAGAGCACGCAAGTGTTGGACTTTGACCACCTGGTCGGCCTGCTCAACTGCTCCGTTCGCGACTGGGAAGCCTCTCATGCGGCCTTTGCGCGTGTGATCTCCCACCCGACACGGGACAATGGCGTGTCGAAGATTATGATCGAAGCGCACAAGAAATGGGTTCTGACTGGGCTCCTACTGAATGGCAAGGTTCCGACAACACCGCCAAATACGACGCCCTACGTCAGCAAAGCGTTTTCTGTGGTCAACAAGGCGTACGTGCAAATGGCCGAGAACTTTGAGTCCCCCAGCGCCGAGATGCTGGTGGCAGAGGCCACGCCGAGCACCGGTGTCTTTTTGGCAGACGGAAACGAGAGCTTGGTGAAGGAGGTCCTGTCAGCACACCCCAAGTGGCAGATTGCACACCTGCGCAAGGTGTATGTAACGGTGTCGATAGCAGACATCCGCACAACGATTAAGGACTCACCCCCGACCACAGTACCCGGAAGCGATGCGGAGACGGAAAGTCTCCTGCAGGGCATGATTGACACGGGCATGATTAGGGCGGCCATCCGCAGACCAGCAGCAGCAGCAGCAGCAGCAGCAGCAGAAGGAGAGGCAGCAGGTGCCAGCGAAAACACATATCTTGAGTTCCTGCCAGAAGAAGAGATGACCGAGGCGGATTTCGCCAAGGAGATGGCAGTGGCAGTGAAGCGAATCCGGGTGCTCAAGCCGCTATACAAGGTGACGAACGAGCAGCTGAGTCTGAACCGGGACTACTTGAAACAAGTGCTCCGGGATCAGAAGCGCGAGAAGGAGGCGGCCGAGCGGGAGGGCACAGGAGCGGGCTCTTCTATCGGGGATGGCCTGTTTTACGAGGCAGACCCAGACGATGAGGATCTCATGACGGGTCCCTAGGTCGACCTTTTGCAATCCTATCTAGACAGGGAGCCTAAAGACTGATGCCGGAACGACCACAGTTGTATCGTCATCATTTGTTTTATTTGCCTATGTCGTACATTGAAGAGTATCAAAACTAGACCCGGATCCCGCTGCTTTCCAGCCAAGAAAAAAGAAAGGCAAGGCAATGAATACAAGAAAATCAGTATAGCTTACGCCACATTCAAACAGCCACGCCACACAACGAATTTTAATGGGAGATTTCAGAGAGAGAATTGATGGATGAGCTCGGCCAGCTTGTGGCCCTCGCTCTTAAAGTCGAGCGGATGGGCATTGACAATTTGGTAGCGGATTCTGCAAGAGTCAGTGAAAGAGAACAAAACACAAGCACACAAAACACATACCGCTGAGCATCGCCAAAGGTATCCATCTTTGCGCGGACGCGGAAGGAGTACTTGCGACAGTTTGCCTTTTCAAACTCGGCGCCGAAAGCGATGTCGTCTTCCTCGCGCAGCTCGGTTAGCTCGTCAGCGCTGCGACCGCCCATAATCATGCGGCCGACGTCGTCGAAGCAGGTCAGCCAGAGCTGGCCGGTATGGTCGTTGACGTTGAGCATCATGGTGTAGCGATACAGAGCCTGGGGATGGTTCATGTCGCATTTCTCGCAGCGCCAGGTGCCGTCGCTGCTGCTGACGACCTTTTTGCTGCAGCCGTCGGAGCTGCAGGCCGGATAGGCAAACGTCTCCTGCTTGATGAAGACGATGGTGGCCTTGAGAGTGAAGTAGGCGGTCTCGTCCATGCCAATGTTCTCGTCGCGCACCTGGGCAATGGTCTTGACCTGCTCGGGCCGGCCGCTGCCAGCACCGCCTCCCATGCCGCCCATGCTGTTGTGCGAGGAAAAGTTCTCGCTCCGACCGGCCGCATCGTACCAACCCTTGAGGTGGTGGGCCTCGGTGATGTCTGGGTCGATAGACATGACGCCCGATTGCAGCAGCGAGAGCGAGCGGCCACCAAAGTCGGACACGCGCACGCCCTTGAAGGCGATGACCGACTCGGGCTTGGCGTCAAAGGCCACAGCTGTCTTGCCCCAGATGGTCGTGCGGACGGAGAAGCTGCTGTCGTCGACCAGCGTCAGCTCGCGCTTCTCGTAAGGCTTGCCCGAGCTCTTGGACGTGATCGACGACACTTCGCCGACGTCGCGCAGCACGCCGATCACGTCGATCACCGCGTCCTTCTCGACCGACTGCAGCGCCTGCAGCGTGCAGAAGGCGTAGCGCACCTGCGGCACGCTGCTCTGGTCCTCGGCCTTTTCGATCTGCGTGTCGCGCTCAAACGAGAGCTCGTAGTCGTTCGGCAGGTTCGAGAACTGCTTCTTGGCAATGTTGACCCGGCACGGGCTTGAGATGTAGTACACGCTGCCCTCCTGCAGCAGGTCGTAATACTGGTCGCACTGTTCGTTGAAGCCGGTCGCCTTGATCTCGCCGCTCTCGTCCAGCAGGTTGACGCTGAACAGCTTGCCCTCGCCGCTGCTCTTGTGCCACGTACGGATCTCCGACTTGCTCGTCACCCGTGCCTTGATCGTCCACTTGTGCGAGTATGGCGACAGACCCTCGATCGGGTAGATGTTGGGGTGCGCCGCGTTGCTGCCGCCGTAGCTGGTGCCGCTTGGCTTTCCGGTGCTGTTGCCGTTGTTGCCAGCGGCCCCGATGCTGCCACGGATCCCCTGCTTTGTGTCTGGCTCCTCCTTCTTGACGCCGTAAAAGTTCGTCCCGCCGATGTTCGTGCTGGTCGCGGCTGCCACGGGCTGGATGGAGCTGTCGACCGGTGTGGGTTCACCAATCTTGTCGTGAGCACCGAGAGATTCGATGACGTCGAGATCCAGGATGATGAGAATGCTGCCAGTGTCAGCATAGAACTAACAACATGAAGAACCAGAAACCGAAACCCGGAAACCTACTTCTTTCCCTTGACGGCATTGGCCTGGTACGCCTTTATGCGCACGATGCTACCCCGGACCAGCTTGCCGTCATGGACGACATGGTTGCCCTGTGTGGCCAACATGGTCTGCACAAAGTTGTCGACATCGCTCAGCACAACACGGTACCGCTCGCTGCCAGCGGCACCGGCGGCTCCGTTTGGCGGAGGCCCGAGTGGCTTGATCTGGAGGCACTGGAGGACGGGGACGGGGAACTGGGTCCTGGCACTTTCCGGGTCGCTGAAGATGGCTCTGGAGAGAAGACATATCAGAGGCGGCACAGTCGAGCAACGTGGCAAGCAAGGAATGGGGGGAAAGCTTACGCCAAGGCACCCCTTGTTATTTGTCTTTCTGCTGCTGCTGCCATTCTGTCTAAGTGTATTCCTTTTCTGCTCTCTCAATTCGTGGTTTGGAGGCCGGTGAACGATTGGCTTTGAGCGGTGGAAGCAGGCTGCAGAAGACGATCAGAAAGACGATAAAATGGACGATAATATTTGCAGGGAAAGAACGCGTCCGAAGGCGCGTTCACGTGTTTTAACGGGGCGGTTTTAAGTGGCGGTTTGAAGGCTTGGGGCGGGTTAGACGCGGCGTAGCATTACGTAAGCATGAAGTACAGTTCTAGGTGATTTTGGCCAGAAGGTTCAGAGAAGTGTTTCTAATGTGCATTCAGGTATTCAGGCTTGCTACGGATCGAACGGAAGAAAGAAATAATCGAGAGTGTACTAGTACGTGTGTGAGAAGGGATAGAAGCTCCCTAGAACACGACAGAAGTAGCCGTTCAAATCGCCACGTCTACCACACCACCACCACCACCAGACTACAGCTTGGGGCGGGTCTCGATGGGGGCGTGACGATCGCCGGCGTGGTCGCGAAAGTAGGTGCGGACGCGTTCGCGGGCGACGTCAATGACGGCCGGGTCCTCGATGGTGGAGGGAACGGCGACGGGAGCGTCAAAGTCGCCGTGGACGGCGTTCTCGAGCAGCTCGCGCAGGACGCGACGAAGGGTCTTACCAGAGCGAGTACGCGGGATCATGCCGCTGCCCTCAATGAGGCCGCCGAGCGAGGCGATGGGGCCAACCTGGGCGCGCACGCGCCCGTTAATGTCGCGGAAGAGAGCCTCGTCGGTCGGTGAGGCGGCCGAGCGGTTCGTGTTGACAAAGGCAAAGGGCATGTGGCCCTTGAGGGCGTCGGGGATGCTGACGACACAGGCCTCGGCGACGAGCGGGTGGCTTGTTACGGCCTGTTCGAGGGCGCCGGTGCTGAGGCGATGAGCAGCGACGTTGATGATGTCGTCTAGGGTGAGTAAGTATGCGTGATTGTGAGGGAAAGAGGGAAGGTGAAAGAGAGGGGGTGACGGTAAGGTGACGGTGTTGCGACAGGGAGAGACATGAAAAGAGACCAGTTTGGTCAAGGTAACTCACCCGATCTCGCCATGATGCTGATATAGCCATCCTTGTCGATGATGCCGGCATCGCCAGTGTCCAGCCAGCGGCCTTGGAAGCGACGCAGATAGCCGCGGTAGAAGCGGTCGTCATCTTGCCACAGGGTGCAGAAGGCGGTTGGGGCCAGCGGCATGCGAAGGACGATGTTGCCCATGGCTCCAGGCGGCAACTCGGCGCCGACATCGTCGACAACGCGCACGTCGAAACCGGGCATCGGCTTTCCAGCGCTGCCAGGACGGACGGCAAGCGGCGGCAGCAGCTGCGATGACGAGCCCTTGCCAGAAGTGGCAGTCTGGAAGGCGGCAGCAGCACTGCTGTCGAGACCGACGTGGGCACCCAGGGCGATGCCGGAGATGGGCGAGCCCGACTCGGACGACCACCAGTTGTCGACGACCTGGGCGCCCGGAGCGCCGTACCGCGCCAGCAACTGCTGGTACATGGTCACCAGGGTCGGCTCAGAACGCTCGCCTGCCAGGAAGAGGGCACGCAGACTGCGCAGGCCGCCACGGCCGCCCACAGCCGCCAGCTGCCCGTTGTCCGGGTCCTCTTTGCGGATGGCGCGCAATGCCGTCGGGGCTGTGAACATTGTGGTCACGTGATACTCCTCGATCATGCGCCAAAAGGCCCCGGCGTCGGGCGTGCCGACGGGCTTGCCCTCGTACAGCACGGTGGCAGCTCCGGCGAGGAGGGGGGCGTAGAGAGTGTAACTGTGGGAGACGACCCAGCCGATATCGCTGAAGCAAGCCATCTGGGGGGTCAGAAGAGGAAGGAAAGAAAGAAAAAAGAAGAAGAAGAAAGAAGAAAGAAAGAAGGGAAAAAACTCACCACGTCACCCGGCCCGTGAATATTGAACAGATAGCTGATGCTGAGGTGCAGTCCGACAGCGTGGCCGCCAGCCTCACGGACGACGCCCTTGGGCCGGCCGGTGGTGCCGCTGGTGTAGATGATGTAGACGGGGTCGGTCGAGGCCACGGGCACGCAAGCTGCGGTGACACGACGCCGTCGGGCGTCTTGGACGAGCGTCTGCCAGCAGACAGTGGTGGTGGCAGTGGTCGTCAGCGGCTGCTGCAAATCCCAGGCCGACAGCTGGTCGCGCTGCCAGACCAGAACGTGCGGTGGTTTCCAGGGCGAGGCCGCAATGGCAGCCTCGACGAGCGGCCGGTACGCCATCGGTGGTTTATTGCCATCGACGCCACAGGAAGCCGTCAGCACGGCGACTGGCCGGGCGTCCTCGATGCGCTGGGCCAATGCTGCCGCTGCAAAGCCGCCAAAGACGACCGTGTGGACGGCGCCGAGCCGGTTGACGGCCAGGATGCCGATGAGGGTGGCGGGGATCATGGGCACTGGCTGTCAGTGGGAGCCCAAAGAGAAGAGAGAGGAGACGGAAACTCACTGTACACCAGGACGACGTCCCCTCGGCCAACACCATGCTCGCGCAGCACCGCCGCCGTGGTCTCGACTTCGGCCAGCAGCTGCCCATACGTCAGCCGCTGCTTCGTCTGCGTCACCGGACTGTCGTACAGAATGGCCGGCTCATCACCGCGGCCGGCCTGCACGTGGCGATCGACGCAGTTGTGGCACGTCGAGATCTGCCCGCCCGGAAACCAGGCCCAGTGCTCATGGCCGGTGCCGTCGGCCAGCGTCTTGGTCGTGCGCTGCAGCGCCACGTCCGGCTGTCGATGCCACTGTAGCTGTGCCGCCTGGTGGCCCCAGAACGCCTCCGGGTCTGCCAGCGCGCGACGCTGCGCCGTGTCCTGCGGATGCTCCATGGATGGAATCGCACTGCTGTCGCCCACGTGATGTCGTGCACGTGATGTCGTGATGTCACTGTACCTCGATGTCGCAGTGTTGATATCACGGGCACAACTCGCCCGTCTCTGGAAGTTGCCGGCGTCTTTACCACATCGCTCGCACATCAGCTCTCGCTTTATACAGGCTCGCTCGGCTGTGGCTGCGATTCCTACTGGCTGACAACCTGTCGTTGGGGCTGCTCTTCCCCTCCGCACTTTCCCCACCTTTTCCCCTTTCTCCCGGCCATCTCGCTTCGTCCGCCTGGCCGGTTGTGTATGCTATATTCTCTGCATCATGGTTCTGAAGCACGTCTGGGGTGCTACCTGTCCTACTTCTTAGTTGTCTTCTCACAACTTTGATGCTGTTTGGATGGACTATCGGCTGAATACTCGTATTCCGTACCTAAGCTTGTATTGTCAACTCTGTTCCCACAATTATACTTACGAACTCTTTAATCAACATCTCGTATAAGCTTTCTTCTGTGGTTGATGTTTACAATTGAGCCTTTGATGGTTCAATAGGTTGGCAACGGTTTTGATACATACAGAGTACTCCGTACAACACAACTTGTACCTGACGGATATATTGGGGCATGTTACAGAAACTAACTGAATACATGACCAAGTCTCATACCATCCAATTTGAGGTATAATTAACCATACTGAGAAATAAAGTACTTCCCATTCCTAACGGGAATGCATCGGTATATTGGCTGTCTCAAGCTGACGACTAGGAGCAGTTCCGCGCAGACACTTACTGCCCTACGAGCCGTCCACTACCGATTTGCCGAAAATAGCATCCTCGGCGTCCCCATGCAGAGAACAACAACAAACCGCATCACATGGTGGCTTCTACTTAGCTTCTACAAGAACTACCACGTCCGTTCCACTGATCTGGAGAGGTCCTCATGAGGAAGGACCAATTCAATCTACTTGATGTTCTGGTAGCTCACGAGTTGACTTGACACGATGCGTGTCTGGAAGAGCTAGAATGTTTGTCTCCAACCAAAGCGCCGCGTAAAGTTAGTTGCCACGAGATAGGATAACAACATAAAGAGACGTGCTTGCTCAAAGCGCAAAACACAGAAACATCAATATCTACCAACTTGCCATATCTGCAATGCGATCGATACGATCGACCATTCCCCCAACCGAACGCGCGTATAGGGGCTGATCAAGACCGGATTTCATGATGATGAGACATACCAAGGCCAAAATTGGGAGTGTCTGAAACAGACGCCTCATGGAGCACCATGACTATGATCCGGATCCATCTACAGTTTGTCTTGTTTCCTCATCATCCCTTGCCTCGAAGGAATGGCCAACCAGTCAACAGTAATCTTACATGCCAGTATAGACGGCTAGGTGGAATGGCCTAGGCCTTCTAAAAAAAGACAATTTAAGAACATTAATTACGGCAAGGCGCAAGGCAAAAACAAGGAAACCATGGACAGCGCGAACGAAGCCAACGCGGGCCCACTTAGTCACGATAGGAAGGAAACCTGCCGTACTTGCAAGCTCACCCACAGTGCATATACACGAATGCCACTGTACAGAGCATGGCACCGAAATGTAGATCTCGGGTGGCAACGTTGAGCGGCCAGGGGTAGGCCTAACCAAATAGGGGCTTATCGGCCCTGTACCTGCAGTAGGTTGTGCATACTCCGTACATAGTTATGTACTCGTATGTATATTATGTGTCTTATGCACCGTTGCATTTCTGGCGCCCGACGCGACGCACAAAAGCTGCCGGACAAGCTTATGCACACTCCCATGATGTGTGTCGAGCAGAAGAAGCAAAAAGCCCGTCGCGTGAAACCCTCATCAAACAACGAGATACCATGAACATCCTCCAGTCCAGTGTGATGCCAATCCCGCCGTTGCTCGTATGCAGAAAACCCGTGTGATACAGCGAGACTGCAATCTCCTGCAGTTCCATTGTAGGACCCCCCTGTTTTCAATGCCCTGCCATCCAGTGCGAAATACCCACGCCCACATACGCCTACAGCACCGTACGACGTACGTATCCCACGCACCAACGATTCAATGTCAATACATCAGAAACACATGAATGATGGGAGCACAAGAGTAAGAAAATAATTTGTTGCCTGACCAAAACTGCTCTCACAGTTTGCCCCTTCAATCGATCGCTTGCGCTTGGCACAAGCAACCTAGAAGTTCTGTCTAGAGAACATAAACACGCCCGACAACAATACAGGAAAATGGCAGAAAAGATGCTGGCGAATTGCCAGACTGGTCCACATCTGCAGAGGCCACGATGCTCCCTTCCAAACTGGATCCAAAAACCCAAGATCGAAAAATCACAAAGACAACCCAGCAGACCCAGCCCAGCCGATGGGCAACATCCTCCCGTGCTCAGAAAATATGAAGAAAAATGATTGGGGGACCACACAAACGCAAAGAGACAAATTGTTCCAGATAGGATCTCCGAAGAGACCTGTTATATTAAGCCAGAATTGAACTTTGTAGCATGAAGATGATCGTTCCCAAACGTCCCGAGAAAAGAATAAAAAGTCTAGAAACCGTTGCCTGTCCCTTTGGTATCAAGCCACCAGATGTAAATATAAAACGCTCCATGTCATTATCGAGAATGAAAATTGCGGGGAAGGAATAAAGATTCGTATTGTCAAGACTGCGGAGTTTCAAACAACAACCGTAACATTATGGGAAAACGGATTATAGATCGTCGATATGAAGACAGTCCCTTGGGTTCCCCGACAAGAATTTTGAAGAATGCGTCGCTACATTTACAGCAGAGCAGCCACACCGAGAGCCATAGCCAGACCGGCGCCCGACAGAGCAGCAGCCTTACCGGCACCGGCAGTGACGGTGGAGGGGGTGCTGGTCGGGACGTAAGAGCCGGTGGCGCTGCCCTTGGCAACGGTGGTGCCGTTGCTGTACGGGCTGGGAGCAGCGCTGACGGTCCAGGCAGGGGCACTGAGAGATGTTAGCAAGATGGACCAAGACGAAATAAACTTCTGGTTGAGGAGATGCTCACGCCGGGGTCGTGGTGCACGAGACCGTGGTGGAGGTGGTCAGAGGCTTGGTCAGGGTGCACGGGCAGTCGGTGATGGTGAGGGTGGTAGCCTCAGTGATGGTGTAGGTCTTGCCGGCGTGGGTCAGGACGGTAGCCTCCGGGCAGAAGGTGGTCAGGGCGGTGACGACCTCGGTGGTGTAGGTGACGTTGCTGGCGGCCGAGACGGCGGTGGCCAGGGCAATGACGGAGGCGGAGAACTTCATTTTGACGGTGGTAGTCGAAACGACGGATTAGGTTGTTCGAGAGTCTTAAAAAGGCACGAGGCTGAAGGGCGGGAGGAGTGGTAACGAGTGAAAATGACTGAAAAGTCGGAGTTGGTGTGAGAAAGCGAATGTGGGTGAAGAAGAAAAGGAAAGGGGGAAGAAGGATGGCAAGAGCAGAGGTGGACTTATATACAGGAGTGGGCGGCCGCGTAGGCCCATAATGGCCGATGCAGACCCATGTTTTTCCTTGTCTTTCCTGGTCTTCTCACTTGATAAACAGGGGTACGGTCAAGGCGGTGGTGGCAGGGGTATACGAGGTGAGGAATGCAGGCCGACCAGCAACGGCTACGTGTACGGAGCACTCGTAGCAACCGCTAGCGGGTCCAGGCCGATGCGAGATGGGATGGAGAAGAAGGGGTGGGTTGCCAAAAGTGCGCGTTCACGCAGATTGCATTCCTGGTCGGCGCAGAAAAACATAACAGTTGGGCGATTAAGGTACAGGGGCAATGTCACTGGGCAAGACAGGCCCCCAAAAGGAGATTGACCTAATTTGGTCAGATCAGTGTAGGGAGGGCTCCACAATTTCCGTCCCCAAAAAAAACGAACAGGTTATTTCACAAGCTGGTTGGCCGGCCTGGTCTCAGCCAACCACCAGCACGATTACGTATCGAAAGCGGGTCCGGATAAGGGGATGGGATAGGGGGTCAACGATCGGAGGACGGAATAGCGCACAGTGGCAGATACTCTACATAGTAGCTGCTACCAGGCCACACGTCCGAGGTACGACGCAAGGAGAGCGAGGCACGGTTGCCATGGGCAGTCCCGCACGGCACTTTGACTACATAGTACGACTACTCCGTACATAGTATTGCACACTCACATATGCATGCACAGGACAGGTGCGTTGCAGCGAGAGCTCTCGCCGAAATGAAAAAAGGATCCCGCATGAGAATACGAGCTGGCTCTGCTCTGTCTAGCCGGCACCGTCGCATGCGACAATGGCTGGCCTTGTACGACGTACATAGTCGAACTCGTCGCGATGCCGCAAGCATCCTACTCTGCACGTTGCCATGTCCTCCACAGAGCACGCATGATTACGCACTCGAGCTCGCGGGACGCCACGGTTGTTGCTGCGCACTGCCCGTCTCCGGGGTAGATCTCGGAGAGGTGAGATACTTACGGAGTCGGCTGGGGCGTCGGTAGAGAGGTACTCCGTAAATAGACGTGACAGAGAGGGATTTGCACGCAGTGGGGAACGTTGCGTCGAGAGGACAGAGAAGGCTGCTGCTGCAGGAAAGCCGGGAAATGAGCAGCTCGTGTTTTGGGTACTTTCTGGCAGCGAGGACGTGGCTACAGATACGAAGGCAGACATTGCATTAGTGCCGTGTCCTCGAGCTGTCTCTCCTGTGTCTCCTCTGTCTGCACGCCGCCTTACCGACGAGACAATGGACAAAAAGGCAAAAAGGGGGGTGGCGCTACTTTCTCCCCTTCAGGCGCTGACGGTCTTTTTGCGGGGCGCGGAAATGAGCTGGGAGTCCCGTTCCCCTGAGGTCGACGCGAATCGGAGACGATGCTCATACCGTGCGCGTTCGCACGGCCAACAACGCTTCGGGAGTAGGGGATCAAGCTCCTGTTCCAGCACTCGCTGCTCCACCAGCCCACAGGGGATTTCGCCACTGAGCAGCAGTCCAGACCGGTGGAACCCGCCTGCCGAGCAGCCCGTCTTTACAGGCCGACGCGAAGCCGTTCTTGCCCTTTTGTTGTGTGATACTATGTAATACTACTCCGTATGACAGTATAGAGTACTTGTACGAGTACGGAGTGTTCTTGCTATGTAAGATACCAATCACAATATCTCGTACGAGCATCTACACGCGCGCGTCTCTCTAGCTCGTCTGACTTTTTACGGAGGAGTTCTCACGCTCGCTTGCCCAGAAGTGGTCAGGCGTGGAGCGGAAAAGTCTTACCCACCGATGCTACTCCGTAGCTCCAGGCACAATAAGCATCCTCATTTCGTTTAGGGGAAGCATGGGCGTGGCTTCCCGCTCCTCCGCTGACCAAACTCTCTTTTTTCTTGGATGATACGTTGTGTTGTCTCGTAGCCTGCTGGCCCAATCTGGGAGCTCATTTCCACTTTGGAGCACACTCTCAGCTCGTATTTCTAGAAAGTATTGGTTTGGCTGGAGCAAGGGCCCCCCGGTCCAGAATCAGCATCTTTCTTTGGCTCTTTCGGTGCAGACCTCGCATGTTCATGACCATGATCCTTGGTTGGAGGAAAAAAAAAAGAAGAAAAAAAAGGCGAGGCCAAAGCAATGTGCTCGTGCATACGAGACCTGCATACTGCATAGGCCACGAAGAATTGAAGAAAGGGAGTCTGCGTCTGAACGGGCCTCCCGGCCCTCTGGCCGATTCAACGGTCAATCTCGGGCACGCGTGCTCACCGCGAGAAGCGGTTGCGAGCGAAAAAAGAAGCATGACGCCAAGAAGCTATATGGGTTCTCCATGCACGTCGTAACCGCCTCGGCATATCCACCTTCCTCATCTCGATTGAGCCGATTGTCGCGTGCTTCGTCGTTGTATTTTGCGTGTTCGGCCTTCCCCGCGCATACGGACTATGTCGTGTGTTTTACGGAGCTTGCTTCGCTCTCCGTCCGGCTGTTTCTGTCATTTTCTGTTCTTGTCTTCAAGTCTCACCTTGAAAGAGTTGAGCTCGTGTTGCCTTTTGAAGTCTTGCAAGCGCGACCGGATGCTCTCGGATTTTAGAGAAGCCGCATTTGTCATCGAGGCACTGACAAATGCCAAAGGGAAAGTGCGAGTTGCAAGTGCAATTGCGGAGACCGGGATGACTCTCAATATACTCATGCTCGCAGGCTCTCGCTCGATGCTGAAAAGTTGAGAGCAGCAGCATATGCAGTAGTTTGCAACTGTCGCATTGACAAACACACACGCACACATAATGGCATCATTAATGCGAGCCGTGGGTGAGTGGAGGAAACGGCAGAACGAGACGCAAGACCGTCTGACGACAGCATGACCTGACCATTACAGACATCCGGGATGGCAAGGGTGATGCGGACGCCCTGTTCATCAACGACAAGACGGCCAAGCCGACGGCCGGAGCGGGCGAGGCGGTGGTGCGCATAAAGGCCTTTGGACTGAACCGCATGGACCTGCTGCAGCGCCAAGGCCTCTATCCGTTGCCGCCACAGGCGCCGGCGACGATGGGAGTCGAATTCAGCGGTGTAGTCGAGTCGCTGGGTGAGGCCGATTCGGCAGACACGGCCAGCTTTGCCGTGGGCGACGAAGTGTTTGGGCTGGCGTACGGCGGCGCCTATGCCGAGTATGTGCGGGTGTCGACGCGGATGCTGCTACACAAGCCGACTTCGCTGGGCTGGAACGAGGCCGCGGGTCTGCCGGAGACCTGGCTGACGGCCCTGCAGGCGCTGCACGAGGTGGGCGGCTTCCGCAGCGGCAATGATGGCCAGACGACGTTGTGGCATGCCGGCGCGTCGGGCGTCAGCATCGCCGGCATTCAGCTGTCCCGGCGAGCCGGCGCCAAGGCTGTCTATGCCACGGCCGGCTCCGATGCCAAATGTGCCTTTGTCGTCGACCAGCTCGGCGCCACGGCCGCCTTCAACTACAAGACCGAGGACTGGGTGCAGAAGATGGTCGACGCCACAGATGGCACCGGTGTCGACCTGATTGTCGACTATGTCGGCGCAGACTACTTCCAGAAAAACCTCACTGTTGCTGCACGTGACGCCCACATCGTCCTGCTCGCCTTTCTCAGCGGCGCCGTGCTGCCGGCCGGCGTCAACATCAGTCCTCTACTGATCAAGCGCGTGCGCATCGAGGGCTCGTCGCTGCGCAGCCGCGACCTCGACTACCAGTCCCGCCTACGCGATCGGCTCGCCGACGTGCTCCCCGGCTTCCACAGCGGCGACCTCCGCATTTTTGTCGACCGCGTGCTGCCCTGGACCGAGATCGTGGAGGCACACAAGTACATGGAGGCCAACATGTCGATGGGCAAGATCATCTGCACGATTCCATGGTAGGGTTAGGTGGGGGAGGGAGGAAAGAGGAAGAGAGGAAGAGAGGAAGAGAAGAAAGAGGAAAGAGGAAAGAGAAGACCGTAGACAGCCCTTCTGCAAAATCTGCTAGCGATCAAACGTTTACAGCACAGCCGATATGACAATAATAACCTGGTATGAAGGACCAAGAGCCACGCTTTCAAAGCCACTCATGTGCTCGCTTTTCTTTCTTTTCCTCTCTTTTCGTCATCTTTTCCGCTTCCTCTCTTCCTCTCTCCTCTCTTCTTCCCCTCAATGATCATTCAACCACCGGAGCATCTGGCCAAAGGCCATCTCCTGCGCCCTCTTGTATGCCTCGTTGTCGTAGTCGCCCACGACAGCAAAGCCGTGCGGCACCCCCGGATACACCTGCACCTCGTGCTCAATGTCGTGTCCCGACAGGTACTTTTCGCCCGCCATACGCACTTCATCCGGGAACATCGGGTCGGTCTCCACGCACGCCAGGCTGATCGGCGCCTGCAGGCCCTGGAAATCATCTGGCGACACCAACGTCGCGTGGGCCACAGCCCCAGCCCGGATCAGCGGACCCCTGGCCTCTTGTCTCTCCAGATCGACGTCGCCCTCCCCCTTGTCGCCCGCCAGCAGCAGCACGTACCGCCCGCCAAAGCAGTAGCCGGCCGCATACACGCCGTCTCCACTCGCCACCGCATCGGCAAATTCGTCCCGGCTCGCCTCCAGCACCCGTCGCACGATCGGCAGCACCTTAGCTTCAGTGTGGCGTGCCAGCCACATGTCGATCATGAAGCTCTTGACCGTCTCGACCGCCTTGCTCCGGAACAGGTCCAGGAAGGACGGCACCTCCGACTGCTGCTGTTGTTGTTGCTGCTGCTGCTCTTCAGCCGAAGCCTCTGTCGTCGCGTTGGGCGCCACGTCGCCGCCAAACAGGTCCGGCATCACCACCACGTAGCCCTCGTCTGCAAACATGTCGGCCTGGATCTGGTTGTTGGTCGACCGCACCCCCGTTCCGCCGCTCAGCAGCAGCAGCAGCCGCGCTGGCGCATGGGGATACTCCCTCGGCTTCGAGACGTAGGCCTGGGACGCACGCACGGCTGTCAACACAGTACAGAGCCACGACAGAGTCACGCCCAACTCACATCAACGTCGCCCAGTCTCCGCATCTCGCCCTTTGGCGACCGCCCCTTGGCTGCAGGCACATATCATACGAGTCAGCTGATTCTCGCTCCAGCAAAGGGGGAGAGGCGGGCAACGGACGAGCTGGCCGGTCCGACACGCAGTGGTCGCTCAGGCCCGTCCTGCCAATCGGAGCTGGCCCGGGAACTGGGCCCGGAGCTGCGTCTTCAGCCGCATCGCTCTCGGGAGCTCTTGTTGCCACGTCCGCTTCCGACATTGCGCTTCTCTGCTTGCGGTGACGGGGAACCGATCTTGCGTGTTGCTGCCGGTGGGTCAAGCAAGATAATCGGGTCGTCTGCTTTTTGGAAGCTTGTAGGGGTCTGCCAGCACCGCGAGACTTCCGTGAAGCTGTAGAGAGGCCGCGCAACTGTGGACCGGTCGGTAAGACCATGGTGGCCGCATATGGCTGTTTGAGCGGGGGATTCACACTGTGTTTTAAAACATTGGGCACTGTGTGTATACTGTACATTTCGGCCCTGAACGTTCGATCTCGATGGTCTCGATGGTCATCGTAAGATACCCTTTGAAACTTGCTGCATATGCTTTGCTTTTGGTACGAGTTTTTCTGCAGGAATCTGGCCTGGCAAATCATTTCTCTTTCTGAGCCTGTTCCAAAGACTCTGGCTCAGGATAATGCAGCTTTTCCCAAGAGATATCTTTCCCAATGGTGCTCATCGCCATACTTTCTAGCCATGCAATCCTCCTCCGACGAGCTAATGTATAAACCACATCCTGCTCCCGGGGCTGGAGATAGCAACACATGACAAGATAAGGCCTCATCGGCGCGAAGGAGTGCGAGGTGGGACGAGGGAAACATCCTGGCCATCTACTCACCACTCCTCGCTCCTTACACAAACACTCATATATCTGTAACAAGCCCCATATGGACGAGAGGCTGGGGGTGCTCCGCTGCTGTGTTACTGAGCATGTAGGTCCTTGGAAACTGGTGATAGAAGCACGAGGGAAGGACAAGGGCTGCATCAGAATACGGGAAGCACCGTGAGACAGTCTGAAAGAAGTCGGGGAGGACCGTGTTAGTTGTACGATAAGTAACACGACGGTACATCTAGGCCGGTATTCTCGGCCACCGAGAGGGAAAACATTTATCTTGTACATGGGTTGTATCGTGACCTATTCTCGCTGGGTTTGAAGTAAGTGGCGTTTTGTGAACAGTTGCAATATGGCTATGCGAACATTGTGTACGATAGAGGTGAGCCGGGGAAATGCTAGTATCGTATAATGATTTATGCTCGTGCTGATAATAAAGGGCCTCGTCGGCTTCTTTCTGCTGCCTTCAGTTTTGATGTCAACCGCTGTCTTTTCCAGTCAACATCTTGCATATAGTATGTTGTACGATCTTGTAGTATTGTCTATTCAATGTAATAATTTAACTATAGATCTAATTCAACCTCAGTTAAGCGTGTCTGTTGGCAAAACAATATATTGCTTTCTACTAAAGCCATCCATATCCATCAAGTTTTAGATTGTTGCAATCGACACCTTGGAAGCAACAAGCAGTTCAGACACAAAACTCCCAAGCACTTATACTAGCCAAACATCGTGTCAGACGAAGAATCGGGACCTCTCTTCTCATTACGAGAAAGGAAAACACCGTCCGCCTGTGATCTATATCGATACGTCCCGAATGTGCGATGGCTGGCATCGACGACGCCCAATCCAGGACTCCAGCCATCCGGCCATGTCCCCATGCCACTTTGTGAGATGCCGGCCAGGCAATGGGAGCACACACATCCCTTCCTAACACAACCACGTTGCACCTGTACACGGCCAACGGACATTGTAAGTATTCAAACATGCAACAGGACGATACAAGGCTCTACGGAGCAGATGGCAGGACGGAATGATAATCGTCACAACCAGCCGTGAGGATCGAGCGAGAAAGTGGCCATGCCGCCATGATCTGGCAGCTGAGCAGCTCAAGGAATGGCCGTTCGGCACACCAGGAGTACATACAGAGTCTCTTGTCGGCTGGGACGGGCTAGCCAGGACCGGACTGGGCTGGGCGGCGATGGTGCGGCACTGGTGCTCTACTACGTACTGGTGCTGGTGGCAGAGCGCGATTTCGTCGACTGTGGGCTTCGTACTTCGTATGCGTTGGTGCTTCTGTAGTCTAGCTGCGGAAACGGGACGGCAATCTGACAGTTTTTTCTGTTTCTCTGACCCCTCTCCCCAGCCCCGATCACTGTGCATGTGCCAACAGTCCTTCCTGTCCCATTGCATGTGCATGTACATCTACATGGTACGAGGGGAAGGATGGGAGAAGATGCGCGCGCGAGAGAGTGAGGGTGTGCTTGTCTGTGTGAGGAGGCCGGTTTGTTCACTCTGCCTGCCGGCTTGATGCTTAGACGGACTGCCCAGCTTTGCCAGCACGACACGGCCCACAGCCAGCAGCACCGCCTTTGCTCGATTCTTTTGTACCCATTCGCACCCTCCACATCGTTTCCTCCCCTCCCTCGACTCCCGCCGTTTCCCCATAGCCTTATGCAGGTGGTATTGGCCCTGCCGTCGACTCTTCGTCGCCGCCACCAGGCCTGGCCAGAGCTGGAGCCCTGTTGCAGGAGGGCAATCTGGCTTGGTTGCTGCAGACGCTCTGCAGGCCCGGATGTTGACGTGCTGTAGATCTGCTCGCACAGGAAGCAGAGCAGAAATGGCACGCCCTGTCTGCATGGCAGTGCATTCCTGGAGGAGACGACGTCGTATGTCTCTGTCCGTATAGCTTCGCACGCTAACGGCCGTCCGGCTGGTCATTGCCCCTCCTGTGCTTTTTTTCTTGCCTTTCAAGTAGCATTTTTTTTCTTTCTCTCGGCAGAGCTCATATCTCTTGGCCGCCCATGCTCCTCCTCCTCCGGCTAGGATGATCTCGGGCCAGAGTTCAACGGACTGCGCAATGACCTTCCCTAATAGGCGGGAGAGAGGGGGAGGGGGTGTGCGCGGATTGGAAGACAACCGGAGCTACATAATAGTAGTACAGAGGACGACGGTCTTGGTCACTCCCTGCTGACCGACCTTCCGTACCCACCAGCGGCCTTGCTCGTCTTGCTCCCAATTGTGGTCGGCCAAAGCCGGGGACCCGTCCAATCAAGCAGGAGACGATGGCGAGGCGGCAAACGCCAGCAGACAACAGACAACAGACAGCAGACAGTAGGAAATGGAGACTCGAGGCCAACGCACAACCACGAGTATCTCATCCCACACACCACGCGGACCCTTGAATCCGCTCTCGGTTGTCTTTGCTGACTATGCACACGTTGCCGGGGGGTGGATCGTCTTGTTGGTCAGTGTCGACGAGTAATGCTTCATGCGCCGTCTCGACCGGGAGAGGGGCGTACGATGTATGGCGGACTCGTACGCATGCTCGGCCAAGAGAGGGAAAATTAAAAAAAAAAAAAAACGAGAAAAAAGAAAACAAGCAGCGATGCCACAGGGGTCTGACGTGGTGTCCCCAAGCCCGAAGCAGGAAGGATCACCGGATCTGGGGTCTGGCTTTCCAAGCGAGCGAGGGAGGGCAGGTCTACGAGCACTTCGCGGCTGGTGGTGCTGATAGCGCCTTCCGCCGCACACAAATCGTCCCTGTGGCTGCTTTCCTAGCCTGCATTTCGTCTAGTGCGGTGATTCCGTCTGCTAGCACCGATGTATCCGTACTCCGTATCTTACTATGTACAGGCGCTCGTACGAGCATCAGCGCTCTGACCAGAAACGGAGAAGGCGCTCTGGGAAGGAGGGGGTTGCTTTAAATAGAGTGGGCTTCGCAGACCCGGGTCGAAGAAGCGGTGTGCACGCTGCTAGGCCGTAAACAGCCTGGGTTGAGATCACGCTAACTGACGTCTTTTTTTTTTCTTCTTTCTTTTTTTTTCTCTCTCTTTTTGTCTTTATTCCCGCAGAGCCCAAAGGCCAGAGGAAGAACAGACAGACGTGCAACGTGTTCCGGTGGGACGACTTCGACGGCGACGTGATAAGCGGTGGTCCTGGCCCTTGCGGCCCCGCTTCTTCTGTTGCCTCTTTCTTCCGAGAAAGGCTCGTATCGTAGGCTCCGAGGCTGCACAACGTCGCTCCGTGCTGTCCTTTCCCTATGCGCTCACAGCGGCGACGTGGTGCTCCCGTACATGCTATGCATCTGACCGGACAAGCTCTTGGACATGCACGATTGTGCGGCAGAACACAAGGCTTAACGGCCGTCGGCACAGCCACTGAAGAATGTGGATGGCATGCGGGCTATTTTCTTTCTTTCAGCACCCTTGAGATGTCGTGCAGGAAGACCAGCAAGAATCACTATCCGTACGAGTAGGATTGGCGATGCCGTCTCTCTCTGATCGAGCGAGTGGGTCGGCGAGTCAATTAATCGAGGCATCCCGACCTCGTTGTCCCAGAGGTAGAGAGAGATACTTGTTGATGGACACCCACTCTGTCCGGCAACGACCTTTTCTTGCGAGGCAGGCCCTACCTCTGTGAGCATGTAAGATAAGATACGAGTACTCGTATCGCATTGCTCGGATGTACGACGTAGTCTGTACGGAGGACGGAGTACAGAGGTGGCGATTTGCTCGGGCTGGATCTCACCGTATCGCACTGCTGCAGATCACGAGCCAGATATGCAAACGGAGTTCTTACTCGTGCGCAGCGTGCCACGAAACGGTCCGCTGTGCAGTCCGGTCTCTAGGCCCCCCTGCTTCTGGCTGACCCCCTGTTCCAGCCATCTCTTCACAAGGATTCGACTTGTGCCGGCCAATCAAGAGACGGCAGCCGCCGGAAAGACCAATGATTTGCATAATCCGTCTCGATACATAGTAGACAGGGTCTGAGGGAAGGCCGAGAAGGGCCTTGTAACGAGGCAGGCCGTCCTGGTATCTTACGAGCGAGAATCCTGGAGTCCTTCCTGGCCGCAATGTGCTGATGTCTGCCCTTGCTCTGCCCAAGTCTGCCGTTGACCAGACTGGCCATTGGCTGCAGCATCCGGGACAAGACGCCCCGAAACCGGGTCCGGATTTGAGGCGACATCGAGGGAGGGAGATTGGAGGGGGCAAAGCTGGTCAGCTCGTGTCTCGCCAACAGAAAGAAAGAAAAAACAAGGCAAAAATACAATGAATTAAAAAAGAATATAAAGGAATAACGAATAAAATAAGATTATATCTATGGTTGGCCGACACAGAAATCAAAAGGGTGGTACTATGTAGCGCCAAACTATCCATTGCAAATTGC